AGGACTTCATCGCGTGTCTAGTTAGTTGTATTCATAGGAATCATGCTATATAGCCTAGGAGACGTGCATGCACAACTTGCTTTTTTTTTTTTTTTTTTTGTATAGTTTAGAATCTTCGTGTACATTCTTGAAATTCAAAGTGTATTTAGCAGAGGCAAAGCAAGAAACGACAGAATAATAGCTAACACTATAACACTTAAGAAGCTTCTGACATTCCACGCTCTATAAACCGCTTTTCCACGCCCTCCTTTCTTCAGTGACCAACTGCTGTAGAAATACATCCCGGAACCAGACTATATAACAAACCAGTATATACGCGGCTTCAATACTCAATCCCTAGTATACTATTCCAACCAAAGAGCACTTAAAAAGCCCCAGATAAAGTATCTATCCGCTTTCCCAAACAATCATTCCCCCGTACCATCCAAAAAATGCTAAAAATAATAGTACACAGCATCAAAAAACTCATCAAGCACAATACCCAGCACCCTCAAAAAGCCCCTAAAGCACCGACCCAACGCAATCGCGATTCCGCAGTCCCTCCCAGGCTTCTAAAACGAGGTGTAGTATAAAACACAGCCTACCACAAGGACGCATCACACAGGGATACACTACACAAGAATTAAATCCGACGCACCAAGAGCTGAAAGATGACTAGCAAGTTGATTTCTACCAGTACAGGGGTTCTGGCTTCTACAAAGCTGCAAAAGAGCTCATCAACCATAACACACAGTCACACCTTCCAGACCCACTCACTACTCTCTACTCTCTGCCCGCCACCATGACGATGCAGTAAAGCCCACCATCATCTACTTTAACTAACACACTCCATCACCGACGCAGAACGACAATACTGCCCACCCCTCTCGCCATACCAACTTGTAGTGACCCTTTCAAGCGTGACGGCTAGTATGCTTACTTCTCCCCACATTACCCCATTCTCCTGTTCCGATCTTTCTAGAACTTTGCTCTCCAGAGCCATGCACGACGGCGTGGCAAAGCTGGGGCTTGCATGGTTTTATACCATTAACGAAAGCAAGCCCAACCTCCACATCCCACATCCCACATCCCACCCCCTCCCCACTCACAACCCACCACCAAAGCTTACGACACCGACCCAGTAGACGACCAAACCTAGCAGTATGTATATCCAAAGCACAACGCTAAAGAACCGGCCGCCTATCTGCCTTCTAACCCCCGATATTATGCTCACGAAATGGACGGACCCGGAGGAAAGAAAGTGAGGGAAAGGAAATGGAGGAGTTGAGAAACGGCGGAGGAGACGCATGCGAAGGATATACTGTAGGTAGGTTAGAGGAAAGGGAAAGACAGATAATTCTATCATGCATGAGTGAATATCCACTTAATTACCTACCTCCTCTGCAACAAAGGCCAATGCCGTGTAGTGCAATGCAACAAACACCACTAACGAACCAAAAACAGCCGTCAGCCATCCTCGAAAACATCAAACTGAAGTACATAATCAAGCAAGCACACACCAAAAGACACACAGCGGAATCAATAGGTATCTAAGTCTGCAAGTCGGAGGGCTTCGCTGTCCGCACTGCACTGCCTGCTCTGATCATTGCACCGAACGCAAGCCACAAGTTTCGCCATCGCCATCCCTACTGCGCTGCAGCAGCGTTACATAACGAAACCATGTCATTCCTCAACTTATCAAATTATTAATCACTCATTCATTCATTCCCCTCCCTTCTCTCCCTCCTCTCATCTCCCTACCCGCTCAATCTCCCTCTCAACCCAACCTCAACCCAATCCAAAACCATTAAACCAACCAAACCAAACCGCCACAACCAACAGCGCTCATAGCCGATGCCATAGCAACCCAACCATAAAAACCAAACAACCAAACAACAAAAGCAAATCGGGTATCGTAAACGACAGCAACAACTCCTGTTCCCTTCCCATTCCGTTCCTTTCCTTTCGTTTCCGTCCCTTTCCTCCTTTACCCCCTCCTAAGAAAACCCATGTTACCCATCCCCCGCCCACCCACACACTACAGACTCAACAGTACCTCCACCGCCCTCTCAACCCTCAACCCATCGCCCAAATCCGTCTTGCGGAGCGCAAACCGCGCCTGCTCAGCCGAAAAGCCCATTTCCGTGATTTTCGCGACCGCGCGCTCGACGCTGTTGGTGGCTGGGTCTGCGTCGGCGAGGTCTGCGGCTGAGGGGTATGGGTTTACTGTTGTGGAGGGGTTGAGGGTTGTGGTTGAGGAGGTGGTGGAGAGCGAGTGCGCGGTTGTGAGGGATGTTGTGCTGGGCGTGCGGGGGCGCTGGTGGTGGTTATAGTGTTGGTTATGGTGCTGGTGCTGGTGGTACGGGCGCGGGTGCGCGTGGATTTCCCTGTAGCCACCCAGCCCCTGCGTCTGCCCCTGCGGAGGAGGCGACGGCAGAAACCACGCCGGCAGCGCCGCGCTGCTCGCCGTCGACGGCGGGGCGTTGTACGCGCTGCCGTCGGCGGACGGAGCGTACGACTCTGCGTACCCGTGCGCGTAATTGCCATTGCCACTGCCGTTGCCGCGCGGAGGCGCAGGGAAAACAGTCCCCCTGACACCAGTCCCGACACCGAGACCTAGAGCTACGCTCCCGCTCCCACTCGCGCTCGCACTTCCACTGCCGCTCGCGCTATCATAGCTCGCTCTTGCGCTCCTTAGCCCAGACGGCGCGTAAACCTGCGCTGCGAACCGCGCAGGGTGCACGTACGCGAACGCGTCGGCGTCGTAGGGAGCAGCGTCGTGCGGAGCGGTTTCGTGCGGAGCAGTGTCGTAAGGAGGAGAGGGCGAGAGCGTCGACATCGACGTCGAGGCCGATGGCAGCGTCATCGTCAGCTCAGCGTCCGAATCCGCGCGCAAGGCAGGATGCAGCTCCCTTGGCTCCGGCGCCGCGAGCAGGCCGCCGCATTCTTTTTCCTCGCTGAGGGTCTGGTAGCGCTGCTGCTGCTGCTGCTGCTGTTGGGCAAGGGCCTCGCGCCTGCCGATGCTCCTGCGGACGCGGGCGCGCTCGTCTGCCTCTGCACGAGCGCGGGCAGCGTTGGGCACGGCATTGGCGTGGGTGCTGCCCTCGAGTTCGGGCAGGTCCGGCAGCAGCAGCGACAGCTGCCTTGGCTGCATCTGCATCTGCATCTGCGTCTGCGGGCGCGGCGACGGCGTCCTTGCCCCCAGCGCCGTGAACACGCCCTCCCACTCGCTGATGGGGCGTTCCATGCTCATGCGCACGGTCGCGTATGCGCCTTCGCGGCGGCGTTGGCGTATCTCTGCGCGGTGCGCGGCGACGCGCTGGCGGCTGACCTCGCGCATTTCGAGGCGGGAGGCTGCGGCCGCGTTGGTTGCCGCGCCCGACGCCATGGCTGCAATCTTCTCCTCGTACACGCGTGCCACGGCTTCTTTCAGGAAGCAGGCGCGCGAGCCCCCGAACGCGGGCGGCGCCCAGTGCGCCCATCCGTTTGTGGCTGCGAGGTGGAAGGGCGTGGGCGACGAGGCGATAGCAAGAACGGGGCCGAGGCCAAGGGTTAGGATGTAGTACATCCATTCTTCTAGGAGGAGTTAGTAGGGTGTTTTGATAGTGTCGAGGTAGGATGGGCTTACGCAGCATAAACTCCTCGCCGTCAATGTCGCCGCCGCGAACGTCCGTCGCGTCAAAGACGCCGTACCGGCGCGCCTGGTCAGAGTGCCCCTCCAGCACCGAGACCAGCACGCCCAAGCACGTCCAGACCTCCGTCATATCGTACAGCTGCTCGGCCGACAGGCCGCCCGGGTTGCCCATGGCGAAGTGCTCCGACGCGTTCAGCAGCGTGCCGCTATCGTCGATCGAGTCGCCGCTCAAGATCGTCGCCCGGCACCCCGCCTGGTGCACCAGCGGCCCGCCGCGCAGCCAGTCCGTCTGGCCCGTAATGTCGTCCTCGCGGCCCTTGCCGCACCCGAAAATCTCACAGAAGTTCCAGATGCGCCAGAAGGCGTCGTCCATACGGGCGGAGCGGTCAGCGTCAGCGCTCGTGAGGGCCATGACCGTCTCCGGCCGCAGGAACGTCTGGCACCGGTTCAGGACGAGGTTTTTCAGCGACGAGATGACCTCCGCGTCTTTCTTGTAGTGGTGAAAGTACGTCTTGGGCGTGTATTCGGGTCTGGGGTACGCGCTGTCAGGCTCACAGCTCTTGCCCTTACCATCGACTTCCTCCTCGTAAGGCGGGCAGGCCTCGCGCCGCTCCCACGCCGGCGCTGATTGGTTGCGCAGAACGTCCTTCATGAGGGTTAGTTGGTTGCGCCTAAAGATGCGATGGAAGCCCTTGTTGACGAGTGCAGTGTTGAAGAGATCGTCGAGCGTATGCGCGTTCACCAGGATGCTGCGGACGATCGTCTCGGCCACCTTGGGGGAGATGTCCCGCACCAGCGGTGCGGGCGACGTTGGACGAACGGTCACATGCTTGGCATGGTCAGTACGCGGTATGACAAGACTCAAATGCTGACGTGGCGTGCGCTTCTTCAGAAACGAAACGGAAGGAGACACGATAGGAGACACAGGAGGAAGTCTAACAGAGCGTGTCCTTACTTGCTGTGTAGCAACATTGCTCCAAGGTACACGAGCCGCGCTGCCGGCGGGCAACGAGACGATTCTGTTCCGCCGGCTGGACTTTGGCGGGAGTGGCGGCGCTGGTGGCGCCAAGAGGGTGGCTCCGGGCGGACTCCGACCCATCGACACGTCATGTCTCTCGGGAGGATTGCGATCCTGGATGCTCTTGAGATGTTTCTCCAGCGCCGTCTCGGCTTCGCTAAGCGTTGGGCTCGGAGGAGTAACGTGGGGAACCGTGGTGTTCTCGGTAGCGGGCGCCACGCTACACTCGGACACGCAGATGCGTGGGTTGCGCCTGGAGTTTCGTCTGCTCAACGTCGTCGGTCTTGCCGTATTCGGAAGTGATGATGAGTGCGTCCTCGAGTGCAGCTTTGCAGAGGCTGGCTTATCTTGATCAGTGAAGGAGATTGCCTCCTCGGGTTCAGCCGGAAGGGGTTTGTTCAGCTGGGCGATGGCGGCGGCGTCGACGGGGCTTGCAGGTTGGCTGGCGGTGACAACCGGCGTAGCGTCATCGAAAATTCCCGCCGCAGCTGGAGTAATAATAGAATACGCCTGGCTTCCCGTGCGGCCTACTCCGAGGAGAGTCGGTTGCGGCTTGACGAGGGGCTCTCCATTGTCTTCGAGGCTGGTAATGGAGGTCCTGCTGCTGCCGCTGCCGCTACCACTGTAGTTAGACGAACCGTATCCAGCATCTTTTTCATGTAATGACCTGTTTGACGAGCTCGAGACAGATGGCCAGTGCTCAGGTGATTTCCCTGGTTGATCCTGAACCTTTTCGAGGTACACCGGCACCGTTACCTCCACGGGTTCTCGCCTGGGCCTTGGGGGAGCTGATTTGCGGGTTTGAGTTCGGGCATTTTTCGCAGCCGAAGACGGAGCAATCATTTCAGACGACCTTTTGTTCGCAACCGGAGGAGGAGGAGGTGGTGGTGGTTGAGCAGGAGGCGGTCCAATGCGATCCCGCGTATCGAAAGGACTCTTGCGCCATTCACCGGGGATGATGACCTGGATCTTGGGCCGCTGGTTCCTCTGAGCCGGTGTCATTTCCCTCGCAGGCGTTTCAAGCCGCAGGGGTGTCGAGTCCAGTTCAGCGGCGAATGCATCCTGAGGGCGCTTCACCACAGGGATAGGCGGCTCCCCCTCCCAATGTGCTTTCCCATTGCGCCAAACACCGATGGTGGCCTTGTCTCCTTCGCTTTTCCTCGCGCTTTTCTTGTCTTTCTTTGGTGATGTCGGGGACAGTTTAGGGAATGAGAAGTTGCGAGGAAGGGACCGATGGGGGTGATAAAACGGTGTATTCACCGGCGGCGTACTGGCTGAGGGCGGGGAGGTCCGGCCGATATTGAGAAGAATTTCCTCATTTGGCGAGAGGTCCATGCCGGCTCCGGCGACAGCGAGGCTTATAGAGTCTGGAATGGATTGCGTAGCGGACGATGGCACGGTGGAGGGGAGGCTCGAGAGGTCTGGTGACTGCGGGACCGCGCGAAGAATGGTACCTTTCCGTTCAGAGGCCAGAGACTGGGCCTTCTTGGACTTCCACCTCCTTGACGGCGCCCGTTGCTGGTCACATGGCTTAGCCCCCGGGAAGCGCATGGTGAAGGGCTCGACGGGTTGGACCGGGGAGTCGATGCCACGTCGGCTGAAGACCGAGTCGGGGCGCCGTTGGATTGCTGATATGCGGCGACCAGGGAGATGATTCCGAATGGCCTGGGCACGAGCGGCGACGAAGCAGGTGGGCTGTGCGGAGTCTTCGGACGCCATGGTTGGAGAGAGAACAGAGCGAAATGGACAAAGTAGACGCCACGAAAGGTAGTCGGGCTTACGCACTTACGTAGACGTCTTAAGGAGGAGGGTCATTGGAGTAACGCGCGGGCGGAAAGAGGGTTGTATATCAGTCGCCGAAATGCCATGTCCAAGATAGCAGCATGATTCTGACGCAAACGCTGCGCCTCTACTTGGATTCCGGATCCGCCAGAATGCGGCTGGGCCCGGGCCCGAGGCCCGGGGCATGTTGGTGTTGTGTGTGCGTGAGAGTGCGAGTGGAGCAGGGATGGCCGGACCCCAAATCGCGGCGGCGCGCGGGGCGGCGGAGTCAGACGTGAGCGTGAGAGGTCAGAGCGATCAGAAACACAAAAATAGAGTTGGTGCTCCGTGCACCGCCCCCGCCAGCTGTGGCCCGCGCTATTCTTGTAGCACATCTTGCTTTCTCTCTTTTTAATCGACTTTTGCTTGTCGTTGTGCCCCCAAAAAAAGCAAAATGTCCCCTCCGCCCCCGCCAGCCTCACCTGTCTACCATCTTCACGGCCGCCCGGGTCACCGACAAAATAGGTACAGTACAGTACATACAATCCGATTCTCGCAACCCGGACCCCACGAGGCAGGCAAGCAAGCAAGCAGTACATACACACATACACACCCAACACGGCCTCGTACGAGCACCACTGACAAATCACCCCTTCCTTCCCTTTCAAATCCCTCTCTGCGCACCACTCGGACGTTGCAGCCTTTGCGCCACGGGTTTCTGCTGGTATCGTATGTACTTCAGCCCATCGCGCCAGTGTATCCTGGCGCGTCAAATCAAATAAAATCAAAGCATAAGTGTGAGTAGCAGTCGCTCTGCTCACATCACGTCAAGCCAGCGACCCTATAAGTACAGCACGCCTTTATTTAACCTGCCATTATCTCAGCTGCACTGCCTTGGCTCGCCTCATCTGGAGGCTGCTTATCAGCCTGTCTGGGTACTGACTGTATCAACGGCAGCCAGCCGCACAACCACCCCTGCTCTTCCCGCTCTTCCCACTCTTCCCACTCTTCCACTCTTCCACTCTTCCACTCTTCCTTCTAGAATCCTACCGTAGACAGGCAGGTAAATTACCCAGGTAAGTAAGTAAGTGCACACACACACATACAGACACAACAGCGACACCGACACCAACAGCGCCTGACAGCTCTCGCTGTAACCTGCCCGCGTGCGCCTAGCCTTACATCCATACCCACAAATTTGCCTGTCTGCCTTACCTCAGCCCACACACCACGCCCCCCCGGATCAATCAGATCAGTCCATATTGGCAGCAAAACAAAACAAAACAAAACAAAGACAGACAAAACAAAGCAAACGCGCTGCACAGCACATGACGTGCAGGCTGCAGCTGAGACAGATAGATCGCACGCCGGGAATGCTCCGAAGTTGGTTGGTTGGCCAACTGGTTGGTTGGTTGGTTGACTAGCTGGTTGATTGCTTGCTTGCTTACCTGTCCCATGCTTGCCCCCTTACCTACCTACCTCCATACCTACAGTAACTCCGTCGGAGCCGAGAGGTTTCCGGTTCCGGTCCGTCTGCAGACGGGGGTTGGGCGCGCGGTTTGCTTGTTTTGGTATGGTTTGGTGTGTGACGTCGTTTGTGCGCTGTGAGCTGGGCCGTCTATTCCGGCGGAGAACGGATGGACGGAGGGATGAGCGAGGGAGTGAGTACCTACCTACGATGTAGATACGCAGGCAGTAGTCAGTCGCGGCGAGGCAGTGCAGTGCAGGCGCGTCGTCTATGGTCTATAGGTAGGAAGTTGTTAGATGCGTAAAGGACATAAAAACACGCTCCTCTCCCCTCCATCCCAAAACCAAAGCCAAGCCCTCTCACCCCTCCTCCACACTCACTCACCCACCCAAAAAGAAATCCCCGACCCATCCAGCCTGCCGAACCGTCCGATCCCAAACGTCCGGTCCCAAACGCCCGGTCCCCGAGCCAGCGGAACCGGCACCGCATCGGCAGCAGATGCGTCAGAGCCGATGACGTGCTGACGCCTCCTACGCCCACGCCCACGCTCTCGGCACGGCGCGCAGAGCGGAAGGGCGGGAGAGGGAGCGTTAGCTCGAGAGAGAGGGAGCGTTAGCCCAATAGAGGACGTCAGCCCAAGGGTCGGGGACGTAAGTTAGGTCAGCCGTGGCGTGGTGAGGTAAGAAGCCTAGAAGCCAAGATCTCACTCCACGCGGCACCCGCTCAAACGCGCCGGAAGCGCGGAGGTTGGTTGTCCCTGGAGGAGGCGTGGTTGCACTACAGGAGTAACCAACTGCGCCGACGGCGTGGGCGGTAATTGTTGTTATAGGAGGGAGAGCGTGGTTGAAGGGATCGGGAGTGTAAGATTGCGTGCGCAGAGATCGGTGTCTGTTTGAGCTTGTGGGCCTGGATGGTTGGACTGGTTTGGCCGGATCGGATCGGGGGTGGGGGCGTTCGGTTGTGTGTGCGTGGGGTCGAGGATGGAGTATTGAAGGAAGGGCTGGGATGGGCTGGTCTGGTCTGGTCTGGCCTGAGCTGACCTCGCAATTGGATTGTATGTGTGTGCATACTCGGTAACGCTGAGAAGGATGGTAATTGCGGACATGCGGTTGCGGGTGCTGCAGTATTGGATCGGTGTTGGAGTTGCTGATTTAGCGGGGAAAGGCGCGTGGGTGCTTGTTGGTATGCATTGGATGCGGGAGCAGCCGGTTGGGATCCGCGGTTGATCGTAGGCTGTCCATCATCCAGGGACCATCCCAGCGATGTCTAGGTAGGCAGTCTTGTCTGGCCGATCATTCGTCTTCCATCCTTCCAGCAGCAATGAAGCCATAGGTAGACAACCAACACGCTCAGTGCATCCTATCGTCTTGAACCACCCCACCACCCACCCACTCACAACCCCCCACAAAGCCGCTTATGCACCTTCCAATCCTTCTTCTGGCACTCGCGCCCACAATACCTCACCCGCCCACACCCGGTGCACTTGCGCGTCCCCTCCGTCCTCCCGCAAGTCTTACACCGCGGATCGGCCGGGCCCTCTTTGATGCCCAGCTCCATGCCTTCTTGCTCCTGCTCCTGCTGCTGCCCCTCCCCCGCCTGCTGCGTCTGCAACCCCTCCACCACGCGCCGCACCTTCTGCCGCGCCAGGACCTCGCACGTCTCGCGCCCACACACCGGCGTCACGAGCACATCGACTCTTTTCCCCGCAGCCTTTCCCTTGCCCTCTGCTGCATCCTTATCCTCGCCCTCACCACCACCCCTCCCTTCTCCACCCTCATCCAAGCTCGTACCCTCCACCTCACCCCCACCATCACCAACATGCAAAAACGACACCGGCGTCAACAGCACATCCCCCTTCCCCACCCCACAGATCTCGCACTCCGCCGCCGCAGCCCCAAAGCACTCGTCCCTGTGCGCCGCGAGCGCATCGCTGAGCGTCGCGATGAAGAGGTCTGCGTCTGCGTTGCTGGGCGTCGAGCTTAGGAGGGGGAGAGGCACTGCGTGCGTGTGCGTGAGACGTTGTGCTGGGGTTGGGGCGAGGGTGGTGGGTGTGGTGGTGGAGGAGGTCGTGGTGCTGCTGCTGTGCGGTGGGATGTGGAAGTAGAAGGGGATTGCGCGCGTAGGGCCGGTGTAAGGTGCTGGTGCGTCGGCCTCTGCTTCTGCGTCTACGCCTGCGTCTGCGTCTGCGATGGTGGTCGCGGGAGTAGGTTCTGTGGTTGGCATTGTGGGCGAGCGCGAGTGAGGCGATTGGTGGGGTGTGCTGGTGGCGGGGTTGGAGATAGAGATAGAGTTGGGCGCGAGACGGAAGTCAAGGTTGGGTGCGTCGAAGCTTCTAGCGACGCGTTTGCGCGATGCACGCGCTCTGCTGGTGCGTACGTGACTTGGGAGCGGTGTTAACCCAGAAGCTTCGTTTTCAGTAGATATATAGCTGGGCTTCTCTTGCTTAAAAGAACGTTGTTTCGCATTGCGCGTGCGCAAAGTGTTGAAAACTAACTACCTAGGTATCCAGACAAGCTAATATTTGGTAGGGACTGATCCCATTTGCGTTCTGCTTAAGCAATCAAGGGCGTGATCAAGAAACATTGCCAGAGGTAGTGTAATGCCAGTCAACCCGCATGCGCAATACCCAACTCCGAAACCAATCCCATGCAGTGTTCGTCGTTTAGTTCATTCCAGTCATCACTGCTACTATGCGTGGTCGTTGATGTTATGGAGGGCCATGTCTTGAGTATCCTTGACCCGCGCCTCGTCCTCGGTGCCTCGCCTCTCAAAGTGGTCGGGACGAGCATTCGTACCGTTGACCGGAGCACTGTCGATGGCGTCCTCCGAGTTCTCTGCAGGAATGACATTTCCATGCTTGTCGACCTCGACGCCCTTGGCGGCCATGCGTACCTGGCTTTCGGTGGCCCCGCCGTGCATGATGGCTTGCCTGGCGCTCTCCAAGACCTTGAGCTTCTTGCTTTCACCGCGGATACGCTCCAGCCGGTCAAAGTAGTCCTCGTCAACAGGCGTGGCGTACTTGCCACAGAAGACACCGACCTCGAACTTCTGCGTATCTTGGTCGCGGGGCGATAACGCAGCGCAAGCGGCTTCGAGATCCTGAAGGTTCTGATAAATCACAGCATCTGCGCCAATGAGGTCGGCAATCTCCGAAGAACTGCGGTGATGTGCGATCAGCTCAGAGGTAGACGCAAGGTCAATACCGTAGATGTGAGCGTTGCTGCAAAGATGTCAGTATCATGTCTCTTCGTCTGGGACAAATTGTACATACGTAATAGGCGGTGCGCAGCTGGTGAAAATCACCTTCCTCGCGCCGGCTTCTCTTGCCATGTTGACAATCTCACGACTCGTCGTGCCTCTGACGATACTGTCGTCAACCAGCAGGACATTCTTGCCCTTGAACTTCAAAGGCTGGGCGTTGAGCTTGGCGCGAACACCCTTCTGCCGCAACTTCTGGGTAGGCATGATGAAGGTCCGGAAGATATACCGGTTCTTGACGAAGCCCTGGACATAAGGCTTGCCAAGAGCCTCGGCAACACACAGAGCAGAGGTAATAGAGGTCTCAGGGATAGGCATGACGACATCAATATCCGCCAGGCCCTCCGGGCCCAGCTGCTTCCGGATTTCCTCACCGAGCTTGTAGCCCATGTTCCGCCTGCTCTCATCGACATCGATGCCATCGATGACACTGTCAGGGCGCGCAAAGTAAACATACTCGAAGATGTCGGGCGTGTAGCCCTTCTGAGGGTGCACTTGACGGAAGACGGGCTCCTTGCCCTTCTCAATGATGACGGCCTGGCCAGGCAGGACATCCTGGAAGGTCTTGTAACCACACTGCGTGAGGGCGACGGACTCCGAAGCCATCATGTAATCCATACCGTGACCAGTCTCCGAGGGCTTAGAGCCAATGACCATAGGGCGGATGCCGTAGGGGTCACGGAAGCCGATCAGGCCGAAACCAGCAAGCATCGCCGTACAGGCCCAGCCTCCAACACAGCGGTTGTACATCCTCTCCAAAGCGGAGAAGCAGTCCTCGGCGTTGACGCGAGCCTTGCCGGTCTCGTTCAGTTCGCTGGCGAAAATGTTGAGCATCAGCTCGCTGTCGCTCTCGGTGTTGATGTGACGGTGAGCCTCCTTGTCAAGGTAGGCCCTGAGCTCCGGCGCATTGATGAGGTTACCATTGTGCGTCAGGCAGATACCGTAAGGGCTGTTGACGTAGAAAGGCTGCGCCTCAGAGTTTGCGCTGCTTCCAGCGGTGGGGTACCTGAGGTGACCAAGACCCATGAAGCCGGGCAGGTCCGCAACCCTCGCACCATCGTGGAAGACCTTGGAGGCCATGCCGTTGCCCTTGCACTGGTAGAAGCGTCCACCATGGCCGCAAGTAGCTATGCCGCAAGCATCCTGTCCTCTGTGTTGAAGGAGGTAGAGCGCGTCGTGAATCTCGACGGCGGCAGTGGCGGACTGCGGATCCGCGTGAATGACAGCGATGATACCGCACATTGTGGCCTAGGAATTGGTTCTGTGTCTCTGCTGGCTGGGTTGTCAGTGACTGTACAGCCGATATGGTTTTTGCAATGTGATGGGAAATTTAAGACAGATCAGAATGTGGTTTCTCCGCAGCTTTGAGCTAGGAAGTCTAACATCTATAAAAAAAAAAACACTAATTCATCATAGAGGGGTAAGAGTACAAGGAGGAAGTAGGCGGGGCATGCTTACCGGACTACGCTTTGGTTGTATGCCGAGTTTGCTGGAGGCAAACAAAAGTGCGGGAGCGGCTCAGGATGGAATTGCGGCCGTGGCTTGATCGATAGCACGGTCGCGACAAGAAGGCGAGACCGTGGTAGCCCAAGGCAAGTGAGGATTGTTGGATGCCATTTTGTTAGGTGTTAGGTCCCGTCAAAACTGGGAGAAAAAGGCTTAAGAGCCGGCCACCGCACGCGCGATACCGGCGCCAAGGGTCAATCTCGGCTGCCGTCGGCATGCAAGAAACTCTGGGCGAAGGCTTGGGAGCTTGGGAGCGAAGGAACGCCATCCGAGACAGCGGTTCTAGGTGTAATAGGGCATTGTATGCCTCGGAGACGGACTCAACACCATCAATTTATATCCAAATCTGCGTTTCTGAGCCCTGACGACGGCGGAAACAGTGCTCTATCGGAGGCCGCCGATGCACGTGCGAGCCCTGTCATTGGCTCAGAGGCGCTCGGCTTAGATAATATCCGCTTTCACAGGCCGTTGTGTGCACGTGATCGGTTAGTTATCCGCGTGAGTCATGCTTGGCGCTGTGTCACGAATTTTGCGCGTCCATGACTGGCGCGCTGACTGCTGTCGCGTCCAGGGTTCGGCCGAACTCCCGAATAACTCCTCTATTGCATCCGTTGCTGCCGTGCCATCTCAGCTCAGTGTCGGCTCGCAATCCGGTCATTTTCCTAGTCTCTGGCTTCCCCTCAATGGCATTTCGATTTCCGTGCGTCTCCTTTCTTTGTTGGACATATTGTGCTTGTTGACGGCCGTCACCGTCGAGCGAGTGATGCTTGTACAGTGGAAGAAGAAACCCAATCAAGATATCTGTAGTATGTATGCGCTCCAAAACCTTTTACCTGTATCCAGGACTCATGCTTGTAGCCAGACAAAGAGGAGCCTGCTTGTGTCTTTCTCTATCTCTTGACGGTGTCAGACATTATTTGCTACTTCAGTACATGCATCCACCCGTGACTATCATCCACCATACAATGCCTATCGTCAACGAGACCATGGCATCATGAGGACAAAGATTTATCTTGCTGTACCTCTAACTATCAAGGATACCCTACCAATGTTAAATGTGTTTCATTGTTTCGTTGTTTCGTTGTTGTCCTGCTCCGACAGCGCCTCTGCTATTTCACACTGCACCTTAGACCTTAACACAACCACCGCCCTAAAAGGTTAGCGCGATCCTTCTTCTTCGCCGACATCTAGTTGCACTTCTCAATCCCAACCTCCGTTCGCTTCAGCAACATGCTTCTGCCTGAGATGTCCTAGTCAAGTGGCCTTCATCCGCATCTCGCTTCGCCCATCTTCACTGCTCAGGCAGGTGTTCGCTATTAAATTCAGGTTCAGCCGACAGATGCTGAGAGCGACGTAAACAATCAACTTCACTTCACTTGGGCGCTCTTTTGGCGCCAATCGCTGCAACACTTACAACTTCCTTCAGGCTTTCTTCAACTCCACACATCCCACCTTGCACTCAACGTTTAGTCTTCTTCATTCCTTGCAACAACCCAACGACTACTGTCACTGTAACTACTAAGCAATCATTCTGCGGGCTTCGTCGCGCAGTCTGACGGTTGCTTGCCATAAAGTACAGCTTTACAACTTCACCTTGCGTCAAAACTGTCCCATCCCGCAGACACTAATGCCCACCTTACGACTCTCGGCAACTTCACAAGATGTCAGGCTGCTACTAGACTCCATCGTATCACGCTTTCTCAACATCCTTGTCAGAGATCGGACACTGCACGCATCTCTCCACCATAGCGTCATCTTTGATTCTCCCTGCCATAGTTTGCAAAGCACTAGGTCGTGACCATGAGTTATGTCGACGACGGCGACGACTTCGGTCATGCTGGTAAGCTCACTAACAATCCCTTGAATTATCAAGTGAACCTCTACTGATATTCGCTCCAGACCCACTAGCACAGGAACTAAGGCAGTTCGTCGACCTAGAAGAAGACGACCAGGACAGCGCTTCCCCAGGGCCTAGCTATTTCCGTGACGCTCCGATCGCCCTCCCTCAAATCTACGCGAAAGAGTGCCGGCTCCTGGACCGAGATTTAGAGGGAAAAGGCCCCAGAGCTTCAACAGTGAAGCCGGGAGACGCTGTCGAACTTGACAATGGAACATTTATGCGCGTATTCTACATCATCGAGGACGTACAGACCGACGACATAAAACTGCGCGGTCTACTATTCAAACGGGATAAGTCTCTCGCTCCGGCGCTGCCAAGGCGACTCAACGAAGTGCATCTGGTTGTGTCATTCGACGAGGATGACCTTCGTCCTTGGTATGAGCAAGGACTTGAGGAAGTTGAACTTGGCAACGTTGTCAAAAAGCGGCGTCTCGTACTAACCAGCCGCCCCTTCCCGGAGCAGAGCTTCAGGGAACATCGCTACTTTTCTTCGACGGGTGCCGACGCAAAGAAACACCAGAAAAAAATTTATGAAACCGAGAACCTCGTTTGCCGCAATCTTTTTGCATCGATCTACGCACCCGGAGAACGTGCCAAAAATCGGCGCAAACCTTACCATGGAATACTACGCCCTCTCTTGCCGCACGAAGACGACGCAACCGACGCAGCACTCAAAGAGCCGGGTTGCTACCGCGTTGATGTGGATATCGGTGGCAATGCTACCGTTCCTGCCGATAACAACAACGGTCCGCATGTCACTAAATACCCCTCAAAAGCTAGGAAATACACAATGGCAGACACGTTCATGGGTGCTGGAGGCGCCAGCAGTGGTGCTCGTCAAGCAGGCTTGCTGGTGGTATATGGATTCGACCATAACGAAGATGCCGTCGCAACGGCAAGAGTGAACTTCCCGACAACCAAGGTGTATCATATGAGCGCCCAAGACTTCATTCAGCAGGTGCTGCTCGGTCGGCATGTTGATATCCTGCATATCAGCCCCCCGTGTCAGCCATATTCGCCCGCCAACACCAATCCATCCGTGGAGCGCGATGAAGAGAACACCGCGGCCCTCTTCTGTGTGGAGGAGCTGATCAAGAAGATCAAGCCCAGGATTGTCACTTTGGAGGAGACTTTTGGCTTGATGACCTATGAGAAACATGAACTTTGGTTCCAGGGCTTGTTGGCCATGATCCAACGCAAAGGGTACAACATCCGTTGGGGAATCTTGGAATTTAACAAGCTCGGCCTCGCCCAACCTCGCCGCCGGTTGGTGATATTTGCTACTGCGTAAGTGCCTCTTGGTTATTAATTGTCGTTCCTGTGGACTACCCATACTAACTCTTCACAGACCAGGCATTCCGCTTCCCAACTTCCCCAAACCGACCCACGGAGAACCGGGCTCAGGCCTCATCCCTTTTAGGACAATTCATGACACCATCGGCAATCTCCCTCCGAACCTAGATTTGCACGATATCTATGAGACAAAAGCCCGCTCATACGCGCCTTACAATGCACATGAACCCCTCAAGAGAACCATTCTTACAAACGGAGATCCGGATCTGTACCATCCAAACGGCCGCAGGGACTTCACGCTCCGCGAATTGGCTTTGTTGCAGGGCTTCAAGAGGAACTTCAAGTTCGAAGGAGGAAAGACCTCAATCAAGAGGCAGATCGGCAATGCTTGCCCGCCGTCGGTCATGAAGCTCCTATACCAGGAATGTATCAAGGTATTGGAGAAGGTAGATGGGAATTCTGGAGACATGTCCGAATCACCACGTTCTGGGTCCACCAACATGGGTCCATGTCCTGGGCCCGCCAAAATGGGTCAACGTCAAAGGCCTTTTGACACTCCTTCAGCAAGCGCCACACCCACACTTGTCCCCGGAAGTCCCACGCCCAGCCTCGAGACATTGCGACGTCGCGCAGCGGACTCCATGTTCGGAAATTTGCGGACACCGAAGAGGCGTGTTTCCATGTCGCTTATCGATGAGCAGGAAACACCTAAGAAGCTGAAGCGGGAGGTGTTGGGATGGGATGGTTCTGTCACGGTCTCTCGCCCGGCCTCGCCTCCTAGTGCCGCCAGCTCACGCACGCTTCCGCTAGATCCACCGTCGCCACAGAGCCCGCTGGGTAGGGTCGGCTTGGATGGATACAACGAAACAAATGCCATCCTCATCGACGATGAAGGTACTGATGCTAAGAACTCACTGGAGTCATCGAAGACGTTCTCTTCGAGTCGTTCAGTGCAGCACGATAATGGTCCAGAAGACCTTGCGGGAAGAGATATGCTCTCAGCAATCCTGATAGACGACGAGGACGAAGATGTTGGAATGCTCTCTGAGTTTCCAGAAGTTGTTGAGAGTGTCGAGAAGGATGACCAAGAAGTCATCGTGTTGGACGATGACGAGGGCATGCATGAGGTCATTGTCATCAACTAGAAGTGGAACCACAGTAAAGGGGAGGGTTGCATGCCGGAACGAGACGACTCTGTATGTAGCGAGTTTCTGCCTTCCCGGTCCATTGTCATTCCCTTGCATTGAACAAGGCCTAGTTTGCAGGATGCGAAAATGGTCTCTAGATAGTGGTCGGCTTGATAGGTAGGAAGTAGAAGAAGCCAGTCAATTCCATTCAATTTCGACTTCAAGAGCACTGCAGCGGCACGGCATTGTTCCCTGGAATATATCACGACACGGAGATTTTCACGAGGGCATGTGACGCAGGCGATGCAAGGGAGAAAAGCGTATAGGGGCGGAAAGGTTGGCAGTGGTGCCACTGTCACGATGTGCAGTAGGCAGACAAGGACAAAATAGAAGCGTGACCAAGACAACCTTGCATTAAACGGCATACGCGTCTACTGGCGATTGGTGAAGGCGTATACCCGTCGTGATGTGGGGCGAGGTAGCTAAAACGAAGAGCCGGTCATGGTTCCGGCTGGGGTCGCACGAGTACCTGGCAAGGCCCTGTCGTCGGATCGAGATGTCATTGGCTAGGTGGGAGCGAGGAATTTCCTTGGTGGGTAAGTTGATGATGCTGGGCGTTGGCAGCTCGTGGAGCATCTGTGCGCCGTTGGGCGCGACGGTGGTGGCACGGAGTGGTCAGTCGGCCTTCCCCAGCTTTCGCGGGATGATGAGCCGCGGGCCCGGGCAGCTGGAAGGATTGGGATGACGACGAACGGGGAGATGACGAAGCATCGCAAGATCATGGAAGTATACGACGGGGAGGTTGGGCAAACGGCCGCGGAACCTAGCCACTCCAGCTTCTCCCGCGAAGCCGGGGGTGACGTCACCCCCAATCGCGATGAAAGGAAACTGCGACATGGCGGACCGCCAGCTCTGCTTTTCTTCCTTCCGCTCCGTTTCGGCCTTCATCAAACGCCCATGCTCTGCTTACGCCTCACTCGCACCCAACTATTAATACCCGGGCCGCCTTTCTCCCTCTTGCTCCTCCTCCTACACCTACCCAACGTCTATTCTTCCTGCAGGGTCCTTGCGCCATCCACTAGCCGTGCCGCATCATCGCTGCTAGCTCCCCCGAGCTAACCCCCACACCATTCTCACCATATCCCTGCGCAGCCATACTTGACATCGACATGGCAGGTTTGGCTCTGAAGGCGCTCTCATACGGGGCAGAGAAGATCCCCGATAGATTCTTTGAGGCTATCCCAGGTGGTTACTTCAGACCAAAGGAAGATAAACACGACAGCAGGCGCAAGAGCAAGAGCAGATCCTCCAGATACCGGAGCCAGAGTGAGGGCAGGAACCGGAAGAGGTCGCCGTACCCTGAGGAGTACTCGGATGAAGACAGCACCGACTACGATCATACCGACGAGGAGTCTGACCGGGAGCGTCGTCGCCACAGACACAGACATCACCGGTATGGCGACAGTCACAGGGCGCGCGAAGGAAGGCGCCGACACAGGTCGCTCTCGGAAGACCGTGACAGCTTCGACGACGGCTACATCCTCCCTCCTCCCAAAGTAGACATGTCAAGAACTCTAGGCGGCCAGCATCCAACTCCTTACTTCCCACCTCCACCCGTCGTCGGCCATGCCGAATCTGCACCTGCCAGCACGACTTACTCGCCTGCCCGGCCTCATAACCCTGCGGATTACTCACCGGCCCACCCCTTGGCGTCTTCAGAGCAACCTAGTCCTCATTCCTTACCACTGAACACACGCGTTCCGGCACCTTCTCCCGTAGTTCCACAGCATGTGAGTGTTCCAGATATCATTCAGATGATCTTCTCACTTACAGTAGCAGGATGGTCACTACAGTAGTCCTAATCGCGTCTTGCCCCCGCCTCCAAGTCGTTCCTCACGTGCGTCTTCTGTGGAATCTCGCGGCTACAACCCAAACCAGTACATCCCTCACAGCAACGTCTACGGCTACGGACACAAACCACCCGCTATAGCCCCGGCCCCTTACCAGAATGGTATACACACGCCCCCATACACTCCGCAACAAAGTTCTCCCTACCAGCCCAACTACAGCCCCAGCTATGCTCCAGCACCCTACAAGCAAACCTCTCTGCCTGTCTCCCGCACCGGTAGCATAAGCCAAGGCAGCGGCGGCCATAGACACCATCGCGAGCGCAACCGGCGCCACAGCATAGCCACGAACCCGGCCGCCGGCCAGCAGTATCCATACCGCCCGGCTCGTGTCGGGGGCTCGCAGTCGTCGAGCGCCAACTCGCGCCGCAGCTCCATCCGCAACAGCGTCCATGATCGCATCGAAGAGGGTATCGACGAGGTCGCAGGCCAGATCGACGGGCTTGACGACGGTGACAGAGCCGTTGCTTCGACGGCGGCGGGCGCGGTTGCGGGCGGCTTGCTCGCTAACGGTGTGGCTGGCGGGGGTGTTGGCACGTTGGTCGGCGCAGCCGTTGGTGGGATCGGAGCTGCGGAGGCGCAGGGGAGGCGCGAGAGCCGGAGGAGCATGGCCAGGAGGACGTACTCTTATGGTCGGGATCGTCGTCGTCGTGGCTACGATGATGGATACGATAGCTACTGATGGGAGTTGCTGTGGTGCGGGCTCCTACTTCCTTTATGAGTTGGATGGGGTGGAGAAATGGACTGCTGCCGCTTCTGCTGGTCATGGGTGGCGGTGCTCATTATATGGGTTTGGTGCGAAGCGGAATGCGGATGGAGACGGTTATGGTTATGGCTATAGCTTGCATTCGGGACAATCGTCAGAGCAGGTAGTGCAGTGCGCACTGCGATACCCTCTTGCTTGCGGACTTAGATACCTTAGGCGAGCATTCTGGTTCATATTCATACCTATTGGTTCTTTGCTAGAGGTGTGTATGTTGTGTAGTGTGTTGTGTGCGTCTTCTGGTGTGTGATTTGATTGTTTGGTTGCTTCATCTTTGTCTTTGTCGGGGAATGGGAATGGAGTGACTGGACAGGTCTTGGTTTGTTCGTGTGGTGTTGCATGGAGGGAGTGGTCTATAGCTTTGTAGATGAAGGGCAGCGTATGGTCAAAGACGAAGGGGGAGAGGGCGGGGAGGAAAGATATTGTAGTTTGTGTGGGATAGCGGTTGAGGATAAAACAGGGCGCTGCGAAGCGCAGTCCCTAGGTCGCTACGACGAAGGGGAAAACAGTCTTGTACGGCGTGGGGAGAAGTCTCCAATCTACCTAGCTGCCACGCTTGAACGGAGTAGGTAGAAGGCGGTGTGTTGAGAGGGGTGTCCAGCATAAAGTGTAGTTGTTGTTTTGCGGTGGTGGTGGTGAGTGTTAGTCAAGGCGGATGGTGGCGCGCTTTACTGTGGTGGAATGGTGGTGAGTAGAGAGTAGCGTGGTGTGTGGTGTGTGAAGATGAAGGTGGGTTGGGGGGGTAAGGGCGGAGCCAGCACCATGCAGCCTGCCTTCGACAAAGCCACGATACGAGAGCTCGGACATACATGGAAGTATTCGAGGCTAGGGCGTGCAGGCGTCTTGAAATCAAGTTGAACATTCATCCTCTAGGTCGCGCATTCGTATATCCTTGCTACCGCTTCCCTCGTAGATAGGATCGTTTAGTTCTAATTCGGTAGCGGTAGAAGTTTAGCTTTAAGTACGCCCTTAATGTTATAGTCTAGAACTATAATAAGTCGTAACTATATCTTAAGTAAAACCTATAATACCTATAGAATATTTCTTAGTTAGTTATAATAGACTATTATAATATAGCTAATAGATACTATATAACTATATAAAAGTAAAAATATATAAGTAGTAGGGTATACTACGAGAGTATAGAGGTATAGATATATACGACTACTAGAGTATCTACGAAGGTATAAAAATAAAATATTTAAAGGGTGTAAAGGTACTTATAAGGATATAGAGACCTATGATTTTAAAGAGTAGAAAATATATTGTATGATTCTGTAGATGCTATCACGTGGAGTGAGCAAACTATCTAGAGGGGGCGGGCAAATTATCCGGTGCCGACAAACAACCTACTCTAGCAACGGGAAAATACTCAATTCAAATAAAAGCAAGCGCTAGGCGACCGTAAACACGACCCCACGCAACCGCACTACAAAGCGGATCTACCCGCCCTCTCAACCCCAACAACCCCCCAATCCTCCTCAGCAATAAACCGCTCGAGTGGCGTAACCTCCGCAGCTATGCCCAGCTCCTCCCTCCGCCTGACCCCCGGATCCTCCCCGTCAAACCCCACTTCGCCCATAAACGCAAACATGTCCGCCAGCTCCAGCCCATAGCCGCCGGGCAACGCGTCGTCGAAGCTCTGCACGCTGACCTGTTCGAACGCCGCCTTCTCGACCCCCAGCACCCGCCCCCAGACCCCCATGTACTCGCTCCAGGACACCTCCGCCGACGCGCCCAGAAGCGTCACGTTTGGCTCTGCGCGCAAAAGCGCGCGCACGAAGACGCCCGTGTCGCGGCGCGCGTCGACAAGCGGCACCGCGCGGTGCGGGTTGCATGGCAGCGCGAGCCGGTAGCCCCCCTCGGGGGAGCGGGCGGGCATCAGCAGCGGCGAGAAGCGCCAGCTCGTGTAGTAGACGCCCATGATGAGGGTGCTCAACTTGGCGGCGAGGCTCGGGTGCTGAGACCGCACGTACGCGACCATGTCGGCTTTGCTCTCGTAGTGCCACAGGCGCGAGAAGCGGGCGTCGTTGTTGCTCCATTTGCGCGGGCTGTTGAGCGTCGAGACTATGAAGCGCTCGAGGGAGGGGACGCGCGCGGCTGCGTCGGCAATGTGCTGCCCTTGTTCATATTCGAGGTTGTAGGCGCGCTCGCCGGGCGTGGGATGCGGGAAGACATGGTCGCTGCGGAGGTTTCGCGCTTTGGCTTGCTTGAGGAGGTCCGAGGGCGAGGAGCCAAATGCGGCGAATGCTTCGTCTATCGCTTTTGTGAAAGGCGCCCAGAAGTCCGTCACGCTGAAGATGACGGCCGCATTGGCAAAGACTGCATCCAGGCTGGAGGAGGGGGTTTGGAAGTCGGCGTAGACGACTTCTTCGACGCCGGAGTTGAGGAGCGCTTTGCTAGCTGGGGAAGAGGGGTCTCTGGAGATGCCGCGGATGCGGTATTCTTTGCGCAGGACGGGGTCGGAGAGGAATGTCCTTGCAACTGAGCCGCCCTGGGTGGTGTTAGAGAGGGTTGTGCTTCACATGCCCAGTGAGGGGTACTTGGTTTCCGGTGATGCCTGCAATAACAATAATCTTGCGGTTATCCGTCATGGTGTTAATGAATGCAATACTGTATCAACTGTCAAGGAAGAAAACAAACAGACAGACCAGACGGCAGGCGCAGAACAAGGACAATAAGAAAGAGGAGGCATGGTAGGCCTAAGGGTGGGGCGGGATATAGATGAGTAGTGGAGAGATGCTGCAGGCACGGAAGTAGTTCTTTGTTTGTGGTCAAGTCCTAGTCACGGGCACATGTCTGAGATGTTTTACGCCGCAGTGATTGGGACCCCTGTTGGACCTCCGCGACACGGTATATAACCAGGCCAGGCATAGTCTCGGCTCCACGGAAGCAAGGGTGCTCGGTTTGTCGCGGCATCAAAACGGCATCGAGACTCCGGTCGAGGTGTGCTTACGTTTCAATGGCATTGGAGGGAGATTTGAAGGGCTCGAGATCCGTGAGGCCGGGCAGTGTCTGCTCCGGTGTGGCGTAGACTTTTTTTGCATTGTAGGTAGTGACGGAGAAGACCCTGACAATCCCCGGACGGTCAGAGAGAGTACTCCACCCGGATATCGTTTTGCTCTTGACTCCTTATAAACAAGGACAAGAAACGCGATTCGAGTTGACAAGAGAGAGTGAAAATCCGACGTGTCGCGATGGTGTTTTACGCGTTCTCTTCCCAGCGAGGCAAGAAAGGAGGCCTTTCACCGAGCAAACCGCGTGAGCTGTGGGTGGAATCTGCGTGAGCTGTTCGCAATGGCTCCACCAAGCTCCGACTGGCGAGAGAGGTCAAGTTAGTTGAGCAGAGCGAGGTGACCGGGTAGCCAGGCCTTTTGGCGCAGTGGCCAAGTATGATGATTGTAGGGCTGCAGCTTCCGCTCGCAACTCGCGATTTTCTGCCGGCCGCTCGCCATCCAGCCATCTCCATCACCAAAAAAAAAAAGCCCCTCGACACCTGCATGGCCCGCCCTTGAACCTCCTGTCACGAGATATGAGGCCCATCCCCCTCCGCCATGGCGCAGCTCCGTCTCCGGCTCTCTTGAGATTTCTGCGCGCCCAGACCGAGTCGCACCTCTGCTCGCCCGCCGGATCTGCATTTCCGCAATACTGCGCAAAAGCCCGCGCCAGCTTTCCCACCACCACCGCCCTCGTCGGCGACTCGTCGCTGCGCTCGCCGTTCGCGTCGCCCGCGAGATATCAGTCTTCGTGGGCTGCTCGCTCGTCGTCGCGCCTTTCCCCGTTACCTGCTTCCCGTCTCGCAGCCGCGCCCGAGCTGCCCGGCCCGCACCATGCGCATACGCCTCTCCGGAGGCTATCAAGCAAGTCGCTCGCAAGCTTCTGGGATAGGTGGCTGGGGAGACGCAAGCCGGCGTCGAAGCTCCACGCCGATGACTTGCCACCGCGGAACACCTATACCCAGGACGAGGGTGGTATCAGACGGCCTAGGCCGATCAACGAGCTCAGGCTCCGCTGTACTGAGTTTGACGAGAACGGCAATGTCACGCTGGTCAGCGGCGAGTTTCGAAAAAGCGAGCTCATTGCCAAGGTAAGCCTGCTGGGCATTGAAGAGCAATGAACGGGCAGCTAATCGACTCCGGCGCATACAGTACAGTCTTCTCCCCCGTGATCTTCGCAAAATCGACTCCTCGATGCTTCCGCACATCCTCATCCGACCCTCCGCCATTCTCATAAACCTCCTGCACCTTCGCGTCCTGATCAAGCACAACCGCGTGCTGGTCTTCGACGCATACGGCACGACCAACACACATGCCCAGTCTGCCTTCATGTATGATCTTGAAGGCCGTTTGAATCAGAAAGACCTGCGGCAGAATGGCTCCTTGCCGTACGAGTTTCGTGCGTTGGAAGCTGTGCTGATCAGCGTGACAACTGGTCTTGAAAGCGAGTTCGAGGGCGTACGCGAGCCTGTCGCTCATGTTCTGAAGGAGCTTGAAGAGGACATTGATCGAGACAAGCTGCGTTACCTGCTCGTCTACTCGAAGAGGCTGGGTCGGTTTGAGCAGCAGGCGCGCCTTGTGAGAGACGCGCTCGACGAGCTGCTCGAGGCCGACGACGACCTTGCGGACATGTATTTGACAGAAAAGGCAGAAGGCAAGGACCGTGGAGAGCACGACCATAGCGAGGTGGAGTTGTTGCTGGAAAGCTACCACAAGGTCGCCGATGAAATCGTGCAAGCGGCCGAGGAACAGTTGTCGAGCATTCGCAACACGGAGGAAATGTAGGGAAACCCCTTCTCTACCCCAGACACATTTAACTGACAGTATTCACAGTGTCAAAGCCATCCTCGACGCCAACCGCAACTCGCTCATGCTCCTCGAGCTGAAGTACGCCGTGTGGACGCTCGGCCTGACCGCGGGCACCTTCGTCGCCGCCCTGTACGGCATGAACCTGCAGAATTTCATCGAGGAAACAGATTGGGGCTTCTGGGGCGTCAGCGCGTGTTGCGCCATCATCACGGTAGTAGCGACGTCTGCGGGACTAGGCAAGCTGCGACGGGTGCAGCGGGTGAAGATGTGGGGCGAACACGGGCGGTACAGCAGCATGAAGGGCAGCTGGCGGGATACGGGCGAGGCGGGTCTGATGGCACCATCGTCGCGGGTGCCGCCGGTCGGGGGAGCGGCGGCGGCGGTAGGGCCGGCGAGCTTGAACACGACCGACGCGGTGGCACGCAAGGAGAAGCTGAAGAAGCTGCCCGACTTTCAGACGGCGAGGAAAGTACTGGACCACTCGAAGAGCACGGAGAAGGTGGTCAAGGAGGCGGAGGACCACTCGAAGAGCATGGAAAAGGTGGTCAAGAAGGCGGAGGACCACGCGGAGCGTGGCCATTAGACGGCTTGTTGTTGTTGTTTGCTTGGGTGATTGCTTCTCCTCTCCGATTGTTTCTGTTGCATAGACGACAAACACCGCTCTGGGGCTGGCGCGGGCGGGGGCGGCATGGGCTTTTGCATAGCGTTGGCGTTTTGCTTGGATATGTATCATGTATCACGTCTAGATGTTGAGCAATAGAATGCATTTGAATGGGTGGCCTGTACCAGTCTTTACCAAGGGAAGAAGAGTAATTAATTGCAAAGCTCACTTCACTCGCATCACCGCTGCATCGTCCGCCGCAAACCACAACAGACATCGGCAAACCTTCCCCTCCGCGCCCGCGCGCGTAGGTCGTCAGGGTCCCAACCCATAAAAAAAAAAAAAAAAAGAAAAAAAAAGAAAAAAATCTCTCTCTACGGAACCCTCCATCGACACCATAGGTATCTCCGCGCTTAACCCCGCCTTGGCCTGTCTTGCATAGCATTTGCATCCATCCATTCTGCATCCATCCATCCATCCATCCATCCATCCAATCAATCAATCGTTCCGTCCATTGCGCGCACACATTCCGACGCAGCGCTCCGCTTCCGCTTGCGGCGACGAGCTCACGGACGGTTACACGACGCGCGCGAGCAAACGAGCGCTTCGACCAGCCAGCCATGAGCTCCGCCACCTCCTCCTCCTCCTCCTCCTCCTCCTCGCACGGCGGCGGCAGCGGTCTCCCTCTCTCTCGCCCTCGCACCCATCTGCCTCGCCCTCGTTCGCGCTCGTCGTCTCATTCTCATTCGTCTGTTTCTCGCAACTTTGTTTCTCGCAAGTCTGCTGGCACTGGCACTGGCACTGGCGATAAAGAGGGCTTGACGCCTGTTAGGATTCGGGGCAGGAAACGGAAGAGTGGGCATAGCGCTTTGGAGTCCGGTACTACGACGCCGAAGACTGCGCCTAAGACTACGTCCAAGCACGCGTCTGGGGGGTCGATTCCTTCTGCGTCGGGTTTGGCTGCTTTGTCTGCGACTCCCTCTACGACTCCGTCTGCGACTCCGTCACAAGTCCTAGGCAAGCGTCGTCGCCGGGGCCGCGGCCGCCCTCCGATCCTCTCCTCCGCTTCGCAAACGCCGGGATCGAGCGCGGTGAGCAGCAGGGCTGGGACGCCATCGATGGGGGACACAGAGAGCTGTGGGAGCACGACAACAACTGCATCTCTCGGGACGAACAGCAGCGCACGCGCACACTGCAACAGCAACGAAACAACCGGGGCGGCGCGACGGAAGCGGGCGCGCTTGGCGGGCGTGGAAAAAGGCTCCAAGAGGAGGGGCGCAAGGATGTCACGGCTCGAGCAGCTGCCCGTCGAAATACTGGAGATGGTGTTCTGGGAGAGCGGGAACGTGGACCTGCCGGCCGCGAGCCCGGTCCTGGCCGCGAAGCTGGGCTCCGAGCAGGTGCGCATGGCGTTTTGTCTGCGCGCGCTGTATGCGCGCTATGAGGAGGAAGGCGAGGCAGGGGCCGCGGCCGCGGCGCTGCAGAGCAAGCTGCTGGCGCGCCGGTTCTTCACGTGGGACTGGTTCACAAAGTACGCGGAGCGGGCGCGCACGAGCCGGGCGCACCGCGCGTGGGTGGACGCGTTCATGGAGGAGGAGACGAAGAAGGGCCGCCCTGAGTTTGTGGACCCCGGCGCGCTGAGGGAGGAGTACGGCGAGGGGGTGCGGACGTTCCACGAGCGCCCGCTCGCCGACTTTGTCCGCCTCGATCTCTTCTCCTGGGAGTACGACGTGCCGCGGTACATGCGGCTGCACAAGGACACGAAGATCCCCGAGAAGCTGCTCAGCGGGCCGTGGGACGCGGGCAAGGCGCTGCTGCTGCGCGTGCTGGTGTGGCAGGCGCTGGGCGTCGACACGGAGCACAGCTCTGCGGCGGAAACGGTGCGGCACGGCGTGTTTGCGGCGCTGCGCGGGCAGCAGATGCGCGCGCTGGACGAGCTGCTCTGGCTCGCGCAGTACGAGACGGGCGACGAGCCGTCGACGGCGATGCTGCGCTGCGCGGTCGTCGAGGCGGGCTGTCCCGAGGCGCAGGTCGAGACGCTGCTGGGCTGGGCGGAGCTCAAGGGCCAGGTCAACTGCTATGATGCGGCCGTGTGGGCGTGGGCGGAGAGGGAGGGCGGCGAGCGCGCCGAGTGGTTGAAGAAAAGGCTGCAGGAGGCGGATGAGATGATTGATTTGAGGAAGCCGCGGGCTGTGGGTTAGGGGATAGAGTTGGGTGGGGATAGTAGAGTTAGAGATACCCGGCTTGTCATGGCCAAACGGAATCGAGGTGTTGTTTGAAGCGGATAGAAAAAGTACTTGCGGAAACACGACGTGATGACGGTTTCATACCTATGCTTTGCGCGCCAGTTACGCTGCAGAATATCGACTAAATTGTTAGCAAGCGACGGCGACGGCGAAAGACGAGGGCAGAATCTGAGCGCCGAACACCGCGCCAACGACAACAACGACAACCCATCAACACGGCAGCGGGCAGTCTGGAACCAGGACGACTCGCGCCATCCAAACACAAAACCAAGCACACAAGGCCCGCCGTCACATCCGTGTGTGTGGCCAGACAGACAGAAAAGAGCATGGAACCATCACAAGAGCAAGAACAAAACGGCGGCGGTGGCGGCCAAAGCCCAGCCCAAGCCAACAGCACCACCACTCCTCCCGCACCCACCCCCATCTTCGAGCCCCAAGACCTCAGCACCTCCCCCCCAACCTTCACGCTCCCCTCCGAAACCTGGACCTCCCTCCTCAGCAGCGCCGTAGCCTTCGAGCCCCACTACTTCGTCCGCGTAATGGCCAACCTAATCCAGCACCCGGAAATCGCGTCAACCTATCTCTTCCGCGCCGAGATCCTGTACGACAGCTTCCATGACCCCGAGGGCACGTTTCTAAGGCATGTGAAGAGGGAGTTCTTGCCGCGCGCGAGGGAGATTGAGGGCTGGGAACGTACGCAGGTGATTGTTAGGCGCATGGTGCCGAGGAATCCGGCCAGGGATCGGGAGTTGGTGCAGACTTGTGCGGTGTTTAGACGGGTTGGGAAGAAGGAGGGGGAGGAGGAGAATTTGGTGCTTTATTGGCCGCATGTCGATGCGCCGGAGGAGGTCCCGTTTTATCACCCGACGGTGCAAGCGCTCGCGTTCTTGCATGTCTGGCGTCCCCACCAACAAGACCACCACAACCAAAACCAAGCCCCCGGCACGCTAAGCATCCACTACCACCTCTTCCCCACACAAGCCCTAACCACACGCCTGCAGCGCACGGCGCTGGCGCTCCTGACCCTGATAAACAAGCACAGCGAGGGCCAGAAGCGCGGCTACACGAAGCGCGTGCACCACGACCAGCTGGTCCCGCAGGCACGCTTCCAGGACACGTATACCCGCCTCAAGGCCGTGTATGCGAAGGCGCTGATTCAGGGCTGGGTCGAGCAGACGCCCCCTGGCAAACATGTTTTTGAGGATTTGGGCATTGCGGCGTTCTTGATTGAGTTGTGGCGCGGGATGTATGAGTTGGGCGGTGCGGGTGAGGGTGAGGGTGAGGGTGGAGAGGGGAAAGAGGAAGCGAAAAAGAAACCCCCCTTCCCGGGCTTCGTCGACATCGGCTGCGGCAACGGCGTGCTCGTGCACGTGCTGCTGAGCGAGGGCTTCCGCGGCTGGGGCTTCGATGCCCGGCGGCGCAAGACGTGGGATACGTTTCCTGCCGCCTCGCAAACTTGCCTCAAGGAAATGGTCTTGGTTCCTGAGGTGCTTACGCAGAGCCTCTCTTCCTCCTCCACTAGTACCTTCACCTCCACAACCACACCCGCTACCACAACACCCACCACAACATTGTCGTCCCTCCTCAACGCCAACGCCCCTGAAAACACAGACGCAACCAAAGACGCATACGCAGAATCGGAACTCTTCCACAACGGCATCTTCCCCCCCGGCACCTTCGTCATCAGCAACCACGCAGACGAACTCACGCCTTGGACCCCGCTGCTGGCGTCGTTGTCTGGCTCGCCCTTCCTCGCTATCCCGTGCTGTAGCCATAATCTTGCTGGTGCGAAGTTCCGGGCACCGGCACAGAAAGCCGCAGAGGGCAAAGGTGGGGCTAAGGGCGAAGGTGAGGGCGAGGGCAAAGGCGCAAAATCCGGCTCTTTGAAACAACTTAAACAGCCCTCGGCCTACGCCTCGCTGTGCGATTGGGTCGCGCGCCTGGCGGCTGATGTGGGGTATCTGCCTGAGAAGGAGATGCTGCGGATTCCGTCGACGCGGAATGCGGGGATTGTGGGGCGTGTGGGCGGTGGGGGGCGGGCGGGCGGTGAAAGAGGGGAGTTAAACGAGGACGAGAGAAAAGAGCGTGTGCGCGCGTTGCTGGTGAGGGAAATGGCCGGTTTGGTGGCTGCCGGAGAGAGCGGTCCGTTGGACAACGTGGCGAGGGAGTGGGTTCAGCGGGCTGGGAAGCTGGTTCGGGGGCAGGGGGGCGGGCATTGAGTTAGGCAGTGAGGTTTTTGTGCTGGGATGGTGGGTGGGTGCGGGGTTGGGGGGTGATGTGTTGTGTTGATGGAAGGGGGGTTGTGTAGATGGCTTGCTTTCTGCTCTTGTATGATGGGCTTGGGTGTGGATTGGTGTAGAGCGGTGGTGTACATAGATATTTATATTGTTGTAGCAGACCTGCACTGGTGATGTTGTTGAGCAGTGCCGAATATGTCTTTAGTAGCACGCAATACTCCTTCCTAGTTCATGACTGCTCACGTATTTAACTCAACTGCCTTGTTCATTCCCTGCACTACGGCTCATTGTCTGACCAGCTGCTCGGCTATGCCCAACAAGACAAGTTTTTGGACAACAGAAATGTCATCCGATCGAAGTTGAAACTTGCTGGGAAAGCATGCCAAAAATTCAGACTCCAATTTCTTCAACAACGGCGGTAACCTGTTACCTCATTGGCAATGGTGAAGGGACGATGTGGTGATGATGTTTACCATTGACTCTGCGTGCTGGTGTACAGTGGTGGGACATGATGGCGTTATCCAACTTTGTCCCCTTCAGGCTGGCTGGCTGTTATGGAAGTAACGGCAGTGTCTCTGACTGCGAGTAGTATTATTGAAGTGCTTGGCCATCACATTTCTTGTTTGTTCATCGTGTTCGTGATTCTCTGCGCGCGATTCCAAATGGTTGGATTGATTTGGTATTAGGTTGTTTCTTGTTTGGATTTTATTTGTTTCTTTTGATGCGGGTTTCTTGGGTGTGGAATGTGTGGCTGGCGTTTAGTAGAGATTGTTGCCTCATGGGAATTCGGGTTATTGAGTTGTCCTCCAAACGGCAAACTGGTCCACTTGCTTTTCACACTAGTGGTTGCTTTGATAGAAGGATTATCAAATATGAGCGGTTCGTCATCGGGATCCCAGTCACTGGTTATTCCCCAGGTAGCAAAGCAATCGAGGCCTGATTGCGACTGCGACTTCAGACACAATTACGTACTCTTGGAAGTGAATGATAGTAGCTTCCAGAGAAGAGAGAAAGAGAGAGGCCTTAGAGCACAGGGCCGTAAGTATTGTGTAAGCCGCACTGCAAGCATCAGCTCAAGCTTATTCCCGGCTAAAAATATCCCGGGGCCGAGGGGGCCTTGTCGAGCTGATGAGAAGCAGGTACGGCCAGTCAAAGAATTTAGCGGCTATATCTGAGACTATAGGTGACCGGTCATCGTTCACCGCGATGATGTTGTCGTGGTTATCGCGCGATGCGCGGCAAAAATTTAAAACGGGTTAGCCGCTCAGGGCAAAGCTATTGCGTCAGCATCGGCATCTCCTCACATTTTGTAACCAACTTCATCTTTGTTTTCTCGTCACTGGACAGCAGTATCTTCGTATCGTCAAGCCCTCAGGCCTATGGACATGCGGCAAGGATCTCGAACCGGACGGCGCGGAGCCTCAGCTGCCTTACGCTTGTCACTCATGGCACTGCCACAGTACATTCCTTACCATCCCTCTGGATTGCCTTTCTTATGGATCGAAATTGCCATATGACCCATTGACGCAAGTCTAATATTACATCCTTCTATCCAATTAAGATGCACAAACAGCCTAATACACAAATAATTGCGGTTTTGATGGCGGATACCCTTGTGTAACACGAGATTCCGGGGTGTCACTGGCCGCACTCAGTTATGCCACCAACACGTACGGAACCATTCAGTAGTCCGTTCAACACGTACGGAATAACTCAGTAGTCCGTCCGGACTGGTCACTGATTCAACGCCGGTAAGCAGGGCGTTCGGTGTCCTGCAATGGAACTTCTCAACCGCATCAATGCTTTAGATCATGAAGTCTTACCTCATGATCCTTCAGTACTGTAGTCCAATCTGCCCTGAGCTTCTTCAGAGATTTTTTATAGCTTATCTAGGTCACAGGTTGGCAATGGGGCTTCGAGGCCCCGTTCAGCTCTTCTCCCCTGGTATGATTGATCCTCCGGAGTCGCCATGTCAATATCTGATCGTACACATCACCGCACTGCGGTTGGGGTAACTGGGATAGGCAGTTGTGATCTGTGCTTCCAGGTTCGTCAGTCTTCTTTCCAGCTTCCAAGGCTCTTGGGCCAAGACTTCCACGACGTCAATCTTTATATAGCACCGTTTGTGGTGCTATATATCTACAGACACGATTTTTTCTACAAATTCTATGATCAGAGCCGACTCTTGAAGTCTCCTGGGTTTTTGTATCAATCCAGCGCATTCTTCGAATTATATCATCCATCACTGTGCATCTTCTAGAAAGAGTCTCACTGTTTTGAGGTCCCAAGGCCAAAATACGGCAGCCTCTGGAAGTCGAATATTTTTCCTCTTTTTCCTATTTTAGCAGACCCAGTTATTTCCGAATACGCATCTGGCATTGTTCGCGATGTTCCAAAGCGAAACGTTGAGCGAAGTATGTTTAAACTATCTATCATTATCAAAACGCTTACTTAATTGCTAATTCATTGACATAGTTGAAGAAAGAACAGCTCATTCAAGCACTCCAAGCGCATCAACTAAATACTGTGATAGACCTGCGTCGAGTCGAAAGAAAGTTTGCTGCCGCCAACTCACCGGATGTGATGCAGCCGATGACGTCTGCATGTATGTGGAGTATCTTAAGTGGTTTTTCTCCACGGAGGGTTATAACAATTGTACTAGGGACGTTTTACGTCAACTCCCAAGGATTGCTCATTGAGCTACGCGGTTTCACCCGGAACTATCCATTCAGGTGTGTTGTATACAAGAGCATCGGTGTGACCAACATTCCTTACTGACGTTTCTGCCAAGTTCCGAGTGTGTTGATGAGGCCAAACGACGAGTATACTTGGACCCAGAAAGCAACAAAAGCTGGAACCTTGCATGGCTTGTCCTCCGCAAAATACAGACTGAGTAAATCATCTGCTACCGTATCAAGAAGCACATCGCTAACACTGAACAGCCAGCTCATCCTCAGTTACGCCAACTACCAAGCTGCCCTACCAGCCATGTGGGGTAATCAAATCCCTTCTGCAGAGGGCATTGCTCGGCTTGCTGCCGCTTTCAGAAGCGAATGGACTTATGGTCTTGCGCAAATGCTACGACATTGGGAACAACCGCCCGTATGCTGAGACAGTATGCACTTGTCCTTTATAAGACTCCACAAAGCCGATATACTGACATCACGGTTGGCAATTGTTTCACATGTACACTCATTTCATTTTCCTTTTCATTGGTCCAAAAATATGTCACTTTTTTTTTTTTCGCTTCCGAAAGCTCGTAGTCTTTCTTTTATTTATTCTCGCTCAAAGTTCATGACCTATCATCTATAATTACTTTTTTCAAGTCTCCACTGTTCCCGTCTCTCACTCCAATTGGTTGCCTTATAGTACGGTGAAAGAGCCTCATTCGTGCGTCTACCGAGACATTTCCTTATCTCAAAGGCCTCGACTCGCACTTTCCCCGCGATTCCGACACCGTCATGCAATTTGCTCTGACCGGCGCTGTTTGTGTAACCATTTCCCGTCACGCGTGACTGCAACAAACGTTACACAGCAGGAATAACAACGCAACAAAAGGACTCTTGTCCCGCATTATCGCTACTAGAACCCTTCGCAGCAGCTCAAATTTACCATACGGTTTGCATCAGCATGGAGTTTATCAAACAGCTTGCGATGATATCATTTGCAGTGCTACAGGGAGACGCAAAAGCCACGGATCCTGTTGTCGCCGTGCGGAATGGAAGCTACACTGGGCTCCACCTTCCTCAGTTCAATCAAGACCTTTTCCTCGGGATGCCTTATGCCCAAGGTACCGGCGGGGACAACAGATTTCGTATTCCGCAATCTCTCAATGAGAGTTGGACCGGTACACGCTTCGCCCAAGGCTACGGAAACGCGTGCCCAGACGCAGACGTGGAAAACGATTCACTGTATGGTATGAGTGAGAATTGTCTGAACATAAATGTTGTTCGGCCTGCGGAGACGGATGACTCTGCGCTCTTGCCTGTGTTGGTCTGGATCCATGGTGGCAGGTATGTATCTCTACTACTGTATCCTTTTGGAAGTCAGCGTCTCAAACGTGAGTAGCTACCAGGTTGGCACAAGCGGCCTTCCTTATTACAACATGACTTACATTGTCGAAAATTCTGTGAGAATCGGAAAACCCATCATTGGTGCCAGCTTCAACTACCGAAAAGGGGGATGGGGGAACATGTATTCGGTAGAAATTCAGGTGAGTGGAATGAGAGAGGGAACAGACCTTTCACTGATTTCCGAAGGGAACGGGAAACACTAATCTCGCATTACGAGATATGAGGCAAGCTTTGGCATGGATTCAGGAAAACATCAAGGCCTTTGGCGGTGATCAAAACTCGGTTACGATCTGGGGAGAATCATCTGGATCTTTCGCCGTAGTGAGAAAAAATTTCTTCAAAGCAAGAAAATCTTTGTCTAATATCATTACAGGGTCAACTGATGATGGCTTACGGTGGGCGGACTGATGGCTTGTTCCACCGCTCCATCCAAGAAAGCGGCAGTGCTGCAACAGCTTGGTATAACGGCACTGAATGGTACCAGCCTATATACGACAAGATAGTGGACCAAGTCAATTGCAGCAGTGCTGTCGACACACTTTCCTGCCTACGAACCGTTCCTTACGAAATTCTTTACCCTTTTATGAATTCATCTATCGTTGGCGGCCCCCGTTTCTACCCCACCGTAGATGGGGATATAATACCCAACTATCCGACGGAGCTTCTTCATTCTGGGCGCTTTGCTCATATCCCGCATCTTTACGGAACCGTCTCAGACGAAGGCACTGACAACGCTCCGGTCGGGATCATCAACACAGACGAAGACCTCAAAGCATTCCTCATCCACGGCATCGGCTTCGGCTATCCCGCCTCCACCGTCGACCGCATCATGGAACTGTACCCGGACGACCCCTTCCAAGGCATCCCACTGAACACCGGCATCGAGCGCTTCGCAGACAAAGGCCAGCAATATAAGCGCATCGCCGCCATTCTGGGCGACATCTTCTACCATGCCCCACGCCTCGACGACGCGCGCCACTACTTCAAATACAGCCCGACGTACACCTACCGCTTCAACACGCGGCCCTTCGTCAACAGCACCAACGCCACGCACACGGATCTTGTCGGTGCACTCGCGCCTGCCTACAAGGGTGTAGAGCATTTCAGTGAGGTGCCGTTTGTGTTCGCAAATCCGGCGTTCGTGGGTCCGTGGCCGGAGTACCGTGCCTTGAGCACGCAGATGAGTACACAGTGGATCCGATTTGCGCACACGGGAGATCCGAATGGTGAGGGCTTGCCGGTTTGGCCGAAGTATGGTGATGGTGAGAGGGGACTGAATTTGGTGTTGCAAACAGGACAGGCAGGGGGGTGTTATGTTGAGGAGGATACGTATCGCTTGGAGGGGAGAGAATATCTGACGGAGTGGGCGAGGAGGAGGCATGTTTAGGTGAGGTACTTCTATGCCCTTCTTCCCATAAAGCTTTCCTTTAGGCTTCCTGGATGTGATTCTGTGTCGCTTATGGTCCTTTCAGATGGTTTATGTCGAAATGGTAAAAAAGGATCAAAGAAAAAAATCGATTTGTTCAAAAAGGAAGTGAAAAATAAGTTCGGATTCTGACAGAATAGTAGTGTTAAGTTGGTATGGCTACTCATGGTTGAAAAAGGTCACGCAAATTTTAAATTGGCAGGTATTGCTTTTGTTCCTTTTCTCAAATAATAACTTGCTCATGTTTATTAACATATCGTAGCCAAGTTTCGCTGATTACAATCCATGAGGCTGAAACAAGTCTGGTGACAAAATTAGCGCGCCATATCCCTACCTACATTGTCGATTAACAAAGGGTTGGGCTGTCAGCTTCCTGCACACATGTACTCCACATCCCCGCACCCCGCACATAAGTAAGATCAGCCTATGCAAATCGTCTATCCGCAAACTCTACAGGTTCATTGTATAACAGCTCACGAGCGCTGGACATGACCGGAAATAAAATAACAGAGCCAGAGCTCATCAGGCTCTGCAGCCTATGTGAGTCACTTCAGCCTGATGACAGCAGCAGTCCAGTTCCACCTCACGACCCCGATCCCCGGATAAAAACTGAAGTTACATACGAACATCTCGATACTTTTCCTGATCTTCCTGGTCTGGCATCCAAATCACGAGCTGGCTGCGATTTTTGCAGCATGCTTAGACACACGATTTTGAAAAGGCTCGGAGAAGAGCTGGGCAAGCTGTCTAAGTCGCCTGATTTGAAGGGGCCAAGGTGGCTTCGGGTTCATAGCCTGAGATATGTCAAAGACTTGATCGAGATGAACAAGCTTGGTGAAAGCCACTATGCTTTCGAATCGCTCACCGCGGAAGTCGATTTTCCAGGAAGAGGGATTTTCAAGCGTTTTATAGGGTTCAATGTTTACGCAAACCACGGTTCGTCACATCTCTCTCAACTCATAGTTATGTCGTCTTGCATTAACGCAAAGAAGATAGTGGCGCTGCCAGGGATTTGAAGATACACCGGAGTCCTCCAAGCGCGAACCCGCTAAGCAGTGAGAGCATCCAGTGGATGAAACATTGGATGAATCAATGCTGCACACATCACAAAGATACATGCTCTCAGATGCCAGGGCGCATGCCAGCAAGACTTATTGACGTTCTTCCAACCCATCCACAGCTGGTAGAGACACACCAGCGCCATCTCAAATACGCAGCTTTAAGCTACTGCTGGGGTATTCCGTCAGGGTCAAATCCACATCTCAAAATGCTTAGTAGCAATTATGAGAAACATCAGTGCGGGATCCCGATCGACAAGATGCCGAAAACCCTTAGCGATGCAGTCAGTGTGACACGAGCTCTCGGTTTCCAATATCTCTGGATCGACGCTCTTTGTATCATCCAAGACAACAAAGCAGACTGGGAGCAAGAAGCCGTGAACATGGGCCAAGTGTACCGGGGCGCTGCAGTTACCATAGTCGCCGCCGCGGCAACAACATCCAACGAAGGCTTCCTGTCACGACCTTCTGACAGAATGAGCGCTCAAATCCCCTACCTCTCTTCCACAGACAATAGCATCAAAGGCACTTTCCAACTTTATGAGCGCGTCCTCCCCCATTCTGATTCCGATATAACGGTCCAGTCAAGCAGCTGGAATTCCCGCGCTTGGACCTTCCAAGAACAACACCTCTCAACGCGCGCCCTCTACTTCGGCACGCACGTCACGCATTTCCAATGTCAACGTGAGATGGTGGCCGAGAACAGTGCCGTCTCAAGCGGTTTTTGGCCCGCTCCGTGGGTCCAGGAGCTAGGCGTACAGGACCCAATGCGAATCAGGTCTGACCAGCGGCTGCAGTCTATCTATGATGCCTGGTTCGACATGGTGCAGGACTACTCTGCTCGCGTTCTCACAGTTGCCAGCGACAAGATCCCTGCGGTTTCAAGCATGGCAAACGGTGTTATGGATGCCTTGAGAGCGTCTGGTTGCGAAGACGAGCTCCATGCTGGCTTGTGGAAGGGTGACATCGTCCGCGGATTGCTTTGGAAAGGGAAGTACGACGTTATTGACACAGAGAGCTTGTCCAGGCCAGCTGTATACCGCGCCCCTTCCTGGTCATGGGTCTCCTGCGAAGGACAGGTGCATTGGCCAGCACGCTGGGCTGAAGTCCGGTCGGAGTGTGAGGTGTTGGGCGTTGAAACAGCGGTTGAAAATGCAACAGGACAGGTTTCGGGTGGAAAAATTACACTTACTGGAAAGATGCGTCGCGTTGATGGCTTTCAAGCATACACTGAAGAAGATTGGAAGCAGCGACGGGATTTAACTTACTCACACGCCGTTATTGTAGGCGGGCAGTGTGTAGCTGACGGGGATATCGATTGTGGCGGGAATAATGTCGATGGTCAACAGACGTGGGCATTTTTACTGGCATCCCCGGTGGTCGTACCTACAGATGAGGACGAAGTAACGCATGCGAGTTATCTTCATGGTATTCTGCTACAATCTACAGACGCGCATCTGTTCAAGCGGATTGGTATGTTCAATATCTTAAAAGAGAAGACGCATGATTTTGGTTTCTTTCATCACGTTGCAGCTGTCACGATCTCTATTATATAGGATTTATAATAGAAACAATATAAAAATGGGCAACGAGTATTATTATAACACTTTTAGGGCATATTAAAATCTCTATGTAAGCCATCCCGTCTATTTGTTAGTATAACCAGCTATATATTTATTTCAAATTGCTCATATTGACCCTCCTAGACTCACTTTCCTGATTCGGTACAATATCTCCAGGTAGCAATAATGTGAAACATGGAGTAACATTACTCCGACGGGGTATTTAAATACCGCAGGAGTCCTCCTTCGACCTTTCGGCCCCCACACCTCAGGCAGGTTTTACACTACTGTCTGTCGGTGGCATGCCACCTGCAACCATACTGCAACCATATCCTCCGTTGTCCATTTTGGTAATGTGACTGGTCTTTCTGGCGCCAAAAATGGTTTCCGACGATGGCATTTCAAGAGACTCGACCCTCTCCCGACGAAGTACAGAGTCTTCTTCGGATCAGCATTCCAATTACGAGATCCAGATACCCTCCACTTTATCGGGCTCCGTTTCATTGGATACCCGTAATCGCTGTAAAAAATGCTCCAAGTTCCTATCAGAAGTTTCGTCATCAAAACATTTTCAAACGCAGACCTGTCTCGGCACGTTCGACGACTACAATGACCCTGAATGTTTGCTTTGTCATGTAATATCATGCTCTGTACGCCTCTTAATTGGTTCATCAAAGGGAAAAATCGACCAAAAAGAAATCAAGCTCTTTGCGATGGGAAAGAGACGGCCGGCAAAATCTTCGGGCTCTCGTCAACTCAAAATTTCGGGTCATCGACCACGTATTCTTCTAGCTTTGAATGTCGCCCCTTCCGACCAAGGCTTTGTGATAAGCAATGGTACACGATTTTCAGTTGCAGAACTCGAGGACGTCTCACCCTTATATGCTCCAAAACCCAATTCCGAGAGCAACCCGGAAGCATGCTCAAGGCGTGTGATCCCACCACAGATGGACCTTGGACTCATAAATCAGTGGATGCAAGTCTGCAACGCTCACAAGCACTCAGATAAGATCTCATCAACGGATGGCCATGATCCGTTTCAACACGCGCAAGGATTCCGGCTCATTGATGTCGTCGACGAGTGTCTTGTACAGAAAACCGACCGCTGCTCTTATCTTGCCTTGTCCTATGTCTGGGGCACCACAATTGATTCAATGCTTAAAACCATCCGAAGCAATATCAGAGCACTCAGGAAGCCCGGTGCATTGAAGAACCAAGACTCTATACCTCGCACAATACGAGACGCAATGTGCTTGGTTCGGAGTATTGGGCAAAGGTATCTTTGGGTTGATGCATTATGCATTGTCCAAGATGACCCCGAGGAGAAGAAGCGGCTTATATGTGGTATGGATTATGTATATGAGAATGCCATGCTCACCATAATTGCCGCTTCTGGTGGAGACGCGGATGCTGGCCTGTCTGGCATAACACACCGACAGGATCAGGCCTATGAGGAGACAGCAATATTCCAAGTCAAGAAAAGCATTTTGCGAGTTTCCACCTACCGCCCTTCTTTGACAGAGCATCTCCAAAGCTCACGCTGGAACACCCGAGGCTGGACATATCAAGAACAGTATCTATCAAAACGATTACTATATTTTACGCCCGACGAAGCCTTCTTTGTCTGCCGGTCATGTCGGTTTAGGGAGGGCTATTGCCTCGAAGACCTTGATCGGACTTTCTCTTCGGGACAAGGGCGACCAAGATGGAGCTCGAGGCTTCGATCCAGGGCGTCTAGCGGGAAAGATGTTGAGTCGCACCACTACCTGTCTACTGATCTCGAGCTGGGTACGGTAGCTGTGCGAGAATGTCAAAGTGTTATCCTTGAATACAGTAACAGGGTTCTCAGCGACCCGGAAGATATTTTGAACGCATTTTCTGGGGTTTATAACCACCTCAGTTCTATATCCGGGGCTAGTCCGCTTAGTATCCCTGGAGGAGTTCGCCTCGACACGACAATAACCTTCACTCAAGGGATTCCGCCATGGTTCATCTCCCAAGGTCTACTCTGGCACCCTGCCAATGGCACTACAAAGCGGAGGAGTGCATGTAAAGATGACTCAGATGCTGTATACTCAAGCTGGTCATGGACTTCTTGGAATGGTCCCATCGAATTTCTTAGCAATGTCTCTTTCTGGCCCTGGCAAAACGACGAAGGACCCTACCTTCACGTACATAGTTGGATACCTGAATGGCACTTTGCTGGCTTCAGCGTAGGGGGTGTAATCAACAATCGCAACGACCTTAAGGCACCTCGGAACTCTCCCAGATCCAAGTATATACCCAAGGGAGCAGCACGGCTAGCTCAAGAGGCGAAAAAAAGCATCCCGCCGACAGTGACGCTTGCAAGCGGAGACCTCGGATTCTGGGCACCCTGCCTAAGCTTCGAATTCTCATTGTACAAGGAAACGAAATGTCCTGCCGCGGTGTGGAATCTATCCCCAACAAGCATTTCGGATCAGTGGTGCGGCTCCTTCAGATTTGATGATGGCATCGTAAAGCCTGTCGAGGATTTCGTCCTCTTATCGCGGCGGGGTTGCGACTTTTTAATCCTTGGAATTGATACGCAGAATGGTGTTTCCACACGTGTCGGCATTGGCCTCGTGTGTTTCCAGGGCGAATCAAGGGATTCTCATAGTAATTTCTGGGACCAGCTTGATGCTGCTGGTGAGCTCAAGTGGGAATGGCGGTTTATTGTCTTGCGATAAGGCCAAAGCTATTGTCTACAAACACTGGTTCAGAAAGTTTCAATTATGTTACAATACCCCAATAAATGTAAAAAAAAATGACAGATTCAAAAGACGTGGCGTACGAAAGATTAACAATGTTGCAAGAACAGACATCTTTTGGACAAGGCAAAAGTTTAGTCCCATACGATGTGCTTGTCGTATTTTAGAACGAGACTTCAGCACTTACTAGATCTAGACCCCGGCCTTAATACATCAGGTAGGACACATTATCCACGCTACAGAATTGATTGGTCTAAAACTTTGCACCACCCTTATCAAAAGTCAGTGTTCATCAAAGCACCGTCTACATCGACAAAATAGCACCCTGTGCCTCTGCAGCATTCCTCAGCTTCATATTAATACGCAATAACAGCTGATTCAAAGCTTCGCCATTATTTCCTATGTTTGCATGTGTCTCGCCAACCCAAACATTTAATCGTCGTCGGCAGCCTTTTTGGATCCGAAGAGCTGGATGTACTGACGATGAGGTTGGTGACATTGTTACTTATTCTTAGGTATGGTGATGTAGGAATTACTACCCCCCGGAGGTGCGTGAATGAAGTTATGGTATTATGAAATTGGTTGTGAGATCCTCACGAGATATTAGAGATAGAGATTTACAGGAGGCACGTTTCAGGTTGAAGAGGCTTTGAAGTTTGAACTGTTTACTGGGAAACTGCTCACGTATATAAAAACATTCTACTGTAAAAATGATAAACAAATAAATATGCAAAAACAAAGCGAAGATATTTTAGATGATTTTCAAAGTTTAACAGTGATGACCTAGAGCAATATCCTTATAGCTTCGGAATACACCCACCCGTCTATAAACTCCCTGAATATCCGTACATTGCAAAAGGAGTCCTATGCAACGTGATGAACCGGGATCCTGATCATTTGTATAAAAATAAAAAGGTAAAGCCACAAAGCTTTGAGGTTCCGAGAAAGGAAGCAGACGGTCCAAAAAAACTGACAAAGAATCGTCGTCTGCCCTTTCCCCATTTCTCAATATCCACGGTGGTATGTTGACTCCAGTATTTTTCAAATACTGCAAGGTTCCTTTGCAGTATGGATACGAATCGTGGTATTCCAGCTTACATGGTCGTAATACTCCTGACAATATTATTTCCGCGTGCTTGATTTGCCCGTATTTATTTTGCTGGTCCTTCAGTTGCACATCCACCTTTTCCAGTTTTAATTTTACTTCTGTTGACTTCGCATATTTAGGAAAAAATACAAAATTTGTGTTCTGGAAACTCACAGTACCATCGATGCTGACCCAGCTCCAAGTAGGCCCCCGGTATGTTGTTGCGCCGACAAAGTTGCTTAGGGTTTCAAGCTGCAGGTCGCCGATACGTTCCCAGAGGAGACCTATTGGAAGATGATGCCGGAAAAATCCTGCAACGTATTCATCATAGAAGTGAGTGCCGAAATGTTTGGCGATACCCGCGATAGCCACCATTTTATCTTTGTCGGGCAGGATAGTCCACATTTCTTCATTCACTCCATCTCGAAGCCAAGGAACGTGGCATTCTTGTATCATATCCGGATTGCGTTTTGTGTAGGCTCCAACGTACGGGCTTTCCGCATGAAGAATGGAAATGTTAACGATACCATTTTGGTAAATCGAGCCCATGAGGTATGCGTGTTCGTTCCAATCTTCTTCGTGCCCGGGCCCTTCCTGCATAATACAGAGGTTGTCTATCCATAGGTATCGAATGCTTAACCGCTGCGTGAAGAGGATTACGTCACGGAATGATCGTGGTAGCTTGTTGGCAAGCACTTGCCGCCTAAGTTCCTCCTCATTGCTCGAGGTCAGGCGAAAGAATGGAACACGCCCCCAGCAATGACTGAGAGTCGCGTAATGGCTGCGTGGTGGCTCCGAGGCGGTCAATATAAGGCGGGTTCTACGCAGACGAAGATCAAGCAGTCGTTTCGGATAGTATTCTGGCTCTTGAAGAACACCCCGACAAGCGCCATGTGTCTTCAAGCATGCCTGGAGCCAATCGTATGCTTGCTGGGCAACATCGCTATGTCCTGTACTATCTAGAACTACTCGGCGATGACCTTCGTGTCTGACACGCCAAGGTTGGTGACGGCGGTCCGCAGCAGCTATTTCAACGAGCTCTTTATGCTTTTTGGGATACTGAAAATGAGGAGAGTACACCAAGTTGACATAGGATCTCGGATTATATAGATCCCTATCGTCCCTGGCTCTTACTAGGAGTAGGAGACCACGTTCCGGGTGTACCTCGTTACCAAACACTTCAAATGACAAATCACAGTAGTCCTGGTAGAGTCTAGAGGTTTGTAGGAGGGCGTATCGTTGTATGACAAGGCAAATTTTGCAACCAGATTGTGCTGCTAGCTGAATATTTTCAACCCTTGTACGATACTGGACTTTATGGAAAAGATCGTCCGCAGTATGCCGAAATATTGATAAACACATTGCGCAAAGCATTGTTTCGACAATTTGGAGATGGTGATAATTCGAAAGCTAGAAATTGTCTTGACAAGTGGTGTTGAAGTAAGGAGCAAAAGGATTAACAGAACTGTTTTCACCTACCCCGCACCAGGCAGCAGCCGCACGACCAGCCCGTGCCGAGACGAAGCCTGGTCAATTGGCTAATAAGTACACAAAAAAAGAAGTTTACACAGCATGGTTATGCTCCACGCAGCGGCAATCTGATTGGGTTGTTTAGAGTAATCGAACAATTGTACACTCTTTTCGCACAGAAGTTTGGTTGAGAAAACTGAAATTCAAAGGGAAGACAATGACTTTTGGATCGCTCGGAATTCTTTGCTGCAACAGGTCTGGGAAAACCTTTAGGCACTAAGAGACCTTAAGATTTCGGTTGGCACGTCAGTGGGATCTTCGCCGTCATCCACTACAGTGCTTTTCCAGCAAAGCAGTATCGAAAACTTCGAGGCAAGCCTTCACACTAACGCCTTCATTGTCTTGAAGCTCGAGGTTGGGATGCTTGGAGAGCAAGAACCTAACAGCGTCCTTGTTCCCTCCCTGAATAGCCCAGTGGAGAGACGTACCGAGCCGTTTATTGTGTAGAGGGATTTGGCAAGAGACCTCTTTCTCCAGGACTTCATTGACATCAGCGCCGTGTTCAATAAGGCATTGCATACTGGGCAGGCTACCAAGAAACGAGGCAATATGCAGCGCTGCAGTCCCTTGAGTTTCCGCACCTGCGTTCAGAAGGATTTTTAGCATCTCGGTGTCATTGATTTCCACCGAACTCATGCGTGCGGCGACAGCGAGAGCTTTCATCTTTTTGCTCTTGCTGAACTTGGGCCCTCCCGCACATGGCGGACCCAATGGACCGATGTTGGGATCAGCTCCTTGGTCAAGTAGATAGCGAACGGTTTTTTTGCGACGAGAGAAAGCGTTCGTTATCAGCGGGGTCGTAAATCCTCTCTCTAACTGATCGTTGACGGTGTCGCTGTAGCCGTTTTTGTATAGAAAGTCGATCACTTCTTTGTTATCGGTCTTAGATGCAGCGTTGACGTGATTACTGTAGTCATTCTTGAGTAGAAAGTCGACCGCTTCTTCCTCTTTTTCGTTCTCATATGTCGTATCGATGTGATTCTTGGCCGCGGCGAGGTGGATTTTTGTCGCCCAAAACCCGCGCTCGTAACACTGGCTTAGCAGCTCAATGCTGCCTGATTTTGCTGCTGTCTCAGCTATCTTACATAGCTTGGACGAATCGATGTCTGTAGCCTGCAAGGCCAATGTATTTGACTGGCCGGCCATTATTGGTTAGGAAATCGTTCTTGCGTTTCTGGAGTTGGTGGTTGTTCTGTCGGTGGTAATACGCAAATAGAAAAACGTCGGTGCAATATAAAGTGTACAAGGATATCCGCCTCAACCTTTTTGCTTTTAATAGACTGGTTGCCTTGTAGGGCGCTGGCTTGGGGCGTAAAAGTCTTTTGGGTTTTCCCGCATCGCTCCACACAACTTTTGGGGGCCAGAGGATGACTTGGCAGTGTGGATACCCTACTTAATATCCCCGAGGAATAGGGAATAGGACAAAAGCAAGAGAAAATAATACTAGGTATAAGAAATGAGATAAAGAACGAGTCAAAAGATGGAGTAGAAACTAACTCGAAAATCAATAGAAAACTAGTAAAAGATGAGTAGAAGCGAGTAGAAAACGAATAGAGGAGGATCCTAAATATTGACTGGGTTAAGAAAGATAGTAGGTATAGATAGGGGTTTAACGTCCGTTATCCTCAAGTAAGATTTGCCGTCTTGCGGAATAATAAAACTTATACGGAGTAGAAGAAGAAATCAGTCGAGGTATGTTATAGTAAGTGTATACTCAAAGGCCTTCCCATATATACCTAGAGCTTAGGCTAGTAGCTAGATAAGGAGTGTTCCGTAGAGACTGCTTGTATCCTTCCCTGTATCACTGGATGGTAAATCTCGGTTCACGCTGACGGATGTTAATCGTATAAATGAAATCCCCCTTCTACTATAGAAGGACGCTGCGAAGCAACTTCATCGGCATTTTCTGTATGTGAGGTCTAAAAAATCGCCTTATCAACACCATGTTTAAGCCCAAGAAGTCATTCAAGAGCCTAATGTAGAGGTACTCACGATGTAGAGAATCTACAATTGATTGAAAAAGCAGAATTTTGGGCGTGAGATGTGCTGGGACAGGAGACGTCCAAATTCCCTGGAACACCATAGGCATCTTGTTTCAGGATAGCTGTTATGTATTTCTGACGTCTTTTGAGATCGCCAGTGGCAATATAAGCTCAGCTATAGCGAATGATGTTATCTCGACGAACCTCGTGCAGAAGATCTCAGTCTCGGGCGAGTTTCGCATGAGACGCGCGTGCGGCTGACCAGATCAGTGGGCCCAGAACCTCAATGACGCCAAAATCGAAATGCAACAAGGAACGCAAAAGCAAAATTCAACGCGTTCAGGGCGCCTCACCAGCACTAAATGTCGTGATGGACCGTTGAAAAGTTGCACCAGCCCACACGTGCCCCGGATCAACGGCTGCCACACCCCAGCCAGCCCCGCTGTGCCGCAGCGCCCAAACCCGAAGAGCTTAGCTCCCGTCGCCGGTGACGTCTTCGCGCTACAAGGGATCCATCATGGTACCAAAGAGGGGCAGCGGGCCTAGGTACAGCAAAAAGGCGTGGGGAAGACGCGCAAGGGCATACAAAAAGTTGCGGAAGGAGCTCCCTGGGAGGCAGCAGCGCATTGCCGCGTCGCTGCATCTCGTCTTTTGATCCCAGGCCTCTCACCAATTCTCTAACCCCAGACTTCTCATCCTTTGACCCTAGACATCTCAATTGGCTCCATCACGCGTCGACATGGTTTCTACGAGTAGAAACTTGGTGCTCGCCGCCGCGGCACTCTGCCTCACGTCGTCTGGCGTCAATGCCGCCGCCATCGAAGCCCGGCGCACCGCTTCAAGCAGCGACGTGCCCCAGCACTTCCAAACGAGCCCCGAGCTCTTTGCCGGTAACCCATTTACCCAAGTCTGTGCAACGAAAGACAAATCTCACGCGCCGCGATCACAGGTCCCACAGAGACAGGCCAAGCGCCCTTCCTCGCAGAAACAAACGCCGCACCCTTCCCCTCTGTATCGTATATACCACCGCAGCCGCTCGAGACACAGGTCCCAATCGCAGGGAACAAGCACAATGGCAACGTCTTCCAGCATATGGGCGAGCTGAGCCACTATTTTCCGAGCCCGGACGGCTTCGGCGTGGATGAGTTCGCGCTGCCACCTGCCACAAATATCTCCGCGTTACATATGCTGCACCGCCATGGCGCACGGTATCCCACTTCCGGTACTGGCGCGGAAAAGTTGGGTAAGAGGATCGCTGATGCGTCTGGGAAGTTTGAAGCTACGGGCAAGTTAGCATTTCTGGAGGGATGGGAGTATAAGCTTGGGAAAGAGATATTGGTCCCAATTGGGAAGCAAGAGTAAGACGATCTGCTCGATCTACTCGTGCGCTGCGAGCGCGCAGAATGAGGAATGACGCTGACAGATTCCTACAGGCTGTTCGACTCGGGGACGCAGCACTACTACCAGTACGGCCATCTCTTTCCTAACAATGGCAGCAAGATCATTGCGCGCTCCACGACCCAGGATCGCATGACGCAGTCTGCTGAGTACTTTCTCACGGGTTTCTTTGGTCTGGGTTGGACGCAGAACGCCACGCTTGAGTTGATCATCGAGGAGGATGGATACAACAACTCGCTGGCGGGGTATCACATGTGCAACAACTCGAATGCTGGTGTCAATCAGGGTGGACTCAATGGTATCAAAAGCCCCCAGAATCCAAAGAGGTGACTTTGCGTACTGACAGATGTCTTAGCAACGAAGCAATGGGCTGAAATTTATCTTGTCAATGCCACAGAGCGTATCAAGAAGCAGATCTCAGGCCTAGATTGGGAGCTTAAAGACACCTGTTTGTCAATTTCTTTCTGACTCCCATATACGTATACTCACATCCATCCCAGACGATGCGCAGTCGCTCTGCGCATACGAGACCGTCGCCCTCGGCTTCTCCCACTTTTGCAGCCTCTTCACCTACGAAGAATGGCTCGGCTACGAATACAGCGTCGATCTCTTCTTTGCTGGCAGCAACGGTTTCCAGGCACCCACAGGCCGGGCTGTTGGCATTGGTTACGTGCAAGAGATTCTTGCCCGCTTGAACCACCACGTTATCGACCGCCCGGAAGCCCAGATAAATGTCACGCTCGACAACAACACACTCACCTTTCCCCTCGACCAGACTATCAACTTGGACTTCTCCCACGACACCAATATAATGAGCATCCTTACCGCCTTTGGCCTAACACAGTTTGCGCCCCTCATGCCGGCAGACCGATACACGCCGAACCGCTCCCTTGTTGTCAGCCACCTCGAGCCCTTCGCCGCGCGCCTCGACATCGAGATCTTGCAGGCGCCGCACCCAGTGCAGGCGAAGCGTCCCGCTGTGCACGCTGATGCGGAGGAGTACTACGATACGAGCAAAGGACCGATGAAGTACATCCACTTCGTGCTCAACCAGCGCACGGTGCCGCTGGGTGCAAGCCTTGAGGAGTGTGGCGCGCGCGACGATGGCTGGTGCGAACTCGAGACGTTTTTGAAGGTGCAGCAGAACAGCTTGGATCGATCGCAGTATGAGTGGGCGTGTTTTGGTGATTACCCGGCCGTGGGTTACGGGAACGTCACGGACGGAGCGCCGGTTGCGGAGGAGCTGGAGGATGAATTGTAAGAGGCGCGGGAGCCATAGAGATGTGGTGTCGATGCGGGGCGGCGTTTTAGAGGCCTTGCATATGACGATAGAGGTAGTACATATTTGCCGTGAGAGCTGGCAACTGTACATGCGGGGAAGCGTTTGATCAGTGCCTACACGATCAATTCACTCACACGCGGGCGTTCATCCCGATAGACGTCGGGAGTCAAACCGATGCGCGATGCAGCAAACTTTGCTCTTTCTTCTTCACCACCGGAAGGCCTTCCGCATGGGCGGCATTTCCGATTTCGCAGCAGAATGTCGCGGCGATAAGGACCGAGTGTCGTCAGTACGTGCAGCGCGTCCTGGACACCAAGGTGTTGAAGGGTGCATGGCTTTGCGCGGCGATGCGCAGTGGTGCGGAGCTCTTGAACAAAGCGATGACTCTTGCTCGTCGGGCCAGGGGATGGCTGGTGGAAGCCACGCCGGTTGCCCGCGAACAACGACAGCGACATCGCAACACAGCCAGCCGCACTCGGCGGGCGCCTCGCAAGATTGTTGAGGAAGGTATTTCTCCAAGTGGAGCTGGTGGTGGTGATATTGATGATATGGACTCCACTGCTTTATCTGGTGGTTGATTCCTGGCGCTGGATTTGCATATCGCATCGAGTCAAAGAGAGCAAGTACTCGATGGCATCGAGTCACAGGGCGGCGCAACGGACCTATCACCGTCGCCCGAACGGAAGGCACGGCCAGGGCCGAGGAAGTGGCTCGGGAAAGGCCGGGCCAGATTATCGAGTAACGCCGCTGACTAAGGGCCGTAGCCCGCATCCTTCCCCACATCTTCACAAGCCGATCGCCCAGGCGCGACCCCTCCGCCCGAAGGCCCCGCGATGCATGGTGCGCGCGACCGTCGTCGCGCTGGCATCCGAGGCAAACCGGTGACGTACCGCCAGAGAGTTCTATCCCTTCATAATGCCCTCCTCTCCGCCTCTGACGTTTCTTCTCTCCTCGACATCCCTCTCAACTTACCTTACACCCGTCTTATCTTCTCTTGATACCTTGACCAATCCACACCCACACTGAGACATTGAACCGAGAGATATACCACCATGGCGGCCCAGATCCAGTTTGGCACGCAGGCCAAGTCCAACCCGGCGCCCAACCCGGCCCAGGTCCTCGAGGGCGTCAACATCCTCGGCCCTCTTGACGACAAGACCCGCCAGATCCTGAACAAGGACGCCGTCGTCTTTCTCGCTGTTCTGCACAGGACCTTCAATGCCAGGCGCAAGGAGCTTCTCCAGCGCCGCATGATCCGGCAAGCCGAGCTCGACAAAGGCAACCTCCCCGACTTCCTGCCCGAGACCAAGCACATCCGCGAGAACGACGCATGGAAGGGCGCACCGCCGGCGCCGGGTCTCGTGGACCGCCGCGTTGAGATTACCGGCCCCACGGACAGGAAGATGGTTGTCAACGCTCTGAACTCGGACGTGTGGACCTACATGGCAGACTTTGAGGGTGAGTGAGCTCCATACAAATCACTTCGGGACAGAAGCTAACACCGAGTGACAGACTCGAGCGCACCGACCTGGGAGAACATGGTCAACGGCCAAGTGAACCTTCACGATGCCATCCGCCGCCAGATCGACTTCAAGCAGGGCGAGAAGGAATACAAGCTCCGCACCGACCGCACTCTCCCCACGCTGATCGCTCGTGCGAGGGGCTGGCACCTGGAGGAGAAGCACTTCACCGTCGACGGCGAGCCCATCTCCGGTGGCCTGTTCGACTTCGGTCTGTACTTCTTCAACAACGCCCAAGAGCTCGTCAAGCGGGGCACCGGTCCTTACTTCTACTTGCCCAAGATGGAGAGTCACCTCGAGGCTAGGCTATGGAACGACGTCTTCAACCTTGCGCAGGACTACATTGGCATGCCGAGGGGAACTATCCGTGGTACCGTCCTGATCGAGACGATCATGGCTGCTTTCGAGATGGACGAGGTAAGTCTCCGAACGACGAAAGTGAAGGATGCCAGCTCACATGTCTAGATCATCTACGAGCTCCGTGACCACAGCTCGGGTCTCAACTGCGGTCGCTGGGACTACATCTTCAGCGTCATCAAGCGTTTCCGCCAGAACTCCAACTTCGTTCTTCCTGACCGCTCTGCGGTGACCATGACCGTTCCCTTCATGGACGCCTACGTCAAGCTTCTCATCAAGACTTGCCACAGGCGAGGCGTCCATGCCATGGGTGGTATGGCCGCCCAGATCCCGATCAAGAACGACCCCAAGGCCAACGAGGCCGCGATGGCTTCTGTCCGCGCCGACAAGCTGCGCGAGGCCCGCGCCGGCCACGATGGCACCTGGGTGGCACACCCTGCTCTGGCTGCCATCGCCTCCGATGTCTTCAACACGCACATGCCTACGCCGAACCAGATGCACGTGCGCCGCGAGGACGTGAACATCACGGCCAACGACCTGCTCAACATGAACGTGCCCGGCGACATTACGGAAGACGGCATCCGCAAGAACCTCAACATTGGTCTCGGCTACATGGAGGGCTGGTTGCGCGGTGTTGGCTGCGTGCCCATCAACTACCTGATGGAGGACGCGGCGACGGCCGAGGTGTCGCGCTCGCAACTGTGGCAGTGGTGCCGTCACGGCTCGCCGACCAAGGAGGGCAAGAAGGTCGACAAGGACTACGCACTGCGGCTGCTGCGTGAGCAAGCCAAGGAGCTCGAGGCCAACGCGCCAAAGGGCAACAAGTTTGCGCTGGCGGCGAAGTACTTTGAGAGCCAGGTGACGGGCGAGGACTACGCCGAGTTCTTGACCTCGTTGCTGTATAACGAGATCACGCAGGCGGGCAGCCCGACGCCGGCAGCGAAGCTGTAAAAGCGTAGCGGGGTTGGCGGTTGCGGTAATGTCGATTTCATGATGAGGTTATCGGGTTTCTTTTGGAGTTTTGTGTGTTGGTTGGGCAGCTATATGCTGGCTCGGTTGGTGCCTCTGTGGGCCTTGTGTCTGATGATAGTATGAGCGTGCGTCAATTGGATTTTTCAGATTCTTCGGATATGTTTTGGTTTGAAGCGTGTTTGCTGGTAACGTGATGTGTGGTGATGATGTTGTCTGTGGCTACTGCACATGGGAGTGATGACATTAGATGTACGATACTCCTGGGTAGGTTGGTATGTAGGTAAGGAGAACGAAGACATTCGCCAGAAGAAAGGCGTTCCGCATTCCGGTTCCGCAGCCTGACAAAGAAATGGTGTTGGGGCTTGATCGCGTGCAAGGGGGCCGCGGTGGCGTCCCGCGCCGCCCCGCGCGCGCATCGCGTAAGCGAGAGGGACGACCTTTCCGCCCTCAGGCCACGGCTTACGAGCAAGCAGCAAACGCACGCACAACCAGCTTCCGCGCCGATGATTCTGGAAGAAAGCATGGGCGCCACAAGCCGGGCGCAAGAGCCGCGCGAGCCCCTCCCTCCCTGGGCCTGGCTGCTCGCGAAGAGGCAAGCCGAGCGCTGATTGGTCGGTTGTGGTGTAGTTAGGCCTTTTGTACGCCTGCTTTTACTGCTTTGGGGTCGCGCTGGTGCGAGTGCGTGGCTGTTTTGGGTAATGAGACGGTGGGGCGGGGTTGTGGGTGGGTGGATGGCGGAATTGGGGGGAGGTGCTGCGTAATGCTGTCTTGGTGGATTGACGTGATGGTGGAGGGGTATTGCGAGGGATGGGGGGTATATATTGGGGTGCTGGGAAGTGTGGTGGTTTGTTGTTCTGTTCATACTTCCAAGTCTTCTGCTCTTCTTATCTCTCTCTCTGCTCCTCTCAAGTCAATTCTTACACGTCTATCTACATCAACCCTGCCCCAAACACCACAATGAGCGAGACAAAGATCAAGACGAAGGTCATCCTCGTCGGTGCGAGCGGCAACCTTGGCCCCTCGGTCTTGAACGCTTTCCTTGCCGCCCCCGACGACTTCGACGTCTCAGTGCTCACACGTCCCGACTCCACCGCTACCTTCCCGCCCAACACCAACGTCGTGAAGTCCGACTACAAAGATGAGAGCCTGAAGGCCGCCTTCACTGGCAAAGACGCCGTCGTGTCGCTCCTCGGTAACGCGGGCTTCGGCGAGCTCCAAAACAAAGTCGTCGACGCGGCCATCGAAGCTGGAGTCAAGCGCTTCGTGCCCTCCGAATTCGGCTCCGACACGCCCAACCCTGCCGTCCGGGCCATCGTCCCCGTCTTCAACTCCAAGCGCGGCACAGTCGAGCACATCCAAAAGAAGCAATCCGAGGGTGCCAAGAACATCAGCTGGACGGGACTCATCACCGGCCCCTTCTTCGACTGGGGCCTCGAAATCGGGTTCCTGGGCTTCGACCCCAAGAACCGCAAAGCCACTCTCTGGGACAACGGGACCGCGCGCTTCGCGACGTCGAACCTGAACTTCATCGGGCGGGCGCTAGTGCGCGCTCTCCACCCAAGCAACTTCGAGAAGACAGAGAACCAGTACGTGCATGTTGCCAGCTTTGTGACGACGCAGAAGGAGGTCCTGGCCGCGTTCGAGCGCGCTACCGGCCAGAAGTGGACTGTTGAGCACAAGTCGACGGAAGTGGAACAAGCCCGCGCGACGGAGAAGTTCGCCAAGAACGATTTTAGTGAGGTTGCGACTCTGATTTTGGCCGCGACTTATGGGCCCGCTGAGTTGGGCGCTTTTGAGAGGCTCTGGAATGAGGACTTGGGCTTGGAGAAGGAGAGTTTGGATGAGACTGTTAAGGCCGTGTTGGAGGGGCGGAGGCCGTAGGAGTAGCTGGGGTTGATACAGTGCTTTAACTTGAAGCGGGACTTATGTGTCTCTTCTGCCAACTGTTTTCAAGGCCTTTCGTGAGCATGTATGAGGTTATTTCACTGTGCTATATCCTTGTTCATGACTCTTCTCCTATTAAACATTGTCAGCTCTCAGGAAGGAGTTGAAAACTGTACTAATCAAAGCTCATAAGACATGCTGTCGCTGGCAACTACTGGAATCCCTACTTCAAAGTTCTGGAAAGGTTTGTAGGCAATGTGTTCTTGCTTAGCAACTTTAGCATCACAATGATTCACTGCGCGCTGGGAGGTGTACATTTCTGGACCAGAGACCCATATAGGCACTACCGTGCATCTAAACTTGATCCCTTCAGGACTTTTCAGGGTAAGTATCAGCTTGATGGTCTTTCGGAACGAACATTGATTGGTGCGTGGAGTCCCGTGCCATAAAATAAATCAGTTTAAACTCCATATCCTATGCGAGACTTTATAAAACAGTTCAATTTCCTCTCCCAACGCCGTGAAACTCAATACTGGAAAGACTATCTTCGGAAATCAAAGCGTATAGGATAGTGAAGCCGTACGCCAGACCAAAGCTTCCAAACTCCGCCAATGCGACAGAAAACCGATCAGAAAGCCATCCAAAACAGACTCCACATATGAAACATAAGAAAGCCATAAAAAACCAGGAACGAACCAACTCCGAACCAAAGAAAACAACAGACACGAACACTTTAAGAAAGTGCCATCCCTAGACCTTGAATTCGAACCAGCCAAACAGACACTCAGCGCTCCTCCAACACAACCCCGATCTCCCGAATCCGTCTCTTTTTCTCTTCAATGACAGGTCTCTCCTCACGCAGTGCTTCTCGGACTCGGGTATCCAGTGATTTTTCCAAGAACTCCCAGAGGCGCACATCCAGGGTGGCGTATTCTTCCACAAGTCTCGCAACCAGTGGCTCCAATAGGGGTCGGATGTGCTTCTCCTCGTCTTGTTTTTCCGCTGTTTCCCGCCTTTCGCGCACGTTTTTGTCCCTGTCTGGTTCTCCAAATAGCAGTCTCCATCCCCTTTTCCGTTTGCAACAATGCCATGAATGAGTAAGTCCTAAAGCCTCGAATGCTAGAGCTCGGATGTAGCCTGGAACAAGCCATTGGTTTCCTTTTTCTTTCAGATCGATCAAGTCCTCGGCAACCTTTAGTGGCCACCAGGGGCCCCAAAGCATTTTATCGCTGTACCAATCGGATTCCTGGAACGACAACATGGCTACAGCCGGCAAACAACGACCAGCACAGCAGGAGCAAGGATGTCCTGCGGACTCCTTACTCACTAGTAGCTGTATAAATAGATCTCGTAGTTGTTCAACATGGGGTATGTCACTGCTAGGACGCTGTCTGCTGAGTTGTCCCCAACTCTGGTCCAGGTCAACACTTAGTTGCTCGGCTTTTTCCCAACTTATCGGTCCTTTACTTGAACATCCCAGGCAGGCTGCAAAATCGTGTGACCTTGAAGAGGTTTCTAAGCCATTCCCGATCATGAATCTTAAAAGATCTAGATGAGAAATGAAATCTGGATAAAGCTTTGCCAGATATTCGCGTTTTCGAAGCTTGAAGTGAAACCCGGCTGCCCAAATAATCTTTCTCAATTCGCTTGAACCCTTGGTGGTAATTTCCCAGAAGGTTTCATCCACTTTGTAGTCAAGCAAGCCAGAATGTTCTTCAAGGATAAATGGAATTGGGACTTCCTTTTTCCTCAATATCCGCAAGGCTTTCTTGCATTTAATGTTATCTGGAACCATATCAGATTGCACCCTGAGTCTTTTGATTGCACGCCGCGGTAGGTTCGAACAGGATAGTTGGGCGAGTTGTATGCGTCTCCGAGCCAGTTCTTTGACCAGTACCAGAAAAACCGCGTGGTCCTTGGATAAACCTAGCCAATTACAATTTATTCCAGAACCCGCTTCCAGAAGCAACTGGGCAGATTCGGAGCAATTGTTTTTGCAAGCATGGTCGATTGGTGTACAGAATGATCCATCCAATTCGTGGATCAAGCTGTCTCCTCCCTTCGACAACAGGACTTTTAGACCAGCTGCCCATCCGGCACTAAGATGAAGAGCCGTTTGGTTAAATATGTTGCGTTTGTAGAGCTCGGACGGTTGGTCCAGTAATATACGTTCAACATGTGCTAAGTTCTTTTGCTGAATCGAATGGTGGAGCTCAGTGCATCCTAAGTCTATAAACTCATTAGTCTTATAATATCATTGTTTACAAGACAACTTAACTTCATTCCATTCCTTGTACTGCCATAGAAGCTGCGACAGCCCGAAAGATGGGTAAATTAATACGCTAGATCCTCCTTTACTTAAAGAAATCATATATGCGTTACAAAAGCTATCCAAGAAGCTTTCGGCGTCAAATATGTCAGTCCCTCTGTCAATCATTTCCAAGGCTAATGTATGGAAAAAAGGACCAATGATCTCGTGGCCTGCGGGAATCAGGAGACTGCTAAAATAGGCCCCTACCACATTCCTATTGCTTATGTCAGTCTTCTGTTAAAGTCAGAGGCATATACCTCTTACAATCCTCTGGAGTCTCTTTGTTCCAAAGGTACTCCTGCATCTACCAAGCCACGAACTAGGCTTCTAAAGGCCCGGAAAGTCTCAGGCTTGACGGGGCCACGGTGTCGCATGCTGTACATAACCATCTTACTTCTTTGTTAGCTACTGTAATATTTTACTTGCACCCATACCTACATGTAGATATGTGTTTCCCCCTTCGCTGGTGTCAGTAGGAGAGGCTTGGCCATCATTGAAAAGCTTCAACATCTTTGCTAAAATCTCGTCATAGTCGGAGTCTCCGGGCCACATAAGTGATTGAAAATTTGGGTGATCATTCGGGAGAACAGCTTTGAACGTTAATATGGGAGATATTGACATATGTCGAGATCTGCCCCAAAGAGGAAATCCAACACTGTAAGTGTCGGATATTTTGATGGGGGACTTGGCGTAGGGACAGCTTTCGGCGTGAATGCACGTCAGGACACTTCCACGAGAGATTGAGAATGGTCCGAAATAATATACCGAAGTCTTCGTCTTTCTACGCGGGCGACAACGGCATGAGGGTAGCGGAGAAGCGAGAGATGCTCCGGAGCTGGAACTAGAAAATGTGTCGATGGCTGGAGCATCTGCAGGCAGAACTAGTGAAGAGCGCCTTGAGATCGAGGAAACGGTGGTGTGGCTTATTTGGCCAGGTTGCTGAGTGTTTGAATGTAACGATTGAATCATTACTTCCATGCTGTCGAGTCTTTGATGCATGTCATGCCTCAAACTGTTCAGATCGTAGCCCACAACATGAACAGCTGTTGATATAGATGATGTAGTCGACATGATTGTCGCTGTTTGCTCGACTGTTTTGCTTTGAATATCACTGTAACAAGCCTCAGTAACTAGTTAAGGCTACTGCCAGCACACCATTTTCAAGAAGATTCGCGGTCAGGAACTTACATTCCCAGCACTTGAAGCGCGGTTTGAACGTTTGCATGCGCGTCAGTGACATGCTCTTTTATACTCTTGATGGTATCTCTCCGAAACGGATATAGAGCCTTTTTTCTGTATTCCCTAAACCGATCTCGCATGTTCGCAGATGTTGCCGTTGCTTCACATTTTCGAAGAACTTCTTGAAGCTTGTGCAAGGTCCCGGCACAGGATTCGATACAGGTCTCGATCTGTGTTGCAGTTGTCTGATTCTGTTCCTTGAGAGCCGTAACACGGGGCTGTAGGATTTTCAATATGTTGCTCAAGTTGGTGGCCGCATCAACTGTTTGAGAGACTTCTTCATCCTGCCCTTTAAAGGCGCTGTAGTAGTTGACAATTCCTTGGCAAACGGTCAGGCCGAGAGAAATGACGCCAACAGCGCTTCCGGCGACAGAAAAGGGGTCTGACATAATGGCAAAGTTGAGGTTTGCAATAGTGTTTTGCCAAGGAGTAAGGTACTGTGTAGTCGTAACACTTCTTCGAGATGCTAAGACACAACGATTGTGCAGGGGAGAGGAGTGAAAGCTGGCCGCGATGAAAAGGGATCGCGGAAGAAAAGTGGACGTAAGCGCCGCTAACAAACGCGGGAATAGCCAGAGGGGCTGTGTCTGCCGGTCTGCGAGGCTGAGGGAGACGTGTCACGCTGCCAGAAATCCTGGTTCCCTAGACCCAATCAAAGGTCCTTGGCTCTTTACACTGTAGCACAACTGAAGCCACACATATCTAGCGCAGACTTGGCAGCTTCGAGACAACCAGAGCATATCTGAGTTGTTATGGAATTGGCGGCCTGCCCGTGAGATATGCTGCATATGATGCTGTAAGAATTTAGGTAGCCAGACTTTCCGCTTTTCTATGTGGAAAGTGCTGTGCGCAATGCCGCGGCGCTTTCCACGTCAAGTTTTGCCAGACATCTATATAAGATAACCACAAGTGACCGTCCATACTAAAGTTTACTCATAAGTTGACCGGATATTCTGTGGAAACAATGTATCATCAAATTCAAGCGAGCGTAGGGGCGTACTCTTAAGAATGCAGACTGGCTTTTTAGTTCTTGGTCATGGTACCCAGAGAGATTATAGGACTAAGGAAATAAAAGGAAGATATTGGAGCAGTTGCACTTACATATGAAGCTAGACATAACATGATACAGTACCTCTAAGGCCGCAAACAACTGTTGACGAAAGAGACAACATTGAGAGGGATACAAACATGTTCTTCGAGTCAATAATGGCCTCATATTACCATGACAAGAGCATTCTCTTTGCATAGAAAAGTTATAGTCTTCACATCGGTTCGCTTTTCGGGCATCGAGTTGTGTAAGGTAAAGAAGACCAGATCAACTGAGCGACCGCGGGGTAGGTTGTTTCAAGCCGCGCCACGCAGCCGCAGATCACCCGGCCGACAGGGGGCAGCGCTTTCCCGCGACATCGTCATCAAGCCGGACAACCACGCCAACAGCTGCCGCTGCCGCTGTAGTTTAGGCCTTTCGCAGACTCCAATTGATCCTATTCCACTGCGCTTACCCAAACTCCATCGCATGCTCCCTGACATAGAACCTGCAGGACCGACCCGTTCAGACAACGTGTTCTCTCTAACACCTAACCTCTGATCTCGTTTGACAGCAGCTCCACACCACAAAGTGCCCTTGCCCCTTCGCTATAAACGACAGTAAACCTGGCTCATACTCACTCTCAAATCCCTCTGTCTCCTCGTCCTGTACCAAATCGATCAATCACCCGCGAAAGACCGCGTCCTCAACGCGCCGGAAGACACTACACCTACACCACCGAAACCCTCACATCGCAGCCATGTCTTCCAGTCCGCTTCTACAGCAAACTCTTATGGCATCTGTGCTGTCCGCAACTAGCAACATCATTGCGCAACTTGTTACCGCACAGCGCGAAGGCGTAAGCTCCCTCCCCAACCTCCGCAGTTAGCCAAACACCCACTGACCCAAGCGCAATCACCAGGCACCCTACACGCTCGACTTCTCGCCCATCTTCAAGTTTGTGCTTTTCACCGCGCTCAGCACACCGCCCAACATCGTCTGGCAAGAATACCTCGAGGAGAAGTTCCCGGGCCAGAAGAGAGCCCCGGCCGCGCCGAACAATGAGAAGACAGCCAATGGCGTAGTGAAGGATAAGCCGCAGAATGACGCATTGGATTGGGGGAATGTGGTCAAGAAGCTGATGCTGGACCAGACGGTGGGCGCGGTCGTGAACACCGTCTTGTTCATCGCCGGGATGCAAGCGTTGAACGGCGGAGGTTCGGAGGAGATCCAGACGGCAGTCAAGGAGGTAAGTTGGTTTTGCTGTTTGGCAGCTGCTGCTATACAGTCAGAATTCACTTTATGCTATTAGAGCGTGGAGCTAACCATCATGATTTAGGGATTATGGCCGCTCCTGCTCTCCGGCCTGACTCTCTGGCCGCTCGTCTCCCTCGTCAGCTTCACCCTCATCCCCGTCGAGAAGCGCATCATATTCGGCAGCTCGGTCGGTGTGGCATGGGGAGTGTATCTCTGCCTCCAAGCACCGAAATAGGCGCGCAGGCCCAGCACTACCTACAGACATCCACCTAACGCAGCGATTGAAAAGCATTCCTTCCATCTTGTCACAAAAGTATCACTCAGGCTTGCGCAGGCGCAGCATTGCATGTAGCATAGGGTTGAATGGCCTAGACAAAATTGGATCCGGCGTCCAGATAGACGGGACCGGCTTGGTATCATCTATATCAGAGCACGCAAATCACGCATTTCACCAACCCAGACTCAGCTCCAACATATCCCGCGCTTCCGCGCTCTGCCCCCCCACTCACACCCACCACGCCCACCCCCCCGTCCCCTTATAAAACCCCGTCATATACCCCGCCGTCGACCTACACAGCACGCACACAGTCAGCGACCACGCACGCATACAGCAGATCGCGCCAACCGCATGCATACGTACCCGTCCCGTCGATCGCGCTCTTTCTCCCATTTCTTCCAGCGCACGCTGTCCGGCAGCGTCGCGTCCTGCCACTCTGGCTTCTTCTTGGGCGTTGTTGCACCGGCGTTGGCATTAGTGTTTGCTGCGCGGTGAGGGCTGAAGAGGGATTTTATCGAGCGTGGCATGTGTGCTGTGTCTGATGGTGGTGGTGGTGGTTTCGCTAGGCAGAGGCTTTGAGAGAGGCGGAGAGGGTTCGTGTTTGTTCAATGAGTGCGAGTTGTTGGTGGTGGTGGTGTGTTGGTTTGGTTTGTTCTTTCTGTACTACCCTACACCACCACTACTAGGCTACTAAGTAAAGAATTGCTTGCGCCTACTCACTCCATCCAAGCCTAGGGGTATCAAATCAAACAAATATGCTGCGCACAGCACAGCCGCGCGCGGGAGGCCGTGGCAGCCTGGCGCGCTTGGCATGCACTGCCACTGCCTCTGCCACCGCCGTTTCCGCCATCTCTTTATCTCTTCCCTCACCACTCCTCTTCTCCATCACCATCTCCGCGCCCGCATCCCCAACTCCCGAACCCATGGAAGAACGCCCTCTTCCCCGCGGAGCCGCAGGCCCGGCCCGCCCGCCAAGCCGACAATGACATCAGCCGCTGCGCACGGAGCCCGTCCTGCGTCCACGCGCCGCCCTGCCGACCAGCCCGCTGCCCGTGCCGGTCTGCCGCCCGATCCGAGCATCCCGCTTTATCGCTCCTACTCGTACCTCGTGCCGCCATTCCTACCACGTCAAGACGTAGGTAAGGTTTGCTGGCCACATGCCTCGCGCTCGTGTTCGTACCGCTGGCCTCGTGCCCAGCTCCGTCACCGTCATCGTCATCGTCATCATCGCTGTCGTTCCCATGCCCCAAGCGGACAGGCGGGCATGGAACAGGATCCTTCTCGTCATCGTCGCGCTTGGGGGCAGCGATCGTTGCTGCATCGATGATGTGTCGTTCGTGGTAGGCCGATTCCGAGTCCGAGTCCGAGTCCAAGTCCATGTCCATGTCCATGTCCATGTCATGTCCAACTCTTGCGGGAAAGTGCAGATGCAGGTGAGATGGCAGGGTTCTGCGTAGCGAATCAAAGCAGGGCAAGCGGATCGGATCGTAATCGTAGCGCTGCGCTGCGCTGTGTTGCGTTGCGCGAGGCGGGGAGGTGGCGAGCGAAGCCAATACGGTGATACGAGTACGAGAGCGAGTACGAGAACGAGAACGAGAACGGTGGCCGGCGAAGGAGGAGAAGTGAAGGAGGAAACGGAGGAAAAGACCGTCCAGTCCAGCGAGCGGAGGAGCAGGTCGGTAACAAAGAAGCAGCACAAGCAAGCAAGAGAGTTAGGTAGGCACTTGCTCAACCCATGCGATTCCCGCCCGTCAGCGCCGCAGCAAGCGCATCAAACAGCCTCGACGGGCGCCGAAAACAAGCGCGAAACCCGCGATGCTGGCGGTGCGTCTTCTCCTCACTCTTCCCTTTGCTCTGGGCGTTGGCGTCGTTCGTCTCGTCGTGATGGTGATGGTTGTCGTGCGCGCGCCTACGAGCCGCCGTCAGCTTCACGCGCGTACGTCGATACGTGTTGGGGCCGTGCCTGCTGCTGTGGCTGCTGAGCCTGCTGCGTCGTTTTTGCTTCGGTGCCGGCAGCTGGTTGCGCTGGCGCTCAAACTCCCAGAATTGCTCTGTGCGGCTGCGTAAGGGCGCGGGTGCGGCGGCGGCGGTGGCGGTGGCGGTGGTGGCGGACATGGTTGGTCTTGTTGTTGGTTGGTGATGGAGGTAGTGGTGGCTACTAGTGGTGCCTGAGATATGGAGATAGGTTGGTTGGTAAAGTAGGTAAAATGCGTGAGACGGCGTGAGATATGTAGGAGTAGTAGGTAGATCGTAGGTAGATCGGTAGGTAGGAGTGGCAATGACGACAAGCAAGAACCAGTCAGTAGGCAGGAATGGAAGGTAGGTAAGACCTCAGTGCGACAGGCAGTACCCAAGTAAAAATCCAGCTCAAGACCTTGGACCAACAAACCAACCCGACTAGCGGGGGGCACGCAAGCGGTATATAAGCCAGGCAGGCAGCCGAGCAGCCGACCCACGCGCGCGAACCTAGCCCTACGACGTGCTGTAGGACTGTACCTACGTTCAACTTAGCAGCAGCAGTAGCGGGTCACGCATCAGCACCGGCGGGCCTGCGGGGGGCCAACCCTTACCCAACCCTGGCTCGCCCGGCCCGTGACAGCAGCCAGCAGAGCGCGATGCGCATCTCCGGCGGCGGACCGCGAGGCTGCCTTCACCACCACCAGCGGTCCAGCACCACACGCCCGCCAGGCCGCCCCCAAACGCCCCATAGTTCGGCCACGCTGCCAGCGGCCAGCCCACCGGTCTGGTCTCTAGCTAGTGGCAGTGGCGCACGCGTGCCTGTACAGTAAGGACCTATTGTACAAACAACCGCTAGGTACATAGCCCGTCCCCGCAGCTGCGCCCTGCGCCCGCGATGCAGGCCGCAAACCGCAGGTGCTGGTGGTGGCTGCGTGCTGCAGCAGATGCTTTTTGTCGCCACGTGCGGATGCTGCGAAGGGGGGCTGATCGGCGGGCGTGGGCTGTGCGGCTGCTGGCTGGCGTGAGCGCGCTGTTTGGCTTTGGGTGTGGAGGTGGTAATTTGGGGTCTGAAATCGATCTGTTGGATGGGTGTGCTCGTCACGCGTGCACGCGCGCCAGGCGGGCGTGAGTCGTGGGTTGGGGAGGCGTGGGTTTGGGTTTGGTTGTTTTGGCCCCGCGGGCTGCGCTGCGTGCTGCGTTGAACAAACGCCTTTGCTATCGCACTCACGCCCACACCCCAACTCGCACTCACACTGACAGCGGGCAGGACATCGTAGACGTCCACGGTGCTCCTCCTCGTCGTCGTCGCTGGGTAGGTGCTCAGTGCATTACAGCCAACACGTCAGGATCCACTCGGCCAGCTATCTTTAGCCCTCACCCGCGTCGCGACCACCACGCGACCGGGCGCTCACCGCCGCCACGAAGTACAGTAGGTCAATGTCATTGTCATCGGCGACGGCCAGGCTTTTTTTTGCATCTGCAATCTGCAAAGTCTGGTAGCTTTAGGAGTGGTCTCCACTTGGTGGGTGTGGGCTGCTGCGCGCAAGCAAAAAAGCTAGACCACGAGTACCTAATTTGCAGTGTGCGAAAGAGGCAACGAATGCGAGACTGGGCGATCGGCATCGATCCATACATATGCGAGTGCGAGTTGCGAGTGTGGGGAAGTGTTGGAACGTGAAAGGAAACTCCCGAGCCGAGGCGAGTCTGCTGTGCCTTCCATCTGCTTCCCTGCCAGTCGTCCTGTCATTCACACTCATTCACACTCACGCACTTCTTGCTTGCATCCTCTAGAATACTAGCCATCCATGTACCCGAGCCCAAGGTCCAGGATGATGCCGTCATTGGGCGCGCCACGAGACTACCTAGAGTAGGACAGCTCTGCCTGAAGAACGCTAGCGCTCTCTGCCTCGCGCCGCAAACAGCGAGGAGCGAAAGCGTGCAAGAAAAAAAAAACCTGGGCCGCGGCTACCACTCCCATCACTCCCACGAATCCTGCTCTTGCCCAATGCCCTGCTCCTGTCGCACTGGCAACCGCGTTCTGCTCCGCGGTACCATTGTCACGACACCACACGACGCCGCGACCTCCACTGCGCCCTGCGCCGCGTCCGCGCGACTGTTTTGCGCGTGGCCGTGCTTGTTTGCTGTTCCGTGGTTGATGCGCGCTTGGCGGGTGTTGGTGGTGGCGGTGAATGGGTGGATGGGTGGAGCCGGTTTCAGAGGTTGGATGGGGGCGAGGTTGAGGGGTGTGAGTGGTGCGGGTGTGTAGTGAGAGGAGATGAGAGGGTTTGTTTGAGGTGGGATTGGTGTTGGTGGGGGGTGTGGGTGGGTTTGGAGGGATGTTGGTAGAGAGATGGTAAGGTTGTTGAGGTATGCAGCTGATATTTACGATGGTGCTATAGGATAAGGTAGGGTATGTTCTCGTTCTATTTGATACTTCAAGTCTTATTCCTCTTCCAATTTTAACAAAAACCAGTCGTCCGGCACGCCAAACACCACCAAATACCATCCGGATTCGCATTCCAAGGTACAGCAAGAACAACTTAGGCACCCAAACAAAACAAAACCGCATCCAGTTCTTGCCGAACGAGAAACCCCCGATTAAGATCAAATGATTTTCCATAGCAACCAGCGCTGACCAGGACCGAATTTCCCCTTCATCACCCACCACCAACCAAGAGCCAGCAAAATATAACCAGACGGAGTAACCACCGCATCCCCCAGCAACTATACTCACCAACCCCTTTTACTTCCACGCTCACAAAACTCCAAGTAGGCCACCGATGCAATACCAAGGCAAAACCTTCGCACCCGCAAAAGAAAGACATCCAACCTCAACCCCTCTACCTCTCCAACGGACTCCACAAGCTCGACCGCCTCCTCTCGCCCCTCCACTCCCGCCCCTCGTTCCCGCTCGCTTTCCCCCCGCTACTAAAATCAGTCAGCACGACGCCTTGGCCCGCCCATCCGTGGGCGTCGTTCTCCCACTGCCTTTGCGCGTGCTCCTCTTTGTTCCGCCACCCCGCTTCCCACCGTCCCGCCTCTTCCCGCCCTGTCTCGCCCCACCTCTGCGCGCCCGTCTCGTCCCGACCACCCGCCCTCCGCCCCCCACAACAGCGCCACCACGCCCTCCGCGCCGGCAGTTCCGAGTCAGCACCCCGTAGCACGGCGCCCGGGTGCACGAGCGCGAGCACCAGCAGCGCGAGCACCATGGGCAGCGCGTCGAGCAGGAGGACGTAGTTCTCGTTGTAGAGGATTGTGTTGGCGGGGGTGATGCCGCGCGCGAACTCGACGAGGCGGAACGTTATGCGGACCTGTGGTTGCGGGGGTGGGGGTTAGTGGGATGGTGTTTATGGATTGTGGTTTAGTGTGGAGAGGAATAGAAAAGGAAAGAGGATGGGGTAAACGTACCGTGATTAGCGCTAGGACTGTATATAGAGCCCATACTAACGCGCGCCAGTTTCTATACAGCCACCCAGAGCAGCCGCCGCGCGGCCGCCCGTCCTCGTCGTTCTTCCCCACACGCATGCCCTCTCCCTCCGCCCACCCCCGCCTCTCCACCCCGCTCATGACCCAATGAAACTGCACAACACCCACCGCAAACACGCAGACAAAAAGCTGCTGCACGCCCACACCAGCCATATAAACCCTTAACCCGAGCCTCTTTGCCTCAACGCTCGCGCCCGGACTCAACATCGCGCCGCCGACAGCCTGGACCACGAAACTGCCCACATCGGCCCACACAAACACGCTGCCAACCCTCGCAGCATTCAGCCTGAGCACGCGCTTGGCCGGGGCGAAGCAGAACGCGGCGCGGCCCGCAGCCATGTACGCGAACGCGTTGATCCACAGCGGCGCCAGCAGCAGCTGCTGCTGCGCCACCGTCGCGTACGCCGTGTTCTGCTGGTCGTAGGCGCCGAGGGCGCGGAACACGAAGGGCCCGGCTTCCCACGCGCTGCCGGTTATCAGGACCCACGCGAAGCGCTTTTTGTGCTGGAGTGCTAGGGCCAGGTGCGTTAGTGTCAGAACGCTGAAGAGCGCTAGGAACGCGATACTGCTGCTCGGAGAGGGCGCCGCGAAGTAGTTCGAGTTGCAGGCGGTGATGGGGACGGCGCCGTGGTGCCCGGGCGTCGCGTAGGTGCATGTTGGTGCGTCGGTGGGGGTGGTGGGTGTGAGGGCCAGGGTGGAGAGGGCGTGCTGCTGAGGAGAGAGGTGGAGAAGGAGGTTGGTAAGGCTGATGGTGTGGATGAGGGAGTGAGGGTGGCTGCGACGGCGGCGGAGATGCTGGCAGATGTGGTTGTTAGGATTAGCTCGAAGGTTTGAGAGTTTGCGACGATTTCGGACGTTATGAGCGCTTCTGACGGGCCTAGTGGAATGTTGTCGGCCGCGATGCTGACTTCGGGACGTTTGGAGGTGGGAGGCTCGTCTTGCTCGGAAGACATGGTTGTGCTGCTCTCTGTGGTGTGGTGGTTTGTAAAAGGATCAGGGAAGAGTGAGTAAACTTCTCCGACATGATGGTTTTGGGAAGTATCGCCAGATGTGTCGTCTTTGTTCTGGCGTACTCTTTGTACCGGCTCGAGTGCCCGAGCTGACTTGCCAAGATCAGGTCTGCGTCCTTTGTCCGTCGACGCACATGGAACTCAATTGCCTCCGTGTTCATTGTCGTGACTAAATGAAGGCACAGGATTCCGGCACTTTCAAAAATGAGCAACGTCTTTTTTTGCTAGTCTGACACCAGAAGAAAATATAATGCAAAATTTTTGAAGAACTTGCATCAGAGACGACACTTGGTTGATATGAACCACAACACGGCCCCAAGATATACGGAAGGACAAAAGTTTATCATAAAGAACAGCACTAGACAGATTACGCTGAAGGGACGAGAAAATAGAACTACTCGTGAATATATATTGGAAATACTTGATACAAGTTGTCAGTGAAGCGAGCACAGTAGAGGAATCAGTATGATTATTATAAAGGAAACATGTCAAAGAAAGCGATTATGGTGAAGAATTTGTGAGATTGAGCTATGAATTGAAAGGAAAACAAGAACATATATTGAAAAAAGAAAAAAATGGGTGCAAGGCTTACTTTTTTTTTTCTTTTTTACCTTTTTTTTGTGTTTTTTTGTTTTAATCTACCAAAACATTCAATGATAAATCATAAACCGTGAATCATGATGAACACTTACAACTTTGCAACGTGCACTCGCAAAGCATACTTACCTTCGCAACACCCGAGCGACTCAGCAATGCAGAATAGTGAGATACACAGCACTATGGCCGGTCTACTGCCGGACTGCTTGCCTGTGCGCTCGTTGAAGCCATCCCCCTCGTATCTCCAAGGAAGATACCCGTAAATCATACATACCTTCGCAACTTCCGAGCGGCCCAGCGGTGCAGAATGGTGGGGTTCAGACATGCGACTTTGCTAGTGCAGTTCAAAGCGCCATTGCCGACCCACGACCAGACTACTCATACTTAAGCAAGCGCTCATTGAAGTCGCTCCTCACCTCGTAGCAGCGGTCGTTGAAGTCGTGCTCATCCTCGTTGAAGATGCACTCTTCCTTGTAGCTCCAAGGAATACTCCCCAACCACATTTCATAGCTCGCCCGGGCCGACTTTGGCATGGTAAGCCGCTTCAGCAACAGGGTCTCGTACCATGCCACAAGCCCTTCCAAAACGACCAGCTTCCTATCGAAAACGTCCAGGTCAGGCAAAGTGATAGAGAACGTGGGAGGCGATCCAGTTACTCCCTTCCAAAGCCGCGGGAATGATACAGTTTTCCCAGCCACGAGGGCGTAGACCAGCTCGACGAACTGGCGGTCCTCGTCGATGCCGACACGGACATTACCGTTCTTGATGCCCTGGCGGAACAGACCCAGCTCTTTCACCAGAGCTATCCTTTCCTCGACGGGAACTGATGCAAAAACTTTCTCTAATGCCGATTCCAACTTCTTCTCGACTTCATCCGCCGTCAGCTCCAGAGCCTTGACCGGCTTACCGGAAGCGTCCTTAACAATGAATTGCATCGCTTCTGTGAGGTTACGCTTCTGTGAGGTTAGGGTGTACTTTTGAGAACTGTTAGAAACCCTTTGCTAGTGTGTGCTGGATGTCCGAGATTGACCTGGGCTATTGCAATGCAATTTATCTTCTCTATATAGAGCCACTTCCATGAAAATTATCCGCATAGTTTTTGAACGTTGCCATCGTAAACTAGCAGGCTAGAGGTGAATGTATATGCTGCTGATGTGATGTGTGGCCTTCCTTTGTCGTTAGTTTTAGATATAGTTTTTATGTTCAGGAACAATGCTCCGAGCTCTTAAATTAGCCACCTAACCAACCTCGACGTCGCAGGCGATCGTATTTCTCATAATTGACTTGCCAAGCAGTTATTCTGTCCATATCAACAGATTTTACCAAGCTATTCGGACTTACCATGGTGCCATGAGATTTGTGTGGCGCAGTGCTCTGCTATCATGCTCAACCAGTCATGCGCTCTGAAAGACGATACAGATCCTTGGAAATCCTGAAGTCACTGGATGCGTATGTGTCTCCTTTTTGCAGGTCGGTAGGGCAGAGACTGAAGTGTTGTTCCTGCAAACTCATTAACGAGCTGAACGGACTTACGCGCCGCGTCTCCTATGGACATGAGACTATGGTCATTGCGTGTCTTGGCTACTGTTCCATTTCTGGTGACAGGCCCGGAGTGCAAGGTTCCGGTACTTAATGCGGTAGGTAGTGTGGCGGGTTTCGGGTGTCCCGTCAGTAGACAGCAGATCATTTTGAGGTCTGGCCAGCATGCGCAGATTGTCTATCTGGCAAGCGATGGCAGTTTCCGCATCAACGATCATGCCGTTTTCTTGCATCGGGGCCGCTGCACAGCTGTGACGAAACGTAAATGCCGCCACAAACTCACTGTTGGACTTAGCGATGGTAGAGGTGGACATAAGGCTCGGTAGGGTCCTCGGGTGTTTCTTGCGCCACAAACGGGCGTCGGAAGATAGGCCAATTTCATTATCATCCCTGGAAAATTATGAAGGGCGTTGGCAGATAACCAAGCAGGGTCTTATCGGCGATCCTTTGTCTTGGGTTTGCGGAAAAGCGATGCACAAGCAAGCACTTTGGTACGGAACGTTCTGGATAGGTCGTATCTCCGGTACAGCAAATCCTACGGGTAAAAGGCAAGTTTTGAAGATTTACCCCGGAGGTGCCGGCCAACGTAGTGGGGCAAATGGAAATCACCAATATTCGACGTGCTTTGCCTGGTGTCGCTCAGTGATTGACCAACCATTCCTGGACGCCAGTTTGTGAGATGATCTGACAGTCGTGTGTTGTGCAGCTATGAATAGGAAACAGGGTGTGTCTGCCAATCATCGCCGGGATGCTACCTTGTGGTTACCATGTCAGCGAGCTGAGGCTTCGAGAGAAGAAAATTCCTGCAAGCAATGGACGATTTGGCTGGTAGCAGACATGGGTAGCCGGGAGGCTGCGGAGGTGGAGTCTCTTGTCGGAGATCGGCAGAACGCGGTCCTCCCCATGCCCTGCCTAGCGCGTCCCGTTTGGGCTGTCGGAAAAAGTGAGGTCGCGGCGCTAATGCACAACAACATGCCATGGCAGAGACATCACCTAGGCTTGACAACGCCTTCCGCACTTGAGCCTCCTCTCAGCGTCTGGATGCAAAGTCGACATCGGAGTCAGTTGAGTCCGGAGCTACTTATGCAGCCAGACATTCGCCAGCCTCACCATGCCGACAACAATGCGGCGTGGTAGTCCGTGCTGCTGCTCCTAGGCGCCATGTGATGGTGTCGGCTTCGCAGGCACCTGCAGAAGTGGGTTAGAGGCGAAGATGCCTCGAGCAGGCCCTCGCTTCTGCAAGGGTACGTGGGACTGTCATCGCCAAACGCAGTGTGGTCGTACTCCCGGGCGGCTTCGCCCGCATTCGGAGCCCATGTAGCGATCCAGACAAGCTGGATCGGGTCCCTGCCGCCCAAGCAGGCGATAGGCTGTGGCCTAGAAGCATCGTGATGGTCAGTTCTCAGGGCAACAGTCCAGCTCGAGGGTGATCCCGCATGGATTCGCCGTAGCCACCAATACTAACCCCAGGCCATGGTAACCGTGGTTTGCCATCAAAGCTTAAGGCCTTATGGCTATACCATGCACCTTATCTGAGCCTTCCCATCCTCCGTTTTGCATCTATTCAAGCTCTTCAACACATCCCCCTCGTTGGCCTCACACCCGCTGCAATTATCCATGCTATTCAGTCCCCAGCATATATATTTTGTTTATAGTCTTTAAATATGTCAGCCACAGCTGCCACTACAACGTCTACAACGCCTCGACCTAGCACGCAAGAAGACGATAGCATTGCCGCAGCGTCTACATCTCGAAACCGCCAGGCTATCAACCCTTTCGCAACACCGCACGTATCATCGCCCACTTCAAGAGAAGGATCTGCGTACGATTTCCCCAGCAATGCAAGCAACGTCCCTCGCCAGCGGTTCTTCCACTCTAGACGTATAAAGAAGGGTACGGTAGACCAGCCATGGAAAGACAAAAAAGACCCAAAGGCGAAATGGGTAACCATCATACCTATCGTTGGTATGCTCCTCGGCCTGGGTATTGCCGGTGTTCTCATTTGGGATGGCCTTCGCACCGTCACAAACCATGAATACTGTCCCGTCTTTGCTGAGGATTTCTCTGGTGGTTGGAATGACAAGATCTGGACAAAGGAGGTAGAGGTTGGTGGCTTTGGGTGTGTACCGCTTTATGTCTCACGGCTGCCTTTGTACTAACTTCTCACAGTAATGGCCAGTTTGAGATGACAACAAACGACGATGAAAATGCTTTTATCAAAGACGGAATGCTGCACATCAAGCCGACTCTTCAAGACCAGCACCTGATTGACACAAACACTGTCGTCAATCTCACGAAAGAAGGCATATGCTCGTCTGACATCTGGTACAACTGCGTCACGAGCACCAACAGCACAAACGGAACCATTGTCAACCCTGTCAAGTCTGCACGCCTCAGCACCAAGCGTGGTGCAAGCATCAAATACGGCCGTGTTGAGGTTGTAGCTAAAATCCCTGCTGGAGACTGGCTATGGCCTGCTATTTGGATGTTACCCAAGGACAATGTGTACGGCGATTGGCCAGCATCGGGTGAGATTGACATCATGGAAACTCGTGGCAACAACTACACCTACAGTCAAGGCGGAAACAACATCATCAGCAGCACGCTGCACTTTGGCCCGAACTCCGACAACGATGGCTGGTGGACAAATAACGTCAAGCGCAAAGCCCGGCTCACCACGTACGCGGATGGCTTCCATACCTTCGGCATGGAATGGAGCGACAAATACCTGTTTACCTACGTTGACTCGCGCCTCATCCAGATCATGTATAACACATTCAACGAGCCTTTCTGGCAAAGAGGCAGGTTCCCTCTGTCTGACAGTAATGGCACACGGTTGGTGGATCCATGGAGCCACACCGGCAGCGACTCGACTCCTTTCGACCAGGATTTCTACCTTATCATCAACCTTGCTGTGGGTGGTACAAACGGCTGGTTCAAGGATGGTCACAACGGCAAACCTTGGGTTGATGCCAGCCCGACGGCTAAACGCGATTTTTGGAATGCGCGTGAGCAGTGGCTTCCGACGTGGGGGAAGAACGGCGAGATGATTGTCAAGAGTGTTAAGATGTGGCAGCAGAAGGGTTACAACAACTGCTAGTGGGTTTTTGTTGTTTTGATTGGTACAGTACACATGGCTTATCGCGCATAGAGATTTTCAGGTTGGGTTGTCTTGACGGATGGGAGATAACAAGGATAGACTTACGTTCGCCTTCAGTAATTCAATGAAGTTAACAATGCCTGTTACATCTATTCCGGTGCGTGACCTTACTGTGTGCATAGTTTTTCACCACACGGCAGCTCAAAGGCTTTCAGTATGTACAATCTCAGCCCAAACATGTCCCCACCACATAGTCCTGCACTCGCACTCATCACGTCGACCAGTCTGCAGGTAATCTTATCTAAAGAAATAGAAAACCACCCCACCATATCAATGGGCTGTACAACCTTAAAGCGATCCCGCAGTCTCAGCATGGTGACAGTTGCACACTCTAAACTAGCGCCGGCGGCTGCTTCTTTGGAATTGACAGTGCCGTTTGTATCCGCAAAGTATTCTTAGTGACAATACTAAGCTCGGAGCTACTTTCCTTCTTTAGGAGCCAGGCACACACCCGGAATTGGTGTGCAAAACTAGTGGTACGGAGGTAATATCAGCAACGGCTATCGCGAGGCGTTTTCCAGCGCCAAACGAGCGCCTCTGCCGTGGAGTGGCTTCTGCTTACAATACTGCATCTTCGTAGACTGACAGCGCAACAATGAAGCTGACAATGAAGAATCGAATGGACAGTGAGCCACGAGCCTTCCCTCCGCGCCCGTGGACGCAGCACCCAATAGTCGTGGTGCATGCACCCTTGCCAAAGAAGCCTGAACGGTGCAGCAGGTTCGCAGGCGATACGAAGGGGCGCGAACACGCCTTATCGCAGCTCCGTCGTGCCGTAGCGGTGCAGCGTTCTACGACCAATCGGAGACCTGCTGTCCGGCGGCGGGAGATCATCGAAACCGGGTCGCTTGCAGGTACGACGCTGTAAGAGGTTAGCGCGCCTTAGGAAGATGTTGGAATCTCGTCATCGCAACCTCGCTCGCCCATCTTCTCTGTCCCTTTTTGTGCGTCTCCGTCGTTTTTGTTCTTTCTGTATGCCAGCCTTGCTGCATGTGCAGGCTTCCGTTCCGGCGTCTGCCTGTGGGTAATGGCCTTGTCGCTGATTAACAACGGTTATCCTGCCCCTCTTCGCCAATGATCTGGGTAGTGGGTACGCAGTGTTGTCACAGCAGTCATTTCTCGCATTCTCACTCAGCAAATCGACTATTGACGATCGCCGTCATGGTAGGTCTGTCCCTTTGTGCCGCATTGTCCAGGACCCAACGTTTATAGGAAGGTGAGGTTTAAAGGACTACCTAAGAGTATACCGTCACCTCTATTCTTCGCTTTGGGTTGCTTGTGTCACTGTATTTTCGTGACACCACACTATTCATCATGTCTTACATCTTGAAAGGAACAGCTTATTGCAGAATGCTGTGCTGACGGTCCGTTTACCCACTACCGAGGACGACGTCGCCACAGCCGTCTGCAAATCCAGATAACGCCTGTGCACGCTATTTTCAAGCTCGTTCATTTCTCAGCTTCATCCCTGTCTTGTCACTTCCCATTCTCAGCCTATCGCGGCATGCATTGGATGGAGCAGCCAAAGAGTTACGAGATTGTCTAGACATCCCCAAGCCCGGCTTTGGGCGGGAGACTCTCTTCCCGTGTGACAATCATATTTGTAACGCTGCCTTGTTCTCAACGTCGCTACGAAGCTCGTAGTGCCAGCCGTATGCGCCATGCGATGCAGCGCTGCCGTGCTCAGACGCGAAGAATCAATCAGGAGCAGTTCTCCCCTGTCATCTCGGGGCCGGCTGCAGTGGCGGTACACGTGTTGCATTCATAGAGTCACTGTTGACCTTTGGTTGGTCGCCACTGCCGCGCTGTCTTCATCGCTATCGGCTGCTCAGAGCGGCCCCTGTGGCGCTATCAGGCGGCACTACACGGCTTGCTACACATGCACAAGGACCGGTGTTCCATTTATACGACGCTTAATCGGCCGGAATATGCCTTCTCTTTCTTCACAACCTATCTACCCCTTAACGTGCGTATCAGTCGCATAACAAAATGATGGATAGGCCGCAATTATCAACGTGATAGCTGGCTTGGTAGGTCCCCTTTGGAATTGAAACCATACCAACTTTTGAGCACATGACAACGAGCCACAAATGTCAGATTTTTTGTGGCTTTGGTTTGTCGTCTGCATTACCACCTTAACGTAAGTATCGTGTTAAGTTTGCTGTTAACTACGGACACGTAAGAGTAATAGGTTTTGTTCAATTCGTAGCTTAATTTAATTTGCTATCCCCTTGCATCTAGCTATAAATCTTACAGTCCTTCGATTTTTACTATCTTTAATTCGTCACCCGCGTTCGTTTGTAATCTGTCTAGGCATTTAAGCTGATCTTTCCAGCTTAGCTAGCATTGTTTAAGATGGCGTTATTCTCCGAGTTGATTTATCCTCGAAATATAATCCTATATCTTATTTTTCGTATGTTTTACTTCGTTATTTTATATTTTAATTCTTGCCATAGCCCTACAACCTCTTTTTCTTCGCATGCTTTAGTTGATCTGCTCTTAGTAGTTCTATCAAGACATTAATGGTTTCACGCATGTACTGCATAGTTATATTTAATTACTAGAATGATTATCTAATCGTCATTTTAGACGTTATGTAATTCAGGAAGTAAGGTTTCTCTTTCCATGGAGCAGCAAGGAGGCGTCTTATGAGATTTTCCCATACTGTTTCACGAGGCTAAGACCAAGTTAAACGTGTTTCTCTTTTTCAGTCTGGAACATAGCACTATTCTAACATGAGTACTCGGAAGAACGCTATTCTTAGGTTCACTTAACAGAAATTATCTTATAGTTGATACGAAGCACAAGGCCACATCCAACTTTCTTTTCCAGTAGTAGTGTGGATCAACGACAGTAGCGGATACTTCAGTACACCATGCTACGTAAGCAAGGGAATTAGCCCTTACCGCAAGCCTTAGCTTATGCGAGTCAGCTTTGCACAACGTGCCATTGTCACTGCTTACAAGGAGCGACTGCATCCGCCCAAGAGGCTTTTCTGCCATTGTTGCCTACTCAGCCTCGCCGGTATTTTAACTGGAAGAGTGCACCAACAGACGCCATACTGCTTAGCACCTTAGAAGGAGTTACACAACTCGTTGCCTATATCTGCTCACTAAGACACGGACGAATTTACTTCCGATTTAAGTACCAGTGATGTGGTCTTTCCAGCTCATTTAGAAACACTGCCAATACTTCCCTCGTATACTACTCCTTGTCTATAGTATTCACCGCTACAAGCAAGCCCCCAAAGCTTTGCGTACTTAGTACACTTACGCACCGTTCCTTTATATCGATGACTTCGGCAACATGCTACTCTCCAAGCGGAGATATAGCAGAAGACTGGCAGCCTTGTAACGCAACAACAAACGGTCAAGCGAGTGCATGCTGCGACCTTAGAAACTCCGTCTGCACAACAACCGGGCTCTGTTTCGGCGGGGCCGGCCACATCTACCGCGGCGGGTGTACGGATCGGCACTGGAGCGCACCAGAATGCACGAACCACTGTCTCGACGGTAAGCACGTCCTAGCCAACCACGCATGCTCCTAATAGAACAGACGCTCATGCACAGGGCAGTACGCCAATCGCAGTTCGTCAATCTCTACAGCTGTGAACCCGGAGTCTGGGACCCTAAGCATCGCGTCTGCTGCGGCGAGGATTCCAACTGCTGCGCCAACAACTTCACTATCGTTCCCGGGCTACCATTTTCGGGCTTCAATTCACGGACCACAACGAACGGGAGCGAGTCGGACGACGAGCAAACGACAGCGAGCGCATCGCGTACGGCGACAACAGTGACTGTCATCATCACGGCCACTGCTGCGCGGCATGACTCTATTAGGCCCACGACAGTGGGCGTCGCAGTGGGCGTGCCGCTTGGGACAGCGCTTCTCGTGGCGTTGGGGCTGCTGCTTTTCCATGAGCGCGTGTGGAGGCGGCTTGCGGCGAGGAAGAAGGCCGAAAAGGCATCTGCGTCTTACTACTTTGGTGGCGCAGGTGCACCACCACCGGGGTATCCGGCGCCTGTGGTTGAAGCCGACGCTGGTAGTTCAGCCAATCCTGCCGTTGAGATTGGGCAGCCTGAAGAGAGGACGGAAATGGAAGCCTGTGGGCCGAGATGACAGACTTTATGCGATGGGGTTGTATTGCTAATTTCAGAAGACGTTCGCTCAGTACACTCGCGCGTTACTACTCTTGTATATACAAAGCGGTGGTCAGGATCTAGGTGCGTAGACTCCGCTTGTGGTATCGTAATTGATAGTCGTATGGTTTAGTACAGACCACCTATGTATGTAGCACGTGGTTGACATAGGAGCGAGTACTACATCACCACTCCTACTTAATCAGACAGAGTCACAATCAGCTAAGCCGAGCCGAGCCAAGCCAAGCCAGCATGAAGCCCAGAAGCCCAAGAGCCGAAACGCCGAAACCACGTACGACCACGTTCAGGCACGCACGCACGCAGAGAGACAGGTATCAAACACCAGGTAAACAGATAGACAAATCAAGCGATGCATTTGCACCACTCATGTTTAAATGTAGCTACCACCAGCACTTCCTCTCCGTAGGTATGTGTAGCTAGAAAATTCCTTTTCAACGCCACACCCATCCACCGACCCATTCCCAACAAAGGAAACAATAGAAACAACAAAAGAAACCCTCCTCCCCCCAGCCCCGCAAAGAGGCGTGCGTGCGTATAATAGTAAAAAACTCCACCCAAAAAACCCCCCCACCCAAAAAAAGAACGCCCAACCGCCCCACAGGAACGGCATGCTTATGCTAGTTGGTATGAGACAGGTAGAAACAGGTAGAAACAACAAAGAAACAGGTAAAAACACAGATATACAAGAAAAGAGACAACCAAGAACAACAAGAAATGGTATGGTATGGAGCAAGGAAAAAGGCAAAAGGCAAAAGGAAAAAGGAATAAAAGCAGATGCGCCGCGCTGTGTGTGTATGCTTGCTTGCATGCGTGCTTGCTTGCGTGCTACTGCGTCAGGGGCGTTGCTCCGTTAGGGCGTGATGGTTGGTTGTTGTGTGTGTTGTTTGTTCTTCTTCTTCTTCTTCTTCTTCTTCTGCCGCCGCTTCTGAGTCGTTCTTCTTGCGACTCTCTTCTTCCCCTCTGCCCTGCCTGCCAAGCTATGCCGTGCCGTGCCGTGCCGTGCCGTGCCGTGTTGCGTTGCATTTTGCCTTTTCGGGCTGCGTAAGTTGGCTGGCTGACTGGCTGGCTGGCTGGTGGGTGGGCTGGTAGAGAGGGGGGAGGTGGTTTGGCAGGCTGTCCGGGCCGCGGACCATCCATCCCATCCATCGTGGTGGTGTGGTGGTTCATTGGTCCTGGGCCTTGGAGGCATCGACTGATTACTCATCAATCGACCAGTCACTCCGCCTCCCGCGCCAAAAGGCGCATCGCGTCATGCGCGAAACGTATCGTCATCGCGTTTTGGGTTGTAGTGTCCAATCAGGAAGGTGCGTGAGTGCGCAGCCAATCGCGCGATTCCACGCGCAGGCTCAGCCGCTTCAAGTGCAGTGCAATCAGCACTCGATGCCGCAGCCCGCGCGTCCGCGCGCCGGCCCCCTCCCGCCAAAAACACCTAACCCGCGCTCTAGTCAGATGAACGCCGCGGCGCGCATGGTCGGCAGCTGCTGCGTCTGGCGCTCCGCCGCCGCAGCAGTATGGTCGGGGTACGCGCGCGCGCCGCCAAAATGCGCCGCCAGGCGCGCGACCTTTGCGACGGCCGCCTTGGGGGACACGGACAGCACCGAGGAGGAGGACGACTTTGTCGACCCTGCCTTGCTGCTGGTGATGGACTTGGGTCCCGCCTTCATTGGCCCGTCGTAAGCCTTGCTGCCGAGCGAGACGAGCGTCGCCGTCGTCGAGGCCGTGTGCGTCGGCCTGGCGGGGCGGGGCGGCGGGCCCGGTGAGCGCTCACGCTCCTGCTGGTGCGAGCGCGGCTGCGCGGGGACGTAGGAGGAGAGGGGGGAGGGGGTGGCGGCGATGGCGGCAGCGATGGAGGCCGCGGCCGCGGCGGCCGTGCGCGGCGTCAGGGCGCGGCGGGACGCGGGGCGCAGGCATGAAGCTGCGGAGACGGGGAGGGGGACGCCGCCGTCGGAGGAGGGCGAGAGGGCCGCGCCGTCGTTGGAGCTGGTGGCTGAGGCGGGGCGGATGGCCACGCCGCCGGTGGTGGACGAGGAGGACGTCGATGCCGTCGTGCCCGTCGCGGTGCGCAGCATGTCGGCCTGGTCGATGTTGTCGGCGGGCGTGTCCGGAGAGTCGAGCTCGGTGACGGTGACGGTGCAGTCGGACGTGTTGCCCTCCTCCTCCTCGTAGGGGGGGAGGTGCTCGTCCTCTTCGTCCTCGGTCGCGAGCGTGGGATCGACGTCCTCGTTCGTCGCGGCGTAGGTAGCCAGCTCGTACGATGGCGAGGGCGACGAACTTGCGGGCGAAAAGGCCGAGACCAGGTTAGGGCTGGGGCTGGGCAGGAAGTTCAATTCGGGGGCGGAGCCGTTGGGGGTGGAGCTGGTGGGGGCGGGGGCGATGGCGGCGTCGATGGACGAGGCGGTGCTCTCGGCCGCGAACGAGTTCATGTCGGGCTTGAGGATGCGCTGGATGTTGGCGCGGTAGCGGGCGGCCAGGGCGGCTTGGTACTGTGCCAGGTTGGGAGAGCCATCGGTGTTGGTGGTAGTTGTGGTGGTGGTGGTGGAGACCGAGGCGGCGATATCGGCAGCGAGGGGTGCGGCCCGTTCTGCCAAGGCGGCGAGCTGCTGCTGCGTGTGCTCGGGCAGCCTATTTACTGCAGCAGCAGTAATGGTGGTGGTGGTGGTGGCGGACATGGTGAAGGTGGGGTGGGGAGGGGAGGTTCGAGGTGAGAGTTGGAGGTGTCGCGCGACTCTATGATTTAAGTAATGGTCGTCGTATTCACTGTGGTTGTTTCCAAGCTCTTGGGTCTTTTATGCGGCGATCAGCGTGCTCGTGATTGTGCCACGACAGTTCGGAACGGAAGTCAGAGAAACTTTGCGGAAGCCAGAGAAACTTTGCGGAAGCCCCGGCAGCGCAGCTGAGAGAGGCAGGACGAATAGCGACAACACAAGAAAGTAAGCAGTGATAGACCGACCGACTATTTGGGGCGGAGCAGCGGGCAGCTTTATTATTAACGCGTCGTGTGGCGCTCCCAGCCCAACTGACCGACAGCAGCGCACCCAACGTCAGCGGAGGCATCCTGCTCAATTGACCGGGGGCCAGCGCGCGGCCGAAGCGGCGGGCAATTCGCCATGTGCGCCCGCCCTGCCTTTCCTGTTTCCCATCATTCAAGCCCCAGGCCTCCCGTTTGGGCTGACATGTGCAAAGGAAACGCGAGTCCGCCCGTCGATCCCGCTGCCTACCAACAAGCTTTCCTCTGTATACACTAGCTCCCCCCTCTTCTCTTCACCACACCACACTCTTGACTAAGTGATGGCACATCCAAGCTTCCCTAGCGACCGCATCAACGGGCGACCGGTCAGCAGGCCTCCCGCAAAAGCCTTCAGAAACACTCGCACCACGCATGCTGCGCCCTTCCGCCGCGACCCGCCCGCGCTCCGCGTTCCTCGCGCCCATGTATGACGCCCCACGCTCTCACCTGCGCGCAAATCCAGGGTCCAGCGCCAGCGTCTGACGTGGCTAGTGCGTCGCCGTCCTCGCCCGTGTGCCCGCTCTGCACGCTACCGGCGTAGCGGGTGGTGCTGAGGGAACGAAGATGCGTTTCAAAGGCACCAGAAAAGTGAGGCGTGGAAAAGGAGGACGACGGTGAGGGGGAGGGGCCGCGATGCACGCGCCTGCCGTTGCTCTATGTCTTGCTCTTGGGCCTTTCTTTCTCTCCGACTCTCGCTCGCTTTCTCGGTGTCTTCGATTTTTTCTTCTCTGCTGCTTCGCTTGCGCGCCCTCTTTCGCCCCTCGCTAACCAACTCCTTCTCCCTCAACGGCGGCGCCAAAACGGTAAACACTCGGAATTATTATCAAACGTCCTAACGTCGAGTCGTTCTCTCTACTGACCACTCATCACAGCTGCCCGCCCTGGCGAAACACGCCCGCACGCCCACACGCACCGTCTCATCTCCACTCGCGAGCGCCACAGGCGCCACACACGGCCCTGCCTGCGCGTTCGTAGAGCTCCTAAACCACCGACTACTTACTAGTAGAGTATGGCCCCTCTCTTACGCCACCATGGTCTTCTGCGTGACCGGCACCACCAGCTCCCCCGCGTGGTGGCAGTCCTCCCCACCCAGCGTGCCCTTGCACTCGAGGCCCAGCGGCGCCGAGCCGTTCGTCCGCGTCACCGTGCCGGCCTGCACGTCGTCGATGCGGCGGCCCATGTAGATCTCTGCGCGAGGGGGCGTCAGCTTCATCTTCATCTTCATTATTCAAAACTCGGGTGCGCCGTGTGGTTCCCCGCCAGGTGAAGCGGTAGGTGCATGGTGCAAGGTAGGTTGTAACTAGGAACATAGCGGCAGATCGAGCGACAGGGGGAGACAGAGACGATTGCGTGCGATCGAGCTTGCGAAGCCCGCCGCGCCCCTCCCTCCTAGCCAAACAGGCTGCGAATGGGAAGATTCTGTGCCCCGAACGGGCAATCGCATCGCGCAGATGCAGCCGCCGCCAGGATGCGGCAAAGAGACGCCAGACGTAAGGCCTCGTCAGCCGGCAGCAGCTTCGCACGCTTCGCAGCGCCGCGTACGTCAGGGCGCGAGGGTGTGCATGCTCGAAACAGGCGATCGCCAGTGTTTCGCGGGGGAAAAAAGCGGCGCGGGCACGGCGGGCTTGGACTGAAACCGGGAAGGGGACCAGGGCACGCAAGGCACGCAAGGCAGAGCGCCGCTGTTGGCTGCAGAGGTGGTTGGGGAGGAGCGGGCGGCGGGCGCTAGGCGCGATGCGCGGCTGGGGTGGCGCATGTCATGTCCGCCTGCCCACTCTTGCCCACTCTTGCCTCTGGCCCTGCTGATTGCGCATTCCTTCCACCCTGCACCACTGCACCTCTGCCGTCCGCCTCCAATGCCGCCAACTGCCAATATACCTCCGTCTCCGCCGACGCCAGCGCCAACGCCGCGTCTACGCGCGCTGTCTGCGGGTCATGGATCTCAGAGATCTCAGAGATCGCAAAATCGCGAGACGCGGCGGCGCGTGTGGCGCTGAGATAGGGGCAATGCGCGTATGGGCAAATGGGCGGATGAGAGGAAGGGAAAATGATAGGGTAGGGGCGGTACGGTAGAGTACGGAACGGGGAGACTTACCCGTCAGGTTGAGGTCGGTGGCGAAGTGGACGTCGTCGTGGTCGTACAGGCAGGGAAACCAGTAGTCCTCGCCGCCGTAGATCTCGTTCCAGCAGCGGAACTGTGCAGTAGCATTGTCGTCAGCCAAGAACGGGGGTTTAATATATATAGGCACAGATGTATGTGTCTATATGTAGGTATGCGCGTGTGGTGGTTCCGTGGGGGATGGGATGGGATGCGCCGAGGCGCGTGCATGTATGTATGTGTATGCACGTTGCTGCATGCGCAGGCGCGACATATACACACACACACACACACACACACATGCAAGTATGATGTCTATGTGCGCGCAAGCAATGCACGGATAAGTGGGTCTAAGGTATCAAATACGCAGTACGCACCTGGCCGGGCTTGTTGGTGTCGTCGACGTAGAACGAGATGGTCGTGTGCGACGGGCTGACGGTGACGTTCAGCTGCGAGAGGGTCCAGTGGCCGTTGTCCTGCTGGGCCGAAACAGCGGACGCCAGGACGGCGAGGGGAGCGAGCAGCTTGGCGGCGAACATTGTTGCTGTAGGTAGGTAGGTAGGTAATTGAACGTGAACTAAAATAGTAGTGGACTAGCGTCGTAGACAAAGACGTGGATGTGCGTGAGGAAGCTTGTTGGTGTTGCTGTTGGTGAGTGAGGCAGAGCGCATATATATATATAGGCCTTTTACTGGGCCTCCTTGCATGGCTACTCGACATCTGTCGATGCTGCACTGTAGAGTACAGAGCCACTCGGCCACTCTATCCGGCTCCCGTGCGCTACGCCGCTTGTCGTTTGCGGACGGATACGAGCTCTGTCGGCGCCAAGATGGGTGTGCGTTTCGTATCAATCAGGAGAGCGAGCATTGCGAGCATTGAGTGTGTGAGCATGGCAAGCCTGTGAGCGTGAGCGTAGAGCGCAGCGAGTATAACGGAGCAGCAACAAAGGAAGCAGGCCATCTCGCGGCTCAGTTCGGTCGTGCGCGTTGCGCGCAAACCAAAACAAAGCAAGCAAAGCAAACAGGCCAAATCCGGCCACCAAACCATGACGAGTCGAGTCGAGGCGACGCACCCACCACCTATCTATCTATCCGGGCAAGCAAGCACCAAGCAAGCAAGTATGACGCGGGCGCCACCCCCCTGCCAACTGCGGCACTGCGGCTCAACGGCTGTGGCTTGATGGAATCGCTCGATCGATCGTCCTGACGTGCTGCTTGCAAGCCTGACCTCAGAACCCGCTCATAATAACCTACTCGCGACGACGACGACGACGACGAGCAAACCTGTTCGTTCCTGCGTTGGTGCCATAGCGATGGAAACTGCTCCGAGGCCGTGCTATTTTTAGGCCCGCCCTCTCCTTCCGCGCAGGCCTTTCGTCCTCGCTCTGGGCTTCTTGGCTCGCGCGCCCTGCCTCACTGACACTTCCCAGTCAGTCCCCGCGCAGACGGCTCCAAAACACACCGCTGCGCGCTCCGCTGGTGCGGCGATCTGTGCATACGCAGTGCGTGGTGCACGCGCGCGTGGTCGTCTGGATACTGGATGCTGGATGCTGGCGACGGGGCTCGGGGTAGAGGCGAGGCGATAGCGCGCGTGGTATAGGTACGTGGGCATGGGCAGCCAAGTCGAAGCGGAGGCAGAGAAAGTCGCGCGCGCGCGCGCCCGTTTGCCCGGCTGCGCCAGATCCGTCTGCATAGGATAGGTAGGCGTGCAGCAGCCTACCTACCTTCCTACAGTACCTACAGCAGGAACCCTGATGAGCCGGACGCAGCTCCTCCGGGCGTACGTACATGCTGGCTGGCCAGCACGCACGCACGCACTCACTCGCAGAGCGCAAGAGCGCACGCTGTCCGAACCGTCGGTGGCGTATCCTCTGCGCCGGGACAGGACAGCCAGCCAGCCAGCAAACGCCCAGCCCACAGCAAACACCCACCCGCACACTCTCACACCCCTCACCACGACACAAACACATCGGCCGTTCCAGCCCGCCGCTTTGCGCCTTGCGCCTTGCGTATATTACCCCCCTCAGCTAGCTGCCTAGCCACCCGCGCCGTTCCGCGCCGCCCTGACGTAAGCAGCGTTCATAAAGTACTCTAGAGTAGCTTCCGCGCGCGTCCGCTGTCGCCAAGGCGAGACCCGGCTGGCCCGGCAGGCCGGCTGGCTCGGCGCTCGTCGCTCGTTGTTCGTGGTTCGTGGTTGTGTGTGTTGGTGTGTGCGTGCGCAGGGACCGGTCCGCGTGGGGCGGTTGGTCGGATGGTCGGGCTTGGAGCGGTCGTGGAAGCTACTGTCGAGGTGTCGACTGGCAACGGCAACGGGTGTGGGGGGCTTAGGCTTGGCTTGACTTGGTCTGGTTTGGCTTGGTTTGGCGTGGTTTGGTGGGGTTTGGGCTGGCTTCGTGTTTGGTGCGGGGCATGTGGGCGACTATGTGGGTTGTGGTTACGGGAAAGGGGGGCTGCTGGATAGGTGGGTTGTGGGGAGAGGAAGGGACCAGGTAGGGCGGATATCTTAAGGCGCTGGCTGAAGAGGGAAGACGAAGGTAGTGATGGTGATGGAGGTCTTCCTAGCAAGAATCTGAATCTTGCAGGTCAGGGACCACCAGCACATAAGTAGCCCAAACAGGCAACCGGTCAACGCAGCCCTACACCAAGCAGGAGAAAACAAACGAGCACCTCGTACCGCTCTGATATCCCGTAACCAAAACCGGAAACCGTCCTAACAACTTCGAACGTCTGGAGTCTAAATACGGCGCGGGGAAATGAAGTAAAGTGAGGCTGTCCGATCCGTCCATCGGGAGTTGGGGCTATCCGAGTGTAGGCGCGTGGGCGGGAAGTGCCTGCAGGCTTTGTCGGTCGGTAGTGAAAGCCGATAGTGGCACTTGTTGAACCCGGCCGGGGCTGTCAAGGTCGAACGTCTGGGTTCAGTGAACAGGGGTCACGGGTAACTGGGTTATCGTTTCGCTGTTGCTTGCTTGGCTTGGGGTTCCTGGAATAGTAACTTTGGTGCCTGGAGTCGATTGCTCACATCAAAGTTAAGCCAGTTCGGTCTCTTCCCCTCTATAAGGCCTGAATAAATAGATAAATATATAGACAACTCAAACGGGACAGCCGAGCTAAACTCACAGTCCACGAAAGTGAAAAGACCGTAGAAATTCATCTACAAATATAGATGTAAGTATCAAACACAAGCGGAGAAAACCGAAGAAGCCGTAACTCTATTCATAACAAATACACTTATATAGAATAAACCAGCACACATACCCCATCTACCAATACACACCAAGACAGCAACCCTAGCCGAGTACTTTAATACCCTTAGTCTCACACCAAACGCCTTCGCAAATTAAGTAGCATTCGACTTCCGTATTAGACCTTTACTTCCTCCTCTAGTTTCTCTTAACGGAGAGTACTTACTCTAAGTACTAAGCGGAGATCTTAGCTTTTTTATTTTTACTAATATCGGAACTGATATTACATTTAGAGAAGCTTAAGAGGAATAAAAAATACGTAAATAAAGTATACTTTCTTAGGATTGTAGAAGGGGGTGGGGTGTTTTATATGTTTATGTGTTTATTTTCTGTTCATATATAGTTTCCTAGAGCCAGATCATCCTAGAATAATATCGTTATTAACTCCTTCGACTTTTGACATATGAGAGGGAAGAAGACCAAGAAGTGGGTGCGTGAGTATGTGTGGAGGTAGGAGTGGGTCTCTTTCCTGCTTTGCTCCCTATCTCTCTAAAACCTACGGTATGTATGTAGGTAGGTAGGTCTACTTTCACCTCCACCTTCTGCTTCACCTTTACCTTTGGTTCTATTTTATGTATTATTAGGTACCTTACTTTACATCCCATCCCATGAACGCTTGCTCTAGGAGTACATATGCGGGTACTTGGTCATACACTCACTTGCTTGCTCACTCATTTCTCACTCGCTCACTCACTCCCTCACTCAGACCATCAATCATATTCAAACACTGCCATAACTACACCAGGTATCGCGGTCTACGCGCCTATCATCCCGCCTCAAAGCCACCAGTACCACAAGTCGCTCACACGACCGTGTCCCTCACATACAGATCAACATACTTATCGACATCCATCGCCTCAAACTCTTTCTGGTTCTCCGCCAGCCGCACAAACTCATCCACCTTGTCCGCCTTGAAGTGCGGCCCCAAGTGCCTGCGGAACTTGGCCATGATATGGGGCTTCGCCTCCTCGCGGCGCAGCTTGTGGCCCAGTGGCGCCTCGACCACCACCTCGGGCAGCGTCGTGCCGTCGCGCAGCCGCACCGTCAGCGCGTTCGAAATCGTCCGCTTCTCCGGGTCGTGGTAGTCGCGCGTGAACTGCGGGTCCTCGACGCACGAGATGCGCTTGCGCAGCGACTCCAGCAGCTGCGACGTCGCTGCCTCGCTGCCGTCGACGTAGTCGGTCGCTTCGAGGCGCCCGAAGACGAGCATCGTCGCCACCATGTACTGCGCGCGTGTTAGTTGGAGAATCGTTTTGTGTGGATGCGGGGAAACGCACCTGGACGCAGTGGTCGCGGTCGGCAAAGTTGTCCATCGGCTTGAGCTGCTTGTCGATGATGCGGATGCAGGCCTCGTGCGTGCGGTTCGACACGGATTCGATGTCTTCGGCCGACTTGCCCATATCCTTCAGCGTCTTGTGGATGCGCTCCGCGGCCTCAACGGCAGTCTGGGAGTGGAACTCGGCTGGAAAGATAAGTACTCATCCATGCATGCTATCCACATTTCCCAACTTACCAGGGTAAGAGACCTTGAAGAGAACATTCTCCATGATGTAGCTGCCGTAGGGCCTCTGGAAGCTAAACTTTCCGCCCTTGAAGTTGACGTCGTAGAAGCCCCAGGTGGGCGCCGAGAGAATCGTCGGCATGCCGCCTTCGCCGTTCAAGACCTTGAGGGCCAGGTTCACAGCCTTCTGGCAAGCATCACCAGCCGCCCAAGACTTCCGGGACATGGTGTTGGGCGAGTGTCTGTAAGTCCTCAGGGACTGGCCATCGCCCCATGCCTGGGAGATGGCGTCTCTGGTCTGGCCCTCCGAAAGACCCAGCATCTTGGAGACGACGGCAGTCGAGGCGACCTTGACCAGGACGACGTGGTCCAAGCCGACTCTGTTGAAAGAGTTGTCCAGAGCCATGACGCCCTGCAGCTCATGGGCCTTGATCATAGCTTCTAGGACGTCTTTGACCTTGAGCACCTTCCCGTGTCCAAGCTTGCCGCCAGCGCGGTTCGTCCTCGAGATCCAATCCGCAACGGCCAGAATCGCACCGAGGTTGTCAGAGGGGTGACCCCATTCGGCGGCAAGCCAGCAGTCATTGAAATCCAACCACCGAATCATTGCGCCAATGTTGAAGGCACCGTTGACAGGATCAAGCTGGTAAGGGGTGCCGGGGACACGTGTGCCGTTGGGGACGACGGTGCCCGGGACAACGGGTCCCAGAAGCTTCTTGCATTGAGGAAACTCGAGGGCCTTGAGACCGCATCCAATGGTGTCGATGAGAATCCAACGAGCCGTGTCGTACTGCGCGATGGAAGTCAGAATGAAGTTGGACGCCTGAGGGAAAGCTACTCACCGCCACGTCCGAGTTGATGTTGTAGTTGTGGACATAGCTCGCCATGTCGACGATTTCCTTGTCGAATTCATTGGCGCTCGCGGGCACGGCGCTCGCGTTGTCGGCCTTGGTGGGCATTGTGGTGGAAAAGCTGGCGATGGAGGTGCGAGGGGCAATTGGCACACGAGGCGCGACAGCGGCGAGAGGACGCAGAGCTTTCAAGGAGCTCAGCGAGGGAGCTTTTTGGCGAAGAGAGCGGGTGGCAGAGGCACAAAGGGTGCGACTGATGGTCGACATGATCAGTAAAGGACTAGGTAGCCAGGGAGGAGAGAGAGAGAGACGAACAGCAATAAGAATGTGCGACGGTCGGCAAGTGACGTGGGTTGGGGGGCCGTGGGGCCATGAGACCGAAGTGCAAGCAGACAGCCGAGAGCCGCGAGCCGACGGGCTGGGGTAAGCGGCGGCGGGCGGTTCCTCGGTGCGGGGTAGGGGAGCTGGCTGAGAGAGGACAAGGGGCTGATTGATCGATAAGATTAAGGTATTTTCGGTGGCCGCTCGGACCCAAGGCGGCATCCCACCGCTGCCGCCCCGTAGCTCCACATGCACACACACAAGCGCTCCCGACTCGATGGACGCAGACAGGGCGGCCAGGCATCGTCGTGCAAATGCCCCGTCGCACCGCAGCCAGACCCGCTCAGATTCGTCAGCGCGACGCTGGCCACGTGGTGTTACAGACATATCAGAAAGCAAGTGTCAAGTTGATATCACCGTGGAGACCAATGAGCCAGGGCGTCACGGCGCCAAGGTCAGCTTCCCAGATAACGTAACGGGCAGATCCTGGGGCGCGTTACCTGGACCGGCATAGCGGAGGATGCCTCCGCGCTGGACTTCAGGCTGGCAGTTATCGCGGCCTGCACCGCACGCAACCACCACGCTCATGCCTTGCACGACTCCGCCCTCAACCGCAGCACTCAGGCACTCCGCCAGCCTACTGCTGCATCCTCGCTCTCTCCGCAGCTAACGACCCTCTGCGCTTTATGGCAGAAGCGATCACCATCCCCTCTCCGTCCGCCTTCCTCAGCTCCCCCGCGGAGGCTGCCCTCACCACCACCTCTCCCCAACCCCAACCCCGCCGCCGCTCGCCAGCCACGCCCAAGCCAAAACCACCCCTTGCCGAAGCTCCCACCACCTCGAAAACCCCTCCGCAGCCCATCACCAAGCGCAAGCAGTCGAAAAGCAGAAACGGTACAGTGTCGCTCTTATCTCGCCTCGTCCTATCGGCCTCGGTTCCCCCAGCCGAGAGCACATTGCGACTCTCGCTATTGGAAAACCATCTACTAACGCCTAGTTTTCCAGGCTGCGTCACCTGCAAGGCCAAACGTCTAAAGTGCGACGAGACGAAACCTACCTGCCAGCAGTGCGCCAGGCGGAGCGTGCCCTGCGGCGGGTACAAAAAGGACTTCAAATGGAGACCCTTCGAGGAGGCCAACTTTGTCGGCAACAAGCCTACGGCAGGAAAACAACGGAAGGGTAGAGCTCCTGTCTGAAGTAGACTGGCCAATGCTGATGAAAGATAGCGTCCCCCTCTCCTGCCCAAGCTCAAAACCCTTCCGCTAAGTCTCGAAGCCCACCTGCTGCGGAGAGACCGAAGGTGACTTTCGCCGACGATGTACCCTCACGTTCATCTGCCGAACAGCAGGCTCCTGTTTCTTTACCACCGACATCTTTCATGGAGATTTCGTTTCCCAGCCCTAGTAGTTTTTTCCCTCCTGTGCCCCCTCTTTTCCAGGATCCCATGGACACTATGCCATTCGCGGATCCCTTTGAGCCGGGATCGACCGCAAGCACTATGAGTATGTTCAACGATGCGGAAACGGTTGACACAATGCAGTCCGCAACTACAGCCCCATCTAGTCTGTCCTCTGGACAGTCTCCGAGGCTCGTGGACTTACTCTTACCAGGGGCAGATCTGAACGCGACGTCTCCTGCGTTTCTCGACTGGCACGCGCAATATTCAGCTTCCTTGTATCACCAACCGCCAGATCAAATGGACGAAGAAGGGGACGTCGAAGAGATCTTTAGGCAGCCCCCCATCAACCCAGACCACGAAGCATGGGTAATGCGTCTGCCATCGCCTGAACGTGAAAGTTCATCAGGCTCATCAGAGGGCGGATTAGCCACTCCGCGATCGGATCCTTTTGACGTCTTTTTGGACGGGCCCAGGTTGCCGAGGGGAAGCCCTGAGATGGTCACCTTGCGTTTCGATCAGGAGACGTGTGGCATCTTGTCGTTGAAGGACGGTCCGTCCGAGAATCCATGGCGGACAATGATTTGGCCGCTGGCTAGAGACTGTCCGGCCCTTTATCATGCGATCGCGTCGATGACGAGCTTTCACACGGCGAAGAGAGAGCCGCAGCTCCGAGTTTGTGGCATAGAGCACATGCGGACCAGCATCGAGGCTCTCGCGACAGGCATCCAGAACATGCGTTTTGAGACTGCCATCGCAACCACTTTGGCGCTCGCATTCTCAGAGTCATGGGATCAGCACACGTCGACCGGCATCGATCACATCAAAGGTGCCAAGATCTTGGTCAATCAGGCTCTGATAAAACATCAGCGAGCCCCCTTGATGGGGCAGGAACTGACCAGGTTGAAGTTTCTTTGCAACACGTGGATTTACATGGATGTTATCGCTCGCCTTACGTCTGTGGATGCCGATGATTCAAACGATTTCGACACCATCGGTTCCATGTTCAATGACCCGTTCGAATACGAGTCCCAGCATGTGGATCCGCTGATGGGTTGTGCCGCGACCCTGTTTCCCATCATTGGGCGCGTCGCGAACCTCGTCCGTCGCGTGCGCAGGAGCGAAAGCAATTCGCCTGCCATTATCTCGCAAGCGATGGAGCTGAAGACGCGGCTAGAGGACTGGGTACCACAAGCTTTCTTCGAAGTGCCCGAGGACCCGACGTCGCAGGTCCAACACAGTCTGCAGACGGCCGAGGCGTATCGGTGGGCGACGCTGCTGTACCTGCACCAGGCGGTGCCAGAAATTCCGTCCCTTTCATCCGCCGAGTTGTCCAAGAAAGTCCTCGTCTACCTTGCGACAGTCCCGTTGTCCAGCCGCACCATCATCGTGCACATCTACCCCCTCACAGCAGCCGGGTGTGAGGCCGCCGACGAAGAAGACCGTCAGTGGGTGCGCGACCGATGGGAAGCAATGGGCCAACGCATGGTCATCGGCATCATTGATCGCTGTCTCGACATTTGCCGCGAGGTGTGGGCGCGGCGCGACGCGTATGAAGCACGCATCCGGCCTCGAGCCAAGGTTGCGACGAAGGCGAGCTTGAAACGTAATGTCATCGGTCATGAAGAGCATCATGAAGATGACGATGAGCCGGTCCGCTGGAACGAGAATTTTGTCGGTAAGCGGAGAGCCACAATTGGCCCGTTTGAAATGCCCAAGGCGGTACATGTAAAAGGGCAGCGCCGGAACTCGAGCGATAACACGGGTGTTGTGAACCGTGAGTTTACCGTGAGAGGACGGTTGCATTGGCTGGGAGTGATGAAGGACTGGGGCTGGGAAGGTGAGTTTGTCAGCGTTTGAACCATGTCTCTTGCGTATGGAACTTTGGGCAAGCGGCTAACGATCGAGCAGTTCTACTCGGCTAATCATGCTGATGCCCCGTCTTGCGTTGTTGTACTATGCGCTTCGCCAGCGGAAAGGAGGTTGTGGTCCGGTAAACGCCTGCTCTCTCCTTCCTTCCTGCTGGCTACACTATACGCCTTCATCCTCGCCTGGATTGATATATGGGACAAACGTATACGCGTCGCGGGCCAGATTGCATTCTTTTTCGGGACGTTGGCGCTTTTGGGCGTGTCTCTTCCCTGTCTATTCACGTCTCCCTTCTTTTGGCTTCTTGTGTCGACGGGTAAATGTGATTCTTTTTCAGGTACAGTACTACTATTATCGGGCGCCATATATTGCCTGTCCAGAATAGCTAGCAGCTTGCCGCACGAGGATGGCATTCTCCTGCTCTTTCTTTATGGTATTTCCTTCCAATTCTTGTTATTTCTTTTTTTCTATTGGAGATTTTTTTCCTCTTGTTCTATTCTTTCTACCTCTTGTTCTATTCTCTCTACCTCTTTCTTTTTCACTCTCCTTTGCGCTTTCTCCGATCTAGTCATGACGGATTAGCGGCACTTCGATGTGTGTGTACGTGTGCGTGGTTTTCGTGGTTGATTGTGGTATATGCGGTCATCGACGACGATTATTCTATCCGAGAGCGACGCCGATATATTCTATGCGAGAGCGACGAAAGCGAAAGCGACTACACGATATGGGTTACGAAAGCGACATTTTACTCTCTACGACTGCGATAGCGACTCTACGATGCGATGGCGATAGCGACTTTTTTTCTGCGATGCGAGACGACTTTTTCGGTAAGATCTCTTTTGTGTCTTTCCCCGGCGAGGGAGCATATGGGTACGGGTACGGATGGGTGGATGGATGGTCGGACGGGACGGACGGATGGATAGGTAACAGGCGCGTGAACAGCGCAAAAGGCGACGGCGTTGTATAGTTAGGGTCTTGGGTTTGGGATTCGGTCTGGGTCTGGGTTTGCTGCTTGCTTGCTTGCTTTGCATGCGTGCGCGCGCGCGTGTCGTTTGCTTCTTGGACTGTATTTCTTCCATTGCTTGGCCTTTTGTTGCCGCCTAATGCGCCTACGAAGCACGCCTGCCTGCCTGTCTGGATGGGTGATTTTTTCTCTGCTGCTGTTGTTGCTGTTGCTGCTGCTGCTGCTGCTGCTTCTGCTGCTGTTGTCATTGTGCTTGTTGTGCGTGTTGTGCGTGCTGTTGCTAGAACTGACTACACCAGCTCGACGCGACGCCGTGTCGTCGTAGACTTGTTCGCTTGTATGTACGTACGCAGGCCGAGGAAATCGAAGGAGGAGCGGTCGGTTGGGGCTGGGTTGAGGGCGTGGCCGCAGATATAACTGTAAGGCTGCGTCGCGGTGGCAGAGGTAAGGTATGGCGTGCCCGGGGGGCTGAATGGCGGAAGAGCTGAGAGAGGGTACGTATGTACGGGCGGTAGGCACCAGTACTTAGGCAGCAATGCGACGGCGTAGCGGTATGTAGCAGCAGTAGTAGCAGCATGGCGCGCGCAGGCGTGCAGAACATATATATACACACACACACGGGTTCCTAGCAACGATATACACGTCTCCATAGCCAACCAATCAATTAATCAATCAATCCACACCGGCACCTCTTCCGTTGCGAACGGATCCCAATCCGGCGATGAAAGTACCTACGTACGCCCGGATGGCACGAAGATCACACCATCACGGATGGCACCACCACGGCGCGCGCGCGCGTGGTAATCCGTAGGTAATTGTATGCGAGCGGCGCGGATCTGCCGTGTGCCAAGAGGCTGAGGCAGCTCCCACGGGTTTAGTTACGGCAGGCGAACCCGTCCGTGCCGTGGCATTGTGACTTGGACTTGGTTGCTTTTGTTATCGGCGTCGCAGTTCCATGGGGTTGGTTGGTTGGTGCTGTGGTAGGGCTGGAAGGGCCGGGATGCTGTACTGTACGTATGTAGAGGGATTGGCGTTGGCGTGACGGACTTGGGTGAAATTCAAACCTATGCGGTTCTGGCGATCAAAGCGGAAATGGAAGGATGCAGCTGCTTGGCTACCTAGGTATGGAAAGTTTGGGAAGTTTGGAAGTCGAGCAGGCGTGCCTGGAGGAGCCTCCGAACGAGCACGTGAAGGCGCGCAAGTGACTGGCTACATACATACACACGCTACCGTACGCTGGCTGGCAACATAGGCAGTTAGTTACTCCGTACTGTAGCTAGCAAACATGCCCGAAGGAGCTGAACTGGAGAAAAGAGACATGGAAGCGATGATGCTGGCCAGACACCCAGCCAGGCCGGGTTAGGACGCGCCGCGGGATTGCGTTGCCGCATCGGGAGTGCTGACGCGGGAGCCTCGGCGCGAGCCAGAGCTGGGCCGAGGGGATCCCTCCACGAGATTGGCGAGGCACTGGCAGGGGACTCGATTGACTGATTGACTGATTGACTGATTGCCAATTATTAGTGAAGGAGCCCCGCTTTCTGCGCGCGCGCGAGTCGTCGTTTGCGATGGCGTCACGGCGGCTGTGGTGGGGTTGTTGACGGTTGTTCGAATGTCGACCCCGCGGCTTATCGGCGCGCGCGCACTGGGTTGATAGCGCGATGCCGCTGCGATAGGGGCCGCTTGTGTAGTGCTGCTTTTAGCAAAATGTTCCTCTGCTGGGCGTGAGGTTACGTTTTGTTGCTGGAGACGGCAGGTGGGGTGTGTTGGAGGCTGGAAGGGTGAGAGGGGAAGGGAGTGGAAGTGTAGGTATAAAGATGGGCATGGCGCGTTAAGAGGAGGTTACAGGAGTGATTGATCTCATTTTTTGGAATCGTGTTCGCTTTGCGGGATTGGGTTGTTATAGATTGATACCTATTGACACTCTTGCTGTTTACGAGGTGAGTGTTGGGCTATTCTCTTATGTGTTTTCCACGGCCATTTGCAGACTGGAAGTTCGACTCCAGTTTGCTTCTTTTCATTTCATTTCTTTTCTTCCCTTTTTGTTTCCTAACGCTCGCATTTTCGTATTCATGTTGCTTCAGTGCGGAAAGATAAACTGACGCCCAGCAGAAACACCACCACAACCACCACCATGTCCGCCCCGATCCCCCTCACCCACTTCGCCAACGCGCAATCGTCATTCAAGCCTCCTCTCATCGCAAACGAGAACGCCTTCCTCGGCGACATCGCCACCAGGTTCGCTATCCCTCAACACATCCCCACCGCACCGCTACCCGGCGTACCCCGCCCCACCAAAAACCCAGCTAACTCCCTCCTTCCAACAGCGAAAAGAACGACCCCGACAAGCCCATCTCCGCCGGCTTCTACCGTCTCGAGAAGGGCACGCCTCTGGTCTACGAGTACACCTACCATGAGATGAAGATCATCGTCGACGGCGAGTTCGATATCTCGGATGAGGCGGGCAATAAGGTCCATGCGGTTAAGGGCGACGTGTTTTATTTCCCCAAGGGAAGTAAGATCACGTTCACGACGGAGAGCTTTGGGTTGGGCTTCTTTGTGGGACAGAGGAAGGAGGGCGGTGCGTAGTGTTGGTAGGGAGGTTGGGAGTTGAGGATTGGGGAGATGAATATTGAGAGATGAGATGATTTGTAGCGTAAAGCTAAGCTGGATTTATGAAGACTTTTGAACCTTTGGACGGGGTGGAAGATGCGTGATACTGTTCAACCTGAGGTTGATGGTTGTTCTGGTTAAAGTGTGCAGGTCGATTTGAGCTGTATCTTGCAGTTCTACATTTATTCTGCTCTTTAATTTTTCTTCCACTTTCTCTTTAACCTGATACTTCATTTGCTACTCCATTTGCCATTTCACTTGCTCTTTCACTTGCTCGCCTAGCCCGATTGAACTTAGACGTTCGACCTTAGAGATCCCGTTGCTATTTTGGGATCAAGCGAGCTTATCGGAAGTAAAAGTAACTAGTTACTCATGCTTAGGCATTCGTTATTTGGTCAGAGCTACCATATTAGGCTATAGGCTAGAGATACTACGGTTTTATGCGGAAACTTCACTTCCCTTCACTCCTTTACGCGGCTGAACCGAGACGTTCGATCTTAGAAACTCTAAAGAGCCACTTCCGCAGTCATTGGTTAGTATCAGCTATTTATAAGGATTGGTCGAAACAATTTCATAATAGCTCGGCTCGGCTGAACCCAGACGTTCGACCTTTGAAGTCATAAATTGCCGTTTTAGGCTATAGAGAGATCCTAAACTCCAACTCGATCCGAACATGCTGAACTGACAATTCAAAACTCCATTGCTCCTAATAAACACAAGAGACATCCACCGCCCATAAGAATGCCGTTTCCTTGTATATCTTTTCAGTCTTCGCCCAACTCCGTCACTTCCTCAAGAACGCCGCATTGCATCCATGAACCATTTGAAGAAGGAAATGAAAATTGGTACCCATACTCCCAGAACCATCCTACTCGTTCTTTGCCGTTGCATACAATCTTGTAGGTCCTTGCGCCATTTTTGAGAAGCATGTCCGCGATTTCCGTGTGGGCTTGCTTCAGTGCTGCGTGGATCGGTGTGCCGAAGTTTCCGCCCATGAGGTTGACGTCGGCGTGTAGGTTGATGAGAGCTTCTACCACGTCTTTTCTGCCTTTGAATGCTGCGAAGTACAGTGGTGTAGAGTTGTAGTAAACGCTGCGGGTATTAACAGCGTTTGCGACTTTGTCTGCCGAGTAGCCAGAGAAAACTCGTCTGAGGATTTCTGCAGCAGCTGGCCGGTCATAAAACACCCAAAGTGTGTATCCATTCCCTGACTGTGGTACAAAGGGATCCGCTCCATTCTCAAGTAAGATAGATATGCACTCCACACTTGAAGCTAGCTGCAGGGGTGTACTGTCATAATAAGTGCGAGCATTCACTTCCAAGCCGTGCTGGAGGAAATAAGAGAGCAATTCTAAACTGTTCAACTCTGCAGCCATATGAATAACGGACCAGCCGCGTAAGTCTTTGACTTCACAGGTTGCACCACTTTGATGTAGTATCTTTGCGATGTCCAAGTTGTTAGCGGAAACTGCTGCGAAAAGAGGGGTGTAGCCGTCTTCGTCCATGCATTCAATATCGGCTCCTTGCCTGATCAGTAGTTGAGTTGCTTGGACCCATCCTTGTCGGCTTGCATAATGCAGTGGTGACTCCTGGAATGTCATCAATCGGATATTGGGATTGATGTTCTGTTGTAACAACCCCAACAAAACATTGTCTTCGGAGCATCCACAAGCTGCCTGGAGTCGTAGTGATTCCACATAGCTAGGAAGTGCTACGGACGTTGCGCCGTCTCTTTGCAAAAGCTTTTCGCGGATCAGATTTGCTACCCCATTATGTCCATTAGTGAGTGCCTTCATCTCCGCATTTATGGTTACGTCGCAATCTTTTGCCAAAAGACAGCGAACAATAATCTCGTAGCCACGGCTTGATGCTATTTCCAGAGGGGTCTCGTCCTTGAATGCCATGTTGATAGTGCTTACGTCAGCTGAAACTACCATTTCGCAAATTTCAGTATAGCCGTTGAAACAAGCTATGTGCAAGGTTGTAAGGCCCTCATTGTCTGCATGAGATACTCTTGCGCCAGCCTTGATGAGGTCCCTGCAATTGTGGGTCCGTATATAAAGAGCTGCTACCATGAGAGGACTGACGCCTCTATCAGTCTGTATGTCAATGTCAAGAAACTTGTGTTTCTCTAGAAGCCATACAAGTCCCCAGCGATCCGGATGCGCTGCAGCGAGGTGCAACGCAGTTGTGAAACAATCTTTCATTTCGACCACATATGCCGGTTCGCTTGCTTGGTAGTGAAAGTTTACCGTTGCTTTTGCTTCATAGTCGAGACCGTGAATAGTTTCCAATTCCAATATCAGTGGCCGAAAACATCTTGAGAACGCGACGTGTTGAAGTTGCCAGCCATTTGTTTCCTTTACGAAAGGATTGGCACCTTTCTCGAGAAGAAGCTGGGTAGTTCTGAAATCGAAATTGTTCGAAGCAGCAATCAACAATGGCGGAATCCTTGGAGTCCCTGTGTTACTAGAGCTTGGGCCGAGAATTGCATCAATGTCCGTACCAGCATTCAACAAGGCAGAGACCATTGCAGTCGAACCGAGTTCGCAAGACCAGTACATGCAGTTTCTGCCTTTTGAATCGGTTATATCGAGGTTTTTTCCGGCAAGTTTGACAAGTTTTGAGGCAATCGACTCGTCGGTTATTACTTTTGGTGCTTGCATAAGTGGAATCGTCCCATCAGAGTCCTTGTGATCGGACCTAGCTATGTCAAGAAGAAGATGTTCGTTGACAAGGCCTTGGATGCCGGGCTTTTTTTGGAGACAGATGTGGTGAAGGATCGTTTTACCTTCATCACCTGGTTCTTGTATCTGGGACGGTTGCATCCGAGGGATTATCAGTCGTAGGAAGTCGATATTTTCGGCCGAGTTACGCGCTGCCCGCATGGCTGGAAGCTCACCATCAGAGTTCCTGATATTGTAGTCAACCGGCTTGTTTAGTAACCATGCAGATACCTCCTGGAATGGAAAACCTGTGTGACACGCAGCAATGTGGTGTAATATAGTGTTTCCTTTCGCATCCTGGGTTTTCCATGTTTCTCCGCGAGGGTCTGCTTGGTCCAGTGCTCGAAATATTTTCAAGATATCATCCCTGCCAAAGTGCAAATCAAAACCGATATAACTTAGCCTTTTGGCAAAGAAAACAATCGGCGTACATCCAGACCCGTCTTTCTTTTCGAGGTGGTTTTGTTCATCATAACCTTTTCCCGATAATGAATTTCTCAACTCGATCAAGCAATCCTTCTTTTCATGTCCCATACCTCCTTTAAGGCTTTCAACAAATCTTTCCAGAACCAAATGCAGAGGAGTGCTTTCCCCTGCGTCCAACTCAGCCAACAAATTATTTCGGCTGTCCGTAAACCTCGGGTTCCGTTGAATCTCTTGCCATAGCATATTAGCAAGCCATGGATCCTGTTCCACCGCATAGTGAAGGAGGTTTTGATTTGAAGAAGTTTTCTTGCCCAGGTCGCCTTCGACGCTAAGAAGGATGTGCATGATCCGTAATGTCGTATTCCTCTCCATTGTCGACGGATCAAATCTATACAGTAAAATGTGGATGGGGGCAATACCATTTTCGCCGCGGTGCGTAAAACTAACTCCCTTTTCTCGCAAGAAATAGAACATGTCTTCGTTACCTGACGCAACTGCAAAATGAGCACTAGTAAGACCAATCTTGGTGGGCCTATGGAGATTGATCTCCGGTGACTTTTCCAGAAACAACTGCAAGATTTTTGTGGAGCCCGAGTGAATAGCGTACATCCATGGTGTTTCACCATCGTCATCCTCTTGTTCGATTATGTTCGGAAAACTTTCGTGTAGGCTCAGAAGAATTTGGACACATTTAATGTGGCCCTCACCTGCAGCTATATGCAGGGATGTGCATCCATCCGTGTGCCTTGCATATGAGACTTGCGCTCCCTCATTGAGGAGATGCTCAGCGGTGTCATCGTGTCCGTATTCTACCGCATCAATTAGGCACTGCGAAAGGAAGTCTACTCGGGCAGCTCCCCTAAGTGTGGGTAAGCGTAGTAGTATACTTTTGACGGTCTCCAACCGCCCATTTAAGACCGCGTTTCGGATGACTTCCAAATAGTCGATCTCCAGTTGGGGTGGCATAATCTCGTCTTGACCTGTACCTGCAACTTCGGTAGGTATCTCAATATCCCGTTTCGAAAGTAACTTGGAAAGAATGGGCTTCCACCTGGGATCTAACGATTCCAGGTCCATTCTGGAAACAAATTCTTCGATTGCTTCGGTCCGGCTCCAGTCCTCAACTTCGGAAGTTGCTCTCTCCGTGAAGGAAAATCCTTTTGTGACAAGAAACCTAGTCAACTCATAATACTCTTTTGCTGCAGCCTCGAAAACAGGGTCATGCAGGTTGATGTCCCGAGATATATTTTCCTGCAAAAGTCGGTCGATAGATGTTTGTCGTTCTCGTGAAATCGACCTCTCTTTCGAATTATATGAGTCTAATCCAATGATCGCGCAGCAGAGAGGTGTTTTAAGCACCAAGCTTCTTGCGTTGACATCGGCCCCGTCGTCGACCAGTTTATCAATCAGTGCAGTGAAAGCGCACAAACATGCAACATGGAGAACAGTTACGTCATACATGTTGGGGATTGGACCACTTGAGTTGTACAGTTGACGTGGGAGCCAGCGACGTGCCCAAAGCACAAATTGGCCTGTTTTTTCCAGGGCGAAGAGTTGAGACACCAGCGACGCGATCGGGTTTTTTTCAATGTAGTCTTGGGCATGACCTATCCAGTAGAGTCTGGCATATTCGTAAAATGGGAATTTCTCCTGGTCCACGCTGATGTTGCTTTGACTTATAGAACCATGACAGTCAAACTCGTCCAGCAAAAGATAGCTTAAGCACACAGCGCCAAGATATTCCTGGTCTGAATCTTCATCGACTTTGAATCTTGAAAGAGTCTCGTGACTGAGGTCGATCTTTTTGAGGAATTCTTTGACAGAGAAGTGACTGAACACCAGCTGTCCATTCACCTCGCGGACGAGGCTGCTGCACAATGCAAGCACAATCCCCATTTCGAGAGAATCATCAAAATCCTTTTCCTCGATCTCAATGGAAATGGCTTGAGCGATGGCATTCACTGAGAGTGGTGTCTTTGCTAGTGCTATCCAGCGAAGGGTACGTTCCACGAGTTGTACCACCGTCTCATCCGCTGCATATTTAACTGCTCGGAGAAGAATCCTTTTGTATGTCTCTGGAAGGGTAGGTGGAAGTTCCCCTAAGGCTTTTCTACGCTTCTTGTTCAATGGAATCTTATGCAAATAGTCCAGTTGGCACCTAGTATACAATCAGTCGTCTTTTCTTCTAAATCATGAACTAGGAAATTTTAGCTAGCATTGTTTGCTTTTCAATTAAAGGATAGTTTCACTTACTTAACCCACTGGAACCTGAGCAACGGTTAGCCACTCTATACGTTCAACAATACTGATACATTTAGTTTTTGACTTACATGCCATCAGACTTGTCAACCAAGACGGTGAGTATATCGTCTCTAAGTCCTGGGTCTTTAGTTTCCAGATCTTTGAACTTCAAAAGTTCCGTAGCAACGAAAAGGCGTACATCTGCTTTTGAAGCAGCGATTGCGAACCTTTTGAAGGAACCAAGAGATTCTTTGATATCCAACTCTTCCCTACTTGCGAACAACAATTTTATTGTTGCCTCATCACTATTGCCCAATTGAGCAAGATTGTTCACAATATCTGACCGATTATCCAAGCATTCGTCCAAGCCATCAATGATAATCGTAGTCGTGTGAAATGGTTCTGACATCCTACCGATTAGGGCAAGCAAGCCAGCGGTATCTGGGGTAAATTTCTTCTGGCCGTGACTCGTAGATTTATCATGAAAGTTTTTCAGTTCAGTGAAGGCAGTCTCATCCTGATACGCTAGTTGCTTCGCGATTGCTCCAAATATTTTCGTAACGTTTTGCGTGGCTTCGTTTGTGTAGTCGCAAAAAAAGAATGCCGATGCGATATTCCCACTGCGCTGCTTGTTGATATCTTCAATCGCAATGGCGCTGAGAACTGATTTGCCAGCGCCTGGAATCCCATATAGCCGAAGTTTCGACTTGGGGACTCTTAGGAAATTTTGGTATTCCGAGCTTTGCAAAAACCCAACTCCAGTCCCATTTTGGCGGAGTGTTATATGCTTCTGGAAGTAATCTTGGGGTTCGACTGTGCAATAGTCATCCAGTATCTGACGTTGTTCTTCGCGCATTTTTCGTTCAGTGTCTTGGACTTGTGCACTTCGAATCTCGGCTAGCGATCTCTTGGTCTCATCCATGCGTAGAGATGTCTCGTCTTGGTTCTGGAGAACCTTGACTGTCGCAAACATGGTTTCCTTGGTCATAGCCAAGGCGAGCAGTGATTTGTGTTTTTCTAGGTCAGCGAGAATCTTCTCGACCTGATCCTTCTCGAACACCCAGCGAGTTGTTTGCTTCACTTTCTTCCAAGTCGGAGGTTTGAAGGATCTGTCATATTGGCACTAAAAGTGCCCGGATTGGCCGTAGGAGTGTCAACGTTTGATCCAAATTTTTTAAGCAATTGCTTGATGTTGTCGAGAGTAGCGCTACACAGAATTATTGCTTCGCTAGGACCCTTGTCGTCGAGGCCAGCTTCTTTCGCGGGGTCCATAACAAGACTAAGTCCTTTGAGGAGCCCATGGAGAACGGTGACGCTTTGTAGTAGACTTTGTAGTTGAGGTTTTGCGGTCTTGACATCCTCAATGATCTCCTTGATCCCTTTGACAACATTTAGTGCAATGACGGCAAGGCCGCCTACGCTTGCTGCGATGGATAGAGGGTCCGACATTGTAAAAGGTGGCGGATAGGCAGAAGAATGTGGTGATGTGTCAAAAACAAATAAAGGAGTAGTGCATGGCTAGCAAAGTAAAGTGGGAGTGAGTGGGTAGTTGTACGCTGGTTGAGCGCCAGCCTTGCGAGCGCCAGCCTTGCAAGCGACAGCAAGGCATATAAGCCACTATGCAGCCCCACAACACAACATATGTCTTTTTTGTTTTCATGGCATAAAAGCATATAGTGGCGGGCAAGCCCTTCCATGGCGCGTCCTGTTAGCGGTGCCGTGTGTCCAAAGCTGCAAGGCGCACTACAAATTGGCGTCAGACGACCGCTAATCCCAGTGGATCTGCGATATTGTGCCTGTCCAAGTGGAGCTGTTTGTGAGATCGAAAAAATAAAAGACGCATCTCGGGCTGAGCAGTAAGAGCTGCTACTTCTATCTGCGTTCAGCCTTGCTCCGCCTCCACAATACTGTAGCTGCATATGCAACCCAACGCTTCAGTAAGGCATCAACATGCTGCACTCCTAGAGGCATGAACCTATCAGAACTCTTTCCAGTTATCGTAGGTCACGTCGCAAGCAGTTCCGCAGTCCGCGGTCCGCAATCCGCGCCTATCATACTCACCTTACACAACACCAAAAGCACTGCCACCGCCACCATCTTCTCGCATCCGAGAGTGCTCGTATGGAAGCATGGTGCAGCTCAGCTCCCATCGACGGATTTCGGTGAGATGATCCGGAACATGATGGCTGCGAGGCGTATTTGACATCGTTAAATAAGAAAGAGGTGCGAGAGAAAGGTTGCGAGGCTGAGTAAGCGCCTGTTAACTGAAGAGGACCAGGACGACCTGACGACCATCCATGCCGCCCTGACTTTGAAATTTCTAAGACATATAATTGTCTGGCTATACATTCTGAAGCAATTAATATAAGTTTTGGAGAAATTAGAATCGTAAA